CATGGTGAAGTAGAAGTGCTTTTTGTGTATGTAATAGTGATTAATACGGATCGTATAGGAGCCGTGCAGTGTGCGATGAAGGAATTTTAAAGTTGTTGGATGGGATAGGTAGTCCAACAACGAAGCTTCACTGACAGCGCGAGAGTGTAGGGCAGAATGACGGACGAGACTTGCGCAGTCAGAAAGTCTGGGAGATGCTAGCTCTTGAACAGATTACTACTTCGCGATATGCCCACGACCTTTTTGGCATTCACGATCCCATACTTTCGTGCAGGAACCGACCACAATCCACCAATCAGGTTGTGTGGGGGCTATCACACAACCTGGCAGTCACTAGAGGAGGCTTGCCTGAATCGGACAATGCCTTTCGCTCATCCGGAGTCTCGCTTGGCATCAGTAATACACTAGTCATAGGTACAATCTGTAGCCGTTAAGGGTTAGCCCAAGGGGCCACATAACTACCACGTTTCTGACTCTGGGCGCTGCAAGGGGCGGAAAAGCTGGATGGTGAGGTACAAGGTCACAGATACGGTTAGGTCGACGCTAGTTTTCGACTAAATTCTGACGTCTCACCTAGCGGCTGATCGTGCAGTAGTTAGGTGGAGCACGATCGTGCTTAGCTCACCGTGCAGCATGCACGGGCACAGGTAGATCTGCCATTCCCTGCTTACCCTCTTTGTGGCTTTGCTATCACGGTCAGGCCGGGAGTCAAGAGAAAGCAAGATGCGCCACATTTCGTGATGACAATCGTGCACAGTGCGCAAAACCCGAGGCGAGCACGACTGCCATTACTAGCGCCCGACAAGTATAAGCCCAGCTCGACGAATCCTCTGACCACTCAGCCCCTAGCTTATTTGCAACCGGCCAGCTTACCTTGGCCATTGGTGTCGAGGTAATCGTTCCACTATGCTGGCCCCATTGCTTGGTCGTTGCGGGCCCCCCACTCGCGCTAGCTGGGGCTATCTCTCTGTCCAGTCTTCGAGAGGGCAGCGGTTCTGCATGCATACCAATCGTGGGATAATAACCCAACTGCTAGGTCTTATTGACTCGACACAGCACATACAGCAGTATCTCGGCCAGTTTCACCCTCCGCAGTGCGAATCACTGGCCGTAATCGCTCTCGGGCCGGACTCACTCTCTCCGCCGCGAACCGCCGTGCGCGAGCAGCTCGAACAGCTTGCCGACTCACTAGCATTTCTACGCAGAGTCGGTCTGTTTCCTGTTGTCGTACATGGTGAGCTAGACCTGGATCTTCCGTCCATATCGAGAGCGGAGGGGCCCAACGATCAGCCGTATCGACTAGGTCGCATCCGCACGACGAACTACCAGCTCAGCGCGCTCCTGGAGCAGCAGGATGTTGAGACACAGCCCATCTCCTCTGGTATATTTACGGCCGTCTCTGAGTCTGACGGCACGATGTCCTACCATCAAGGCCATGTGACAGATATTGCCACCCAGGGAATCAAGTTCGCTATCCATAATGGCTATGTACCGGTCGTGGCAGCATTGGGCACTTCATCTGCAGAGTCTCGCACGTATGCGCTGGACGCCCATGATGCCGTTGCACAATTGGCGCGAGTACTGCAACCGTTGCGTAGTATTTTCCTCGTTCACGACGCCTCTCCCTCCTCCATGTCGGCACTCATCGCTAATTCTCCCGCGTTGCACGATCTAGCGCGCGAACTCAGGCCTCATGCCAGTATCATGCTTGGGGAGGCCACGGCCTTGCGCAGTATCATCTTCCCTGATCCTGCGGTCTGGACGGTACTGCGTAATCCACAGACCGTCCAGTCTGCCACCTCTCTCCGGGATTTTCCTTCACGAGAGGCCCTTCGCACCGCCCTTCAGCGTCACGTCATCTCCAATGGGGCCATCGACATCGATGCACTCCTAACGCAGCTTGAGACCAGAGACTTCATCGCTTACTTTGACCACGACCCGACCTCGTCAGCACCAGAACAGACAGTCAATAACCTCGCGCTCGTTTTCACACGAACATCGTTCCCATGGCAATTTGCTCCATCGCTGCCATCGGGGGATGCGGAGGCATATGCTCCACGCTCCATGGCCACATCCGTCGAACAGGATAGTATTATCGGAAACATATCAGAGCTCGCCCTGTTTTCCATCTTCCACTTGGATTGGCATAATGGCGTGGCTGAGCGATTCTGGGACCGCATTCGGGAGGACCACGTTTCGCTTTGGGGCTCCCTGGCGGAGACCGATCCAAGTCTATCGTGGTGGCTCACGCGATCATCCGGGCGTATTAAGCGACAGCTGGAGGAAAAGATTTACATGTGGTACGGGCCCGTCCCCTGACCGTGTAGAAGGCGGCTGGGCTGATCAACTTGGACTTTAATATTTCATGGTGGCTTAAGGGGTCGAGGTTGATATAGAGATATGTGCAAGCTCAGCTTAATGATAATACTTGATAATGATTCTGGTGAACGAGACACGTAGATAAGTCGTCGCATCTAAGCAAGAGCGCGTGTGTGATAAACTGGTTTTTGGAAACAAACGGTCGCGTTGCCATACTTGTTCTGCTATAGTGCACCGCCTTTTACGCACGTTCAGCTCAACACCTCACCCGTATTCCCTAGATGTTTGTTTTTTTTTGTTTTGTTTTTTTTATCTGCGCACGAGTTACTTTTTCTGAGCAGAAGGTGCAGAAAGAATCTCATTTATCAATCAGTATATAAAGCTGAATTATCAAGTGTTTTTTGATACTTGTAGATGGTGCAGTCACAGATACACCTGGGCACCTCACTGTGCCGATCGTATATATATTTAGAGACCCCCAATCGTGGTTGTAGCCACGAGATAGTAGGATACTTCAGCGAGTACCTTTTGGATAAGATGCAAATCTGAGAAACCACCTACATATCCAATAATATCAATTTTCAAGGTCAATGGCAATTCGAGTAAGATACATCCGTTAAAATGGCCCGTTTTCAAGGATCCAAGCTTCCCGTGCGGGCCGACCCCGAGGTCCCGAGCCCCGTTGTCTACTTTAAGTTCCAAGGCTAGTGTAAGACTGTTCTGACTACCTGAGGTCGTGAGCCCTAGTGTTATCTAACTTCATATTGAGTTTTTCAAACAACAGTACATTCATGACATCGAAGTTGATTGGATGGAAAGGTAGTGGAAGTTCAGTTTGGGGAGAGACTTTGAATCTTTGTTTTACCTCTCTGCGAGCGCCGCCCGGACTCCTCTCAACCGGTGAATTTGAAGTCTGGGGTTTCATTTTCATCTGGACACTCATAGCTAAGCATGAAGGCTGTATCTATATCTCTTAGCTATCCTTACTGAGTACATTTTTTTGTTCCCAAGCAGCCATCATATCAAACCAAACAGGCAATCTCGACGATCAACAAGATGGTCCCGGGCATTACCCAACCAAAGGTCCTTATATGAATATCCACACGTCACACGCTTGTTGCCCTTACATCCAATCGGGCATTATGTGCCACTAACAAACTCACTACCGCAACATGTCCGTTCTCACTCGCCAGATGCAATGCAGTGGCTCCGCATCGGTCCTGAACGTTCACGTCGATCATATTTGAGGCGAGTAAGAGCCGTACAGTGCCAATGTTGCCTTGTTGAGCAGCGATATGCAGCGGGGTCTGGCCGCTGGCGTTCTGAATATTGACACTGGCGCCACGTGAGAGCTCTCGATGAAGCATGCGGTCATGAGCAGAACAGCAGGGTGGACTACGATCTGGCGTTTTGGCCATAGGACTGAGATGGTGTGGTTGTGGCTGCGAAACTGCTGTGGGAGGATTGACTTGACTGGATGGTGAGGTAGGAGAGAGAGATGAAAGGAGTGCCGGGTCAGATTGAGTAGGCATGGGGCATTCGTCCTGTAAACAGTTAATCGATAAAGTCACTTCATCGGCGTCACAGAGCAAAGTACAAGTGAAAAAACGGAAGGGTAGGTCACTTTTTGAAGAGTAGAAGAGCAAGAGCAAGGGCCAAAGAAAAAGTTAAGAAGCAGGTGACATACAATGGAGAAAGTTTCGGGGTGAAAAGGAATATCGTCTGGCGGAGCACCGGGCAAGGCTATGTATAACTCCGACTCGGACGTAGGATCATCAGTGATAGCTGCCCAGCCTGCTGAGCGGACCAGGTTTTCATGGTACCACTTTGTATGAGGATAGGGCCAAATAGACTCTTTTTCGGCTTGCATCAGGCTGCCACGAAACTGGTGCATAGCCTCGGTTTTAGAAGGTTTCTGCCACGATGTTCTATCTATTTCAGTCATGAGCAAATAAGCAGGGGGTTGAATCTGATCACAGGCAGAATCAGACTGTGTGCATTGGATGAGCCATGGTCTACGTGCAGGACTTGAGCTGATATCTTGTGTATTGTGAAGAGGGAATGGGAAAAAGATGTATAGGGAGAGAATGTCCGATTTCGATGATGTCGCTCGCGGACACGGGACTTACTATTCGACCGGTGTGTCGAGTACTGAGTTGAACAGCAAAAAAAAGTATTTCTACGCAGCTACAAGGTATAACTTTAGCCATTTGAGTCACCCCAAGCGAGTCCATTGAGCAGTGGGAAGTTACCGCCCCCAACCTTTGGGGGCGAGGGCAAGGTTAAAGGCGCAATGGGAAGATCTAGCGACGGTTGGCTTGCCAAAAAAAAAAAAGTTCTAATCCCCATCTCAGGCTCGGAGAGATTTACCTGAGCATATTTTGCTGATGCTGCATAATGTTGCATCTACTGCACATCAGAAGAGTGACCTTGCAGTAGTGGCGGCTGTTATATCCAATGTCATTGTCAGGCAAAGACCGTGTGGCTGCGTTGCTGACAAGAAGGAATGGAAGTAAGCCCCCACGAACTTGTTAATAAAACTATTTGCAGAATACCTCCTAAAATTGGCTGAAGAGTCTGATACCTAACAGCTGGGACCCTCGTTGAAAAATTTCACTCCATCTGTACCCGTCTCTTCACCAATCTTTCAAATTGGACGATATTGGCTTCTAATTGCTAGGATGACTTTCCCGACAGCCCCTGCGCCTGATATTGGTCGGTAACAGTGCTTAAATATGCATATCAAGTAGTTTTAGTAAAGGCATTAACACAATGTAGAATGGACCAAACTAGGTCTGGCTGTGACCGATATGGGTGAGTGTCTCTCCAAAGATGATCCACCTTGCTATGATTTTTTCAAAATGAAGCTAATCGATTATTACCTTTCTAGTCAATGGTCACATCGAATCAACCTATTCGGTCGAAGAGGGCAAGTGGACAGCGCCCAAGTTCATCGAGGATCCCTATCTACGAGTGCATGGACTCTCAACCGCCCTAAACTATGGCCAACAGGTGTACGAGGGTCTAAAAGGTACTTATGCCACACCAGCTTCACCATAATCAGTCCAAACATCCTAACAACCCCAATTAGCCTATCGCACCCAGAGCGGCAAGATCCAAATCTTCCGCCCAGCCTTCCATGCCGCGCGTATGCAGCACTCGGCAGATGTAGTATCCATTCCACCTGTGCCTATTGGCCATTTCATTGCTGCCGTCAATGCAGCCGTCGTTTACAATGCCGAGTGGGTTCCCCCCTATGACAGTGGTGCAGCCTTGTACATCAGGCCCGTGCTGTTCGGGTCCAGCGGGCACTTGGCCCTCACACCACCGGCTGAGTATACGTTGTGTGTTTATGTCCAGCCATTCAGCAGTTACCATGGAACAGCACCGCTGCCGGCGGTGACTTTGGAAGACTTTGATCGGGCAGCTCCCAAGGGAACCGGGCATGCTAAGATCGGAGGTAATTACGCGCCCGTGATGAAGTGGTCGAAACACGCGATGAAAGCGGGATTCCCGATGACATTGCATCTGGATAGCAAAACCGGGGAGGACATTGATGAGTTCTCAACCTCGGGGTTCATGGGCGTCAAGATCACGCAACAAGAAGGGGGAGCGGAGCAAGTGGTCTTGGTCGTGCCGAAGAGTGATAATATCATCAACAGCGTGACCTCGGATAGTTTGATGGCGATTGGAAAAGGATTGGGTTATCAAGTCGAACATCGCACGGTGAGTTTTGGAGTCCCATATTACCGGATGGCTGGCTAACCATGACCAGGTCAAATACGCGGAATTGTCGACCTTCAGTGAAGTAATGGCCGTGGGAACTGCCGCTTGCTTGGTTCCTATTCGCTCGATCACGCACCAGTCGCGTGGGGACTACTTTGTTTACACAACTGAGAGCGCTGCTGGCCCAGTCTGTCAAAAGCTATATACAGAGTTGACGAGTCTTCAGCGCGGTGATAGAGAGGATAGCCTGGAATGGTGTCATGAGGTGAAGCAAGTGCTCGATGGAGTTGTGCAAAAGTGAATAAGAGAACGTCAATTACATATCATGAGAAATTCAGGACCACTGTGTTGAGACCGTCCGCTTTCTCAAGTGAAAGAACTCAAGTGTCAAGATGTGGGAATTTTCCGGGATGTTCTTTCCAAAGGTCCGAGTAAAGAAAGTCGTCACAATAGAAACAACATTTGGGATATTTCTTATTGCTTCATTCTCAGAAGGTGTAACGTATTTTGGACTTACAAATCAAGTTAGGTGACGACGAGATAAGGGCCTGGGTGACTACGCATAAATGCAATAACAGTCGTCGAATACAAAGACACCAGACCGCATCACAAGCTTTACCTGTAAGGCTGGGAGAACAGCGAAGTGAACGTACAAAGACCCCGTGCAAACACGATATAATTTAATTTATTCGATCGCGCCATATTATCTATCAATTCCCACTCATCTGTCTAACAACCCATCTTGCTTACTGGCGTAAGCGGAGCTGCACAATTGGCCCATTCTTTGCCGCCGTGACATGATCATGAAGTTGATATTCCCCCTCACGGCTTCGTCCAGGCCCCTGAGAAGCCGAACCGCCGCCCACATCTTCGCTGCCCGGTGCAGGACGGAAATCATACTTGGACAACATATAGGCCATGGTCAAAGACAACTCAGTAAGGGCCAATCCTTTCCCCAAGCAACTTCGGGGCCCAATTGAGAAGGGTGTAAATGCGGAACGAGCAAGTTGGACCTCATTGGGCTCGTCGAGCCAACGATCAGGACGATACTCGAACGGCTGCGGATAGTACTCGGCATTATGATGGACAGCATAAATGCAAGTACCAACATCATAGCCGCGAGGAATTACATGCCCGTCAATCATGACACCGTCCTGGATCACCTCGCGCCACAATGAGCTGCTAGCCGGAGGAGACATGCGTAGAGTCTCATCAATACATGCACGAAGAAATACACATTCGGTGAGGCCAGCTCCAAGGCTGACATCATTGGGATCAGGGAACACAGCGCGAACCTCGTTCTTGACTCTCTCGTAGATATCAGGGTAGCGGCAGAGGTAGAAGAAGATTGATGCAATAGCCGTGGAAGTGGTATCGGATCCTGTGTGTGCGCAAGATTAGTGTATGACCAGAGTAGCCAAGGAACGTTCAGGGGAGCTACATACCAGCCACAATCATAGTAGTGCTCTCCGCTCCAATCTCAGCTGGGGTAAAGCCCTGTTTTGTCTCCGGATCCACTGCATCGAGCAAGAACGAGAAAACGTCATTACGCTTCAGGGGGTTGGCTAACATTCGCTTCTTTAGCAGCTGGTTAACGAAGCGAATGAAAATGTTACGGCCAGCGATGGCCCCGGGGAAGAGTTTGCGGTCAAGGCGGCGAGTGGACAACTCGCTTGCTTGAAGGAGAACTCCTGTCCGCACATTGGAGTCTTCAATGCATTGGACAATATGTCGATTTTCAGGACTGCCGATAAGATCGAAGCTCTCACCAAAAATCACGCTAGACATGATATCGAAAGTCAAGTAGTTTGCTAATGGTAATTAGTCCGCTGTATCCGACCATCAAACTTGACAAAGAAGACATACACCACTTGGCCATGTTCTGCGGAGAAGACCATTCGCCCGCCGAAGTGTCTTGGACCAGCGAGTCACAAAATGTGCGCACTAGGCCCATGATGGTATCCTCAAACCCACGGAGAGCATTGTCTCCAAATCCCTGGGCGATGGTACGGCGTTTGCGACCGTGTTGTTTCTTGTCAATCAGGGTAAGAGTATTGGGTGCCCGATGAACCATGGCCCCGTAGGCGGCCGACTTCTGAACTTGCTTGGTGAATGCATAGATATCTACAACATAGCTGACGCTCAGCAAAAGGTACATGAAGAGATGTATCGATGGATCAGTTACCTTTCAAGCCGGTGTTGCTATTGAACAGGATGCGATTGGGTGCGTATCGAACAATATCGCCTATCACGCAGTAGGTCAACATGAAAGCACCACAGCATAAGAGGATTGTTTCGAACCGTATTTCTCGTGACAACGCATCATATCAAGATGCAGGTCCCCTCTCCATGCATAGTAGCCGCCATAGAGGTTTGTGACTTTGGCCAAGACAGGCCCGGGGAATTTGGCAAGAGGATGGAACCATATGCGGTAGACGATGATAGCCAGTCCCTTCAGAAAATAAGAATAGTCAGAACAAACATGTCTGCTAAGGACGATCATGGAACGAGCTCACATAAGCTACAAGGGCAAGAGGAACAGTCTTGACCAAAACCACGACAGGCGCTTCCCTCAGTGATTCGACTGCGATCATCGCAAACGATGAATGGTTTTACCAGGCTCTGGAAATATTTTCTACAATCTGCGAGTATAGAAAACATCAGAGATCCCCCCGGACCAGGGCGCTGACTATAACAAAATTACTACGACAGACAGTGGCTGAATGCTCTGGGGTAATTAAGCCACACCATACGACTTTAGATCCTATGCCAGAAAATTTTAGGATCTTTTCAGGCTTGAGTTAGCCCATAATCCTCCGATGCCCTCTGAACTAGTGGGGCCGTTGTGTTTGCTGACTGTACCTGAAGGAGAACTAGGATAAGCATAGATTTAGCCCTGTCTCCACCCATGTAAGCCCTAATTATTTGGCGCCAAGTGATGTAGCATCATCATGCACCGTGAGCAGCTAGTGTCATATCTGTTAATAACAATGGGGCCGAAGGATGCGAACGGCTTTGCATGATGATATTGGATCGTGTTCTGAGCACATGGCTTGAGGGTCCGGTGGGTGACCACATGGTAGGCCCTGAGCTGTTGCCGGTAATAGCTAAGCCCGAAGGGGCATTGCAAAGAAGGGTCAAAAACTCATAGCAAGAGCTTGTAGCGGGGAAATATGTAGATAGACCTAAATAGTGGATCCTCTGCGCATCTGGTTCACAAGTAATGAACGTAGACGACCGTGCGATTCCTGAGCAATGTCGCAGATAACAATGCAGCCCCAGGTTGGGCAACAACTAGCATATCTGCTCTTGGTTGAGTTGCTGGCGTGAGTGATAGTCCGCGAGGCATCTCATCATAGTATAATATCGCTGACAGCAGGACTGCATACGATAGACATCAATTTGCGTCCCCGGTCCAGTGGTAAGCCGCAGTCCTCGAGAAAGCAATGAAGCATGGGCCTGGGGGTTGTTAACATTGAGTAGGATCACCACGCAAGATTTCCTCCTCAAAGAGCATAATGTTGAGCGCTTCGTCGAAATCGGACCCGCCGATGTCCTCACCAGCATGCTCAAGAACACTGTCGCTCGACATCTCAAATCCCAAGATGCTGCTCGCAACATCACTCGACGGTTTCTTTCTTATGCGCAGAATGCACAAGAGATTCAGTATTTGTTAGAGGCAGGTACAGTGGCAACCTCAGAAAAAACGAAGAAGATCGAAACACCCACCAGGTCAACTGTGACCGAGGCCGCCACAACTGCCCAAGTTACCGTGAAAGGTCTCCAAACGGCGGAGTCTTCTGAAGCTCAAATAAAAGTCACCGCCTCAACGAAGATCACCAATGCTGCCCCAATCCTGGACGCTCATATTGATGCAAAGGAGATTTTGGTTGCTATCGTTGCCGGAAAGCTACGAAAGAGTCACGGTGAACTGGCAACAATGAAAACAATCAAGGCTCTAGCCAATGGTATGTGACTTGCTCGGTTAGAAAGACCCAATTGATGATACTAATCGTGATGAAGGTCGATCGACAATGGAGAACGAGATTGTCGGGGACCTCGATGCCGAGTTCGGCTCGCTCCCCGAAAAGGCAGAAGAGATGGCTCTCGATGAGTTGGCAAACCTGCTACAATCCGCGCCCTCTTTCTCGGGGCAGTTGCGCAAAGTTTCAACTGGTCTATTGTCCAAGGTTTTTGCGCAGACGCTTCCCGCGGGCTTTTCTAGTGGGGATGTTCGTGATTATTTGAAGTCTCGATGGGGTCTGGGCCCAGGTCGTCAAGATGCAATCTTTCTGCGAGCAAGCACAGCGCAAATCTCATCGAGGTTGACGGACCAAAAAGAGGCACACGCGTTCTTTGATACAATTGTGCAGCAATATGGCACTGATCACGGGCTCAACCTCTTGGGGTTTACCCAAACTGCGGCGACTGCGGTAACAATCACAACCCCGGTAGACAGTGCAGCCCTCGACTCCGTTGTGAAGGACCAGACCAAGCTTAAGAAGTCCTTAATGGAACTGTATGCACGACTCTTAGGAAAGGACCTGAGACAAGATGCCCACGAGGCGTTAAAAGCACAACTAGCAACAGCCGAGCTGCAGCACCAATTGGACGGCATCACGGCGGAGGTGGGGGATTTCTTCCTTTCCGGTATCCGTCCTCTCTGGGCAGCCTCCAAGCTTCGACGCTTCCATTCGAGCTGGAACTGGGTCTTACAAGACGCCCTCGACCTCTTTCATCGAATCCTGCGTGGTGACTTCTCAGATGCGGATTATGCCAAATATAGCAACGCCATTGCGAATCGATCTAGTCCCCGCTTAGTGCGCATGCTGAATTATCTCGCCGGCAACGAATCTTTGGCCTGGGGACCACGGTTTCCTGAAGCCAAAGCGGCCTTGCACCGCCTGTTGGATCGTTGTGAGAAAACTCGCATCCCTCGGTTTGAGCCTCTGGCTGCTAGTTACGATGCTCTCATCAAAGGCCCCAGCACCGATATTGACGAGAAGGGTAATATTAAGTATTCCGAAGTCGCTCGTGGCGAATCTCCGGTTGTTGCACCGATCACAATCAAGACACGTGTTCAGTCATCCTGGCATATCAACCAGCCGATGACTACATTGTACCGCGAGGAGGTGCAAACCTCTTGGAGTGAAGGAGTGACTTTTGTCAACAAAAATGTGCTGATGACAGGAGTCAGCGCAGGGTCGATAAATGCCGAGGTCCTGAAAGGTCTTTTGAGTGGTGGTGCTAAAGTGATCATCACTACCAGCAGCTATTCATCGTCTACCATCCGCTACTACCAGAACCTCTACGTCGAGCATGGCGCCCGGGGCTCCGAGCTCATCGTCGCTCCCTTCAACCAAGGCAGTCAACAAGATCTTGAAGGCCTTGTAGAGCACATTTTCGCAGATACCGGGCTAGGCTGGGACCTGGACCATGTAATCCCCTTCGCGGCAATTACAGAGTCTGGACGAGAGATTGACCAAATTGATTCGCGCTCGGAGCTTGCCCACCGCATCATGCTTACCAACACATTACGTTTGCTAGGCGCCATCAAGAAACACAAGCAGGCCCGCGGGTATCGCACGCGACCCACTCAAGTCATTCTGCCACTTTCTCCGAACCACGGTGCCTTTGGTAATGATGGCTTGTACGGCGAGTCCAAGCTTGCGCTTGAATCACTATTTGAAAAGTGGCATTCGGAGAGCTGGTCTGCCTATTTATCCATCTGTGGTGCGGTTATTGGATGGACTCGTGGCACGGGGCTGATGGCGGATAATAATATCGTTGCCGCTGGCATCGAACTTCATGGCGTGCAAACTTTCTCGACAGCGGAGATGGCAGCATATATTCTGGTGCTGCTAACTCGCAAGTTGGCCAGCGAATGCAACGTCCAGCCATTGTATGCCGATCTCACGGGAGGGCTGAACGCCATCCCAAATCTTCGAGCCACGGTGGATAAGGTCCGCCGTGATATCTTCGATCAAAGCACTCTTCGTGCCAACCTGGCTCGGGAAAAGGAAGCTGAAGAGAAGCTCACAATTTTGGGTCTCCAGGCAAAAGACCAAGAGGTTGCTCGTCCTCGCCTGGCAAATATTCCGTTCACATTCCCGCCATTACCTGATGAGGATGTTGAAGTCCAACCCTTGCGGGAAAAACTACTTGGAATGGCGAACCTAGATCGCGTCGTGGTGGTGACTGGATTCTCCGAGATAGGACCATTCGGTAACTCCCGTACTCGGTGGCAGATGGAGGCTACTGGGCGCCTGTCGCTCGAAGGGTGCATTGAGATGGCTTGGATGATGGGCTTGATCACGCATTACAATGGACTCCTTGACGGCCAACAATATACCGGATGGGTGGACGCGAAGACCAAGAAGGCTGTCCAAGACCTCGACATCAAGGTTCGCTATGAAGAGTATATTCTTGCCCATACGGGGATCCGTCTGGTGGAGGCCACACTAGATGCACAGGAGACAACTGGAAAAAGGCAATTGCTTCAAGAAATCCTTCTCGAGGAAGACCTACCGGAATTCGAGGTTTCCCCTGAAGTGGCGCAGCAACTTGTCAACGAGCATGGCGAGAAACATGTTGACGTCCTGTCTCTCGGAGAGCGTTGCCTAGTCAACTTGAAGAAGGGAGCCGTCCTGATGATCCCCAAAGCTTTAAATTATGACCATGCTGTGGCAGGACAGGTCCCTACCGGTTGGGATCCACGCACCTACGGCATTCCTGACGACATTGTTGCCCAGGTGGACCGTGGAACCCTCTTCACCTTGGTGAGCACGATAGAAGCATTGATCGCGTCCGGAATCACCGACCCCTATGAGCTGTACCAGTATATTCATGTTTCGGAATTTGGTAACTGTATTGGTTCAGGTTTGGGGGGTGTTCATTCCCTGAAGAAGTTGTTCAAGGATCGATACATGGACAAAGAAGTGCAGAAGGATATCCTCCAGGAGACATTTATTAACACTACTGCCGCGTGGGTGAATATGCTACTCCTATCCTCCTCTGGGCCCATCCGGACGGCGGTCGGTGCTTGTGCCACATCGGTCGAATCGTTGGAAACCGGGTATGAGACGATCACGACCGGACGGGCTAAGATCTGCCTGGTCGGAGGATATGACGATATGAACCAGGCTGTGGCAGAAGAATTTGCCAATATGAAAGCGACCACGGATGCGGCTGTTGAAGCAACAAAGGGCCGACTTCCCCAGGAGATGTCGCGACCCTCGGCGGAGAGCCGCAGCGGGTTCGTCGAATCACAGGGAAGTGGAATTGAGGTCATCACTTCTGCACGGTTGGCGTTAGACCTTGGCCTGCCCATTCAAGGTATTATTGCTTGGGTCGGCACCGCCAGTGACAAGACTGGGCGCTCAGTGCCCGCGCCCGGGCAGGGTATTCTGACCAATGCACGCGAGCAGCCAACAAACCGCTTCCCCTCGCCCCTCTTAGATGTGCGATACCGCAAGCGTCGTCTGGCGGCGCGTTTCGTCCAGATTCAGCAGTCAACCGACTTGGAGGTAGAGATCATGGGAGATCTTGAAGACAGCGAAGCGCGTGAGGACCACCTCCGCTTTGTCGAGCAAGAGGCCGATCGCCAGCGCAAGGAAGCCCTGGACACATTTGGCAATGACTTTTGGAAAAGTCAAACTTCGATCTCGCCCATTCGTGGGGCTCTGGCAGTCTTTGGTCTCGGCATTGGTGCGCCTTGTCCCCCCCCTTCGCTTCATTCAATCCGACTCACATGTTGAATTAGATGACCTGGACTTTGTCACTCTACACGGTACCAGTACAGTGATGAACGATAAAAATGAGCCTGCTGTTCTCGAAGCCCAGATGAAACATCTCGGTCGCACACCAGGCAATCCACTCTTCGCCATCTCACAGAAATATCTCACAGGTCACCCAAAGGGTGCCGCCGGAGCATGGATGCTGAACGGTGGCCTGCAAGCGCTCAACAGCGGCATTATCCCAGGTAACCGCAATCTCGACAGCGTGGACGGCCACCTCGAAAAGAACGACTATATCGTCTACCCCAACCGTAGCATCACAACGTCCGGCCTGAAGGCTTTCTCCCTCACCTCCTTTGGCTTTGGACAGAAAGGGGCGCAGGCCATCGTGGTACATCCACGCTATTTGTATGCTATGCTGGAGCAGGCCGAGTTCAAAACGTATCGTGAGAAACGCCAGACACGTCACCGCAAGGCATTTCGTTTCTTCCACCGTGGAATGGTAGCGAATACAATGTTTGTGCCTAAAACCGAAGCGCCATATACGCCAGAACAGCAAAACTCGGTGTTGTTGGATCCCACAGCCAGAGCGATTGCAAGTTCCGGGGCGACTCTCCAGTATTCGTTCTGAATTTATGAGGCGTTTCTGAACCTTCACCTGGCCTGACACTGTGACGGTATTTGCAAATACTTCTTGTAGTCGATATAGCAATTCAATTTGACCATCGTTGATGAATATTTTTGAAGGTCTTTCCATGGTTGGAACTTGAAATGAATGCATAGCTAGCTCCCCTTGTCTGTTGTGGCGTTGATGCTCTCAGGCGTAGACTTCCGCACCGGCCCACAAAGCCCAAAGCCCAAAGCCCAACCCGACCCAACCCCTAAATAGGCCGGGTTTTGGGCCCGGTCCTTAGGCCCATCGATGGGCTGTAGGCCCGGGGTGAAAGCCCATTGGGCTTCAATAGGGGCCCAATGGGCCCCAAACAATGCAAACATACTCAGTTGAACCCCCTAAAAGGGTTTTTAGAATTACCCTTCGTTTTACCTCCGTTTCTAACCCCTATTATAAAGGTAATATTTAATTAATTTAGATTATTTAGAATCAATTACTAGTTATCTCTCTATATCACGTTTAAAAACGCAAGAAAGCGCGTTATTGAAATAGTTTATAAATTACAGAAGCTTATATAGAAAGTAGTAGTATTCCTATACAAACCCAAAATATATATCTCACTAAAATACTGAGATTAGTCCATTTTCGGAGTATCTCGACCTCTACTGGTTGGATTCAATTCAAAATTGAAAGTATATACTTATATACCTAGTAAAATTATAAATTTTGAATTTAAACTCTGAAGACCTTGTGGAAGGTCGTAATACAGCGATTACAGGGGCCGATAAGATAGGCTTTAATAGGAGCCTTATGCGCCCCCATTAGTGGGCTATGGGTTGGGTCGGGTTTCTAAGGTTAGGCCCATAGCCCACTGCGGGTTGGGCTTTGGGCCTAGGGTGGGGGCCCATTTGTGGGCTTTACGGAAGTCTACTCAGGCGTAAACTTGTGCCTAAATAATGGATCAAAAATGCGGATTTAACCTCACTCAAGTCGCGTGCTGCTAGCGTCTCCGGGCGGCTGCCTTCCCCTGCTGATTTTCACCCCTGGGTGTACGAGTAAGGAAAATAGAAGGATGGGATTAGTACTCCTATAATTTCCTGCGTATAAACTGTATTGGGTCTGGGCGAAACAGCTACGGTGGTTGGATTAAAAAGTTCGCCGTCTGTGGGATCAAGCCGGTGAGCCCTATGCTTATACACTCTAAGAGCCAAAGTCCTGCGACAGGGTACCGAGAGCCTGATGTGGTTTATGAAATAGACCTCAAGCATACCCCTTGTAAAGAACACAGAGAAAAAAACGTAATGTATGTAAAAAGAACAAAATAGGTACAAGAAGTTCAAAAGGCCATGGGCGTCCGATTGGAACTTCGCCCTGTGTCCCAATAAAGCTCGGCGAAAGCACCTTTCTGCTCCAATAGCACTCCCGGCGCGCCATGCTCCTTGATACGTCCGGACTCCATGACAATGACTTCATCAAAGTCAACGATCGTCTCCAAGCGATGCGCGATGGCAATGATCGTGTGCGAAGCGAATTCTGATCGGATGAGTGATTGCATAATCTCATCAGTTTTTGAATCGATACTGTGTTTAGTGTGATCAGCCTCTGGAGAAGGCACTGTCAAAGATAAATTCAAATAACATACCTGCTAGTCGCTTCGTCGAGAATCAGAATCTTGCCGTCCGGGCGAACCATGGCGGATGCGAAACACAGGAGTTGTTTCTGGCCGGGCGAGAAGGTTTGTGCTGTGATAATGGCGTCCAGGCCACCGAGCCCCTCAATCAAATCCCAGAGCTTGACCTTTTGGAGCGCATTGATCAGAACGTCGTCATCGAGGCCACTTCCTGGGTCAATATTGAGTCGGACAGAGCAGGTGGGCAGTAAGAACGGCTCCTGAGAAATGCAGTTTAGCTGGGCGCGGAGCGAGTTGCGACGAATAGCAGAGATGTCCAGCCCATCAATGACAATGTTGCCGCTCGTGAGTTCAATGAGACGGAACAGTGAGGAGATGAGTGATGATTTGCCACTAGAGAGAAAATAATTGATCAGATTGGATCTGGAGAATACCAGCAAGAGCTCCAATGCGGGCAAATATACCTCCCAGAGCGACCGCAAATGCCCACTTTCGTGCCGGGCCTAATTGAGAGCGAAATATCATCAAGAGCTCGGCTTGAGGAGCTTCTACACGCACAAATCAGCAACTTGGGATCAGTAGAAGGGGAGAAGAGAAATCTTACTGATATGAAGCAATCACGTTGTTGAATTCAATACCACCTCGATCAGGCCATTCGGCCGGGGGGTCTATCGTTTCTTCCTCCTGGTGCTCGGATGTGCTCGTACGGTGGAAGTGGCGAATACGTGACACAGCACCGATCGAGGTCTCGAGAACGGTCCATTGCATGACCAACCCCTGCAGATTTTCCGTGAAGACAACGATGTTTAACAGGGCTACGCCGATATAACCAGCGCTGAGACTGCCCCGCGTGGCGACGGCGATACCTACCAAAGTAACAGCGAATCCGGCAACGCATAGCGCAATCACCAGTTCCAGCCAACGCTGAATGGAGAAAAGCAGGTAGAAGGGCTTTTGGCTGTCATTGATCAACTTGGCATTCTGCTTACGATACTGTGCTTCCCACTTGAAACTGCGAATGGTGACCAAGCCGTTGAGGGTATCAAGGAAGTGCGAGATCAGAGGTGCTTTGGCCTCAATATCGAGATAACGGATCTGACGCGAGGTGCGGAGATAGAACCGTTGAATGAAATAGAAAGCCAATAGACAGGCGGGCACCGTAGCTGCGATATAGCTGGTTGAAACACATATGACCACCATTTGAGCGACACAGGTGAAGAAGGTGAGAATAGTGTTGAGAACGGCGAGAGGAAGTTCCATATCGATGAGTTGAAGATCCTGACTGAAACTATGAAGTGTGAGCAGGAGACTACATCGACACGGGGCTCAGTGCTCTTTGTCGCACAGATATGAAGGCCTAGCTTACCGATTGGTTGTTTGACCGACATCAGTATTGTGAAAGAAGGATAATGGGGAGCTGTTCGGCAAAGTCAGTGACACCACAAAAGACAGACAGGAGGGAGACAATCACATACTCTAGAACGCTTTTCAGCAGTTGAGCATGCATGGATTTGGCTGCGCGGGCGACCAGGTTGGACATCAGATGCCTAAAAAAATGTCAGCCTCAAAGTCCAGTACACAATATCAGGGGAGAGTCCAGACGGACCAGCAAGCTAGGACAAGTGTGGACACTGCCATGACGGCAATCCAGCCATAAACACCTAGCCAGTAACCAAGCATCCCATTCGGATGCTTCATATTCGCGGCTGTCCACCATTCGACCCAAATTGCTACATTGGTTAGCGGGGAGCTTGTGGTACCGCATATTTGAGAAACACATACAAGGGAAAGTAATTCCCACCACGTAGCAGCAAATGAGGAAGATGAATATGAGAGACCGCCATATCCCAAGAATCTTCATGTAGTACCAATAGATAGATATGTCACCTGTCCGCCGTCCGTCCTGAGGCGGTGGTGGCTCGAGGTCCAGGGCGGCTAGGCTCAGTGGCTGGTGAAGTTTAGGGTTCGCAACTTCCGTGATCTCCATATCATCGCCCACAGCTGCCTGCCGGCTGCCTTCTGGCGCCGACAGGCTGTGAATATAACTATCTGAGCGTTCGTTCAGCCGTTTGTACGAGCCTTGTTCAACGATTGTGCCGGTTTTGGAGAGAGCAATGACGTGATCAGCAAACGAGAGGCGAGAGACTGCAAGAGTTGGTTCAGTATTAGTCCGCAATATCTAGAAGATTTGACGTAGATCTCTAACGTACCGCTATTGCTGGTCATGATGATGGTGGCGCCCATGCGACGCAAGAGGCCACTGGGGGCCAGCAGGGCATTGAAGATGGCATCTTCAGTCGTACGATCGAGGCCACTGAACGGATCGTCAAGAATCACTGTATCTGCACGCGAGTATACGGCACGTGCCAGAGCCTATCCAAGCAATGCCAGTTATTATCCGTCATCCGCGGCTGATCCAATTCCACTTTCAACAAAACACTTACCACTCGTTGCTTTTGGCCTCCACTGAGAGTAGCGGCTCCTGATCCCAGCAAGCCTTGATCTTGGTTTGGCTGGTCCCGAATATCCTCTTCTAGTGCACATGCCTTCACCACAGTATTGTACCAACCTAGATCAAACATGGACTCACCCAAAATATTCTCCTGCATACTGCGGTTAGTCAACCAAGGCACTTGGGTACAATAGGCGATGACTCCAGCCTCAACATGAAGCGTTCCGGTAGCAATTGGAGTTTCGTGCAGAAGCATGCGAACAAACGTTGACTTGCCACAGCCGACCGGGCCAACGATTGTGTTGAGTGTTCCACGGCGGATCTCAAATGAGGCCTGATCTATAACATTGGGTTTGGCCTCCTCCCAGCCAGTGCTTCTATTATGAGCAACTACAGCTAGTTTTGGAAGAGCATCATAGCGAGGCAAGCCTTCGAGGCTGGAGACGCTAGGGTACTCCACCCCCTTCTTTTCATCCACTATGATTGTGGACTGTTTTGCAGAGCTCACAATCTCAAACTCATCTACCTGGCCTTTGTAGTTCCGTGGAGAAGACTGCAAGAACAGGTTGATGCGTTTGATAGATCCGACAGCCGTTGCAATTCCAGTCACGGCTTCGACCAGGTTGGAGATGGGGGTGGCCAACAGTGTAAATAGGGTCAACGAGGTGAATGCACGGGCAGGGGTCAGTGTTTCATTGTCATGGCCCCGTGCATTCAGGGAGTATATCAAGAAGGAGGCCAATGGGGTAACGGTGTAGTTGCTATATGCTGCGCCATTGTTAGTCCTCAGATGTGGGGGATGGGATCTTGTGCAAATTAGACTCACCCACGGCGACAACGAGAATCAGCAATCGGCGAAACCGAATTGACATGCGCACCTCATGAGTGCGCATAGATTGGACGGTGTTGTAGATTTTATCGGTCAAACCGGCCATGCGGACCCCTTTCATCGATCCTAACACCTGGGCGGTCATATCAACGCGCTTCTCGATAGCCTCCAGCCATACCTTTTGACGCGGACCAGCCAGAGCAGATATGAGCACACACATCAACATACAAACTAAGAAAATTCAGTATTGGCCACAATGGTAAAAAAAAGAGCAAGATACTTACCAACGACGACGACAATGGGAGCGACACTAGCGATGCCCAGCTGCCGCCAAAGCAGATAAAGAGCAATGGGGATTTCGACAATACACGCCCAGACGTCATGTACATAGCGAAAACCACTGGAAATCCGCTCAATATCCGCGTTCATTAGGGTGACCGGGGCGCTGGATTCTATATCGCTGTCGCGCATGACGGTGACGTGTCGGAACATCATGTCAATCATACTGGCCCGCATCATAGATACCATTCTGTAGGCTTGATGTTGAGCGAGCGCGGTGGTGATCTGACCGAGTCAATCTCCAATTCTGGTCGGAAACAAGTCAGGACTTACCGCAAGGCCGATATATGTGACCGCGAAGGCGCCGATCAAGCCATATCCTTGTCTCATAGTGTTAGGTCCATCCTCAGAGTCCACCCAGCTAGTAGTGGTTTCTACCAGGAATGGTTGAGCAAATGTAAAGCCAATCTGCAACGCGCGAGGAAGAATTCCAAGCAGGAACGGCCCTGCGTAGTACCGCATGGACGCCCAGAGTAAACTATGCGGCTGGTCCCAGTTGGCACCTATTCACATCTGGTGATTAGTTTACACCTATTAGTGCTTTACCAGATGTACATTTACCCTTTCTCCAGAGCGTCTCCAATCCATTGAGTCCAACACCCGTCGCACGCAAAGTGTCTTCCAGTGCAGGCAGCTGTGCCACTGTCAAATCTGTTCGACTCCCAAGCAGCAATAGGGGGTTGATCCACGTAAAGAGGCTCAAGCCCAGCACGCCTGTGGCACTCTCTGGGGGTGGATTTTGATAAGCACGTTTCAGAACAGAGTCTTTAGGAATCGACTCGACGATTAGCAGGACAGCTCGAAGGCACAGATTAACTGTGTAAAGAATGGGAATGACGCGATTCGACTCTACAAAGTATAGAGTGCGAGATTCCGGAATTGAAAGCAATGAAGAGAGAAAAAGATAGCCGGTGTTTATCGTGGAGGGTTTGATGGTGCGGGCGTGTTCATATTGAGAAAGAATTCCGAGTACTAGGTAGGCCACCAGCGTAACAGTAGCAGAGCCGATCGTGGCACGTGTCGTTTTTCCGAAAGACGATGCCCATAGACCGAGGAGAGTTGCCTGAATGATCACCAAGAGGGCATATGCAATCTGCCAGCGCGATAAGTAAGGTGTTTCCACTGAGCGGGAGGCGACGTACCAGCTTGACGATGCCCCAATAACCCCCTGTGATTTTGACATTTTCCTTTCGGAGGTAGTTTATCCTTGGCAATGCCCAGACGAGAAAGAATACTGTCACTGGCAAGGCCAAGATGACCGATTCGAAATACCAGGTGAAGTCGAAGCCAGAGGCACAGAGTTCACTGACAATAGGTCCGAATTGATCCTCGACGTCGAGACCACAAATAGTTGTCCTGGGACGAAGCCATTGCGACACCATTGCGAATCTGGCACGAACGGCTTGGACTGCAAAAGGCTCGATCTTCCCGATCACCGTTTCTTTTTTTTTTTACCAGGTGGGGGAAACAGCGGTTCAAGTCAACCAGCTGCAGCAGTAAAGTGCAACATCAAGACCAAAATAGACAGCTATGGGGCGCTTACACTGTCCGGCAGCCCCCAATACGATGGGCGAGATGGGGAAAATGGGCCCGATGGTATTCAGGGAATCAGTCTTCGCCTTAGCGTGAGGCTACTAGCTGCAAGGTGAGAATTAGCGCTTACGACCTACCAAGACTGGGTAAAATGCGTGAGAAACATTTTCGCGTTCGTGCACGCTCATCTGATTTTATCACTATAGTTGTCTGACATTTACTTGCTTCCTGGGTTGCCCATCCATTGCCACATCATCCGCGATCGAACCAGCCTCTAGTATCCACAGTTCTTTCTCATTGTAAGCTCGCCCCCAACTCCTGCAGCCCATCAAAGCCGCCCATGTGGCTTGCTATAGCCAGGCCACGCTGTCGCTCCATCTCGACATGGGCCCAGGTCCACGGGTCCTGCTCGCCCCCAGAAGGAGCTGCGCCATCGACTAGATCCTGACACGGCAAAGGCAGGCGATCTGGTGCCGCCGTAGCAGCCACATTCACGGCTGTAGTGTCCTCGTCTGCCAAAAGCCGAAGATTACGAAATACCTCCGCTGGCTGCATTGTCTGTCGTCCCTGCTTGAAGACATAGCGAGAAACTGCCGAGGCAAGAATTTGATCTTGCATCTTTTCTGTCTCATGCCGACCACCAGGTTTCAAGAAATAACTAACGATATACATCCATTTATCATCCCAGGCCAGTACGCGTGTCACGAGCTCATATCTCTGATATGGCTTGATCTCACGACGGAAAAGACAAACCACGCCCCCTAGAGCGGCGATAAGCTGTTTCCGCCGATTGCGCCGGCTGTACGCACTCTCGGGTGCCAGGGTAGTGCGCGGAGAGAGCGGGGTGATGGCGTCTTTGAACAAGGTGACCAGGAGCTCGATGCGGCTCACGTCGAGATCGGCATAGAAGGTGCTGTTGGATTTGTGCAAGTTGAAGTCGAGCTCCGCAATGGAGCAGTAGGAGCGTGTGTGTCGAGGGCGGAAGATGGTCGAGGGAGCTGAGGAGACTGTTGATGAGCTCGCGACGAGAGCGCTATTGCGGTGCCAGACCAGATGTTTAAAGAGAATGCTGAGTACTCGGGCCTACATGAGGTAACGAGGTTAAAAAGGGCTTGAACCAGTTAGTAAAAGATGACAGTGAGACCAACATGCCACAGACCCGGCAAGGCCTTCGGGTCCAAGAGAAAGAATCCAACTACTGCACCGAAAAGCGCAGTCAGCACAGGGAGAGAAATCATGGTGAGTGCACGGGAGGACAAGGGGCTAGTCTAGATAGCGCAGGAAGAAAAATCAAGAAGCAGTGACGAGGAAAGTGAGAAAGGAGGGTATAATGGGTTTAAATAGTAATTCTGTCTTATTTACAGGGTGGGTCATGTATGTGATCCTAGAGCACCCCCCGGCCACGTCGACGGAATCTAAGCTTTCCAGAGCTAGGAATCGGGATCGGGGAGGAAATATATAATACGGTCTGTACATACAATTTCAGGATTAAGGAACGAAAAGTTTGAACAATGAAGATAAACTACGAAGACTCATCAGAGCACCTTCATCGCCTGAATAGCGCTCTCGATTTTTTGCAGGCCATCTGCGTTCGTTGGGTCAAGATATGTATCCCACTAAGTCATAATTAGCAACCATTCCTTCAGCAATACATAGAAGAACGAATATAATTACCTCGCGCAAAATGCCTTCAAGCGCTACGGAGCCCGTTGTCCGGTGGACGAGTTCGAAATACTCTTTGCTCACCTCGAACGGCTGGGCTGTCAAATTCGGGATATACCGACCTACAAGGCATTTAGGATCCAACGAATGGCCGTCGATGAGGTTCAGCAAACAGCGTCTGAAGCCTGCCACGCCAGGCAGCAGCGAGGAGGAATGGAACGGTACGTCGATGCCGCGCAAGGGAATTGTCGCGCAGCCACGAGTCAGTGTCGTTGGTGGATTTGCCAGCGCGACTTGCTCGATTTGTGCTTGCGCTAAGCTGAAGATCTGCTCTGGCGATTCTGGCAAGGGGACATGGGCATGGAGATAGTTGAGTACTGTAGCGAGGCAATGGAGCGCATGAATCTATGATGTTCAGGTCCAGTCAGCAGGTGGTGATCTATCCAGAAAAGCTGGAGATTCACTTACTTGTCCGGCGCACACATACTGCAAGCCCAAGACATTGAAATTAACGATCTCAAGTAATTGACCAGTCTGCGTGGCAATAGCCTTCACAAGTAGCTGCAGAGCCTCCTGTCCGAAACCTTAAGAGTGGAGACGACAAATCAACCTTCAGTTCATCAAAATGATGTTAGGTATATACGTACCAGGTGCAACGCGACTGGGGTCAACTGCACACATGCGATAGTCCGAGTTTCCCTTTCCGTCTCGGGGGACAGTATACTGCATCAACAGACCGCGATAGAAGACAACCTGAACGAGGGACTCGACATTGAAGATCTTGCCCACTGCTCCAAGAGCAGCATACTCACCCAATGAATGGCCGGCATACGAGCTGCGTTCCGAAATCAGCCCGCGCGATTGCAAATCGGCAAAAATAGCCAGTTCCATAAGCGTCAGAGCCGGCTGTGTGAACTGCGTGGCCGAGAGTAAGCCCTGGGGCGAATAATAGGTGTAGAACTCAGTCTCCTCGTCAATTTGGGGGAACAGTTGCAGCAGCTGGACATTCCCATCGGGCCCAATTGACTCTCGGGTCATACTACGATATTGGTCACGGATGTGTCGGCCTTGAGGCCCTCCGAAGTAGACGGTCAACTCCTTGGGATCATTTCGCACGATGTCGGTAATGCGGAAGCCATAGTTATCGGAGAAGTAGGCATCAGCATAATCCCAGACCTGCTGGGCCGCTTTGCTTTGGGCATAGAGCTGCATACCCATGCCCTTTTGTTGACTACCCTGACCAGTGAAAAGGAATGCCGTCTCCTCAGGTTCGATCTCAGCTTCTCCACGCAGAACGGTCTCGCCGCGCCCGACGTGCTTTGCTTCCACTGAGACGATTTTGCGTCCCGCCAACATGCCGATGTGCTGGAAGACGACTTCAATCTTATCTCCCGGTAGCACCATACTCGTGAATGAGCAGTGGAAGCTACGGAAGGCGCCGATGGCTGAGGCACAGGTGTAGTGTTCGACAAGACCACGTACCCGTGCCGAGGTGTACATGCCGTGCGTGATCAGACCTGGTAGATCTGCATATCGCGAGAGCGACGCGGACACATGGATGGGATTGAAGTCCCAGGAGACGTGAGCATAAGCCTCGTTAGAGTGTGGCATAGTGAGAATCAAAGATGCGCCATCGTTAGTCAAGGGACTAGGCTGATCAAACATAGCCCGCTTCTGCACTGGACTCCCATGACGCTTGAGGTAATCCATGACGGGGTTACCTCGGCAGGTGACTGCGTGATAGTCTACGGTCGCAATCGGCCGCGAACCACCTGGGAGCGATGAATTCACGCGAACTTCACCAACAGTAGTAACGGTCTTGAAGGTGTCCTTGCTGGCGTATTGGTAGGTCGAACGAAGTACGAAGACCAAAGTCTGGTTTTCCAGGTCGAGCGACCGATCCAGAGGCTGGAACCAGGACTTTGAGTTCAAGATCGCAACCTCCATGGGGCTACGGGGGCAGAGCTCCATCTCTTCCTCGTCCACTTTACGGAACATATTCTCCCAGTCTGTGTGGTGGCCTCGGTAGAGGAATTGACTGCTTAACTCGAGCACGACCTTGTTTTCATGGTACACATCCGCACGTACCTCGACCAATTTACCTGTCTCCTCGATCGTAATGGCTTGTATACGAGACTTGGTCTCAAGTGCATAACCTGCCTGAATGGGGTCCGCATCCGCGGGAATGCGGAAGCCATTGGTGAGATGCACCAGCGTCAACAGATCGACGTCAAGCTCCCGCGAGAAAAGCGGCTTCATCAAAGCTTCCCAGCCAATGACGACACCAAAGTCCAACGGTGCCGCCATCCGTTTGCCACGCCGCTTGCTGGCGGCATCGCTGGCATTCTGTACACAATGAGCGAACTCGGCGATTGAGTCGGCCGTCACCTCAAACTGCGATTCGCGGAAGGTGTCGTGGACCGAGGGCCATGTCTCTGGTAGTTCACCCGCGAACCAGACTCTATAGTAGAAGTCTTTGACACGCTGGTTGCGGCCTTCCATAATTTCATGGATGGGAGCGTAAACAGCTTCACGCCTAAACTGGAACTTCAACTGCAGACCAATAGCGGCACCTCCAGCATTACGGTAGTTGATGATCTCAAGCGTGATAACGCCAGGCTCATCCACCCGCACTTCCACGACCTTGACCGGCTCAGAATGTGGCCGATGTTCGAACAGCGTGATTATCGGATCTGCCGAAAGGCCTCCGTGGCCCTGTTGCACCATCACATACGATTCACGCGTGGGCTGGAAAAGCCGCCGCAGCGGATTCTCGCAGATGGCTCGGCCCTGCACGATTGTCGCTGCGTGGAAGAATGCTTGGCGCCAGCCCCCATTGGAACCGCCCAAGGCCACAAGCCATTCTACTAAGGAGGGTGTCAATGGCGCACCGGGCGCACCGTCCAGTGGTTTCACTTCATATAACATCGCGCCTGTGTTTCCGACGGGCGAGCAATGAATGCCCAGCTCCGCAAGTCGCCAGTCCTGTGGGACAGAGTATGGGCTGAAGCAGTCGACAATAGGGATACCATCCTGCTGGTATTCGGGATCTTGCTGCTGCAGGCGCTCAATGTGTCCATGGTAGATGTTGCCTAAAATTTCATTTGCCGGCTCGTCCACCTTGGTTGAATATCGCGCCGCCACTGGGCCGTGCAGAATACAAACCCGGCCGACATCAGCATCAGCAACAGCTGCAAGGTCCTCTGACTGCCACAGCGAGTCTTTTTTAAAGTAAGTCTCGAAGCTTTCGTCGAGGACAGGGACGAAAGGTACTGGCTTTGTGCCGCGTCTCTGGCATAGAAGCAAAAAGTATTCTGCATCTTGCGTGCCAATAAGCTGGGCCTCAGCGGTCGGCAACCGCTTCAAGATGGCGTTCAGCGCTGTTGTCGGATCAGCAAGAGCCTCGTCGCTGTTGAATTCGCTGATTCCGGGGCCGGGGGCTACGTTGCCAAGGCGGGCCTCCACGCGCTTTAGGAAATCTTGCAGGAACAAGCGGTAGGAATCATCGATCCAGCGGCTCTCAGCCGACACATAGGTAAGCGCAGCAAAACGGCGCAGAACCTCGGCGTAAGTCATCTCCTCCAAGTCGACAACAGATCCCTGGGCATTGCATCCAAACCAAACCTTCACCGAATCGGTATTCAGTCTCTGAGTCAGGTAGTCACGGTGTTTCTGCAGATACGCGACGCGCTTACTACGATCAAGGCTGAAGACATTGCGATCTAACTCAGCCCATAGTTGCACACCCCGCGTAGCCAGCTTATGAATTGGTTCCCCCATCTCTGAGGTTACAGTCATAATGCCGCCAGCTGGTTGTGTGTATGTCTGCTCCCAATCACCTTCGTCCTCGACCCCTGGCGCATTCACAATTGCCTGTTTTACAGCGGGGCTGGTATGCGCTTCTTTAGCGGTCATCAAACGACTGCCGAGAAGGATACCATCGAAGGGCATGGGCGGGCGGTTATACCGACAGGCCCAATCACCTGTTAGGTAGGGGAATGTGTCCTGTGCACCGCCAAAGCCACTGCCCGCTATAAGAATAACGTTCTTGCAGCGGCGGATGGATTCGTAGGCTTGCAAGATCGGTTGGTGGAAGTCCTCGAATGAGTGGTGGCCACCACCTCGCCCACCTGTCCATTGGAGTAGAATAGGGAAGGTGGGATGAGCCGATGCGATATCGAGGACTTGGTATATTGCGGGTAAAGTGCCAGGCTTGAAGCCTATGTGGCGTAGACCGAGGTCGTTGATGTACCGAGTGGCCACCTCGAGTGAAGGCACGCCCGCGCCGATAGTGAGTCCCTCCAGGGGAACGCCTGCCGCACGTAGTTTGGCCAGCAGGGGAATCTGCCACTTCACCGCGTGAGGAGCGGCGTAGATCATGTTGCAGGTGATGCCCCGGCCAGCAGGTACCGCGTCCAGCAGCTTGTAAATGTCAGTCTCCAACTGGGCGGCTTGATGGAATCCGCCCAGTGCCAATTCGATATGATAGCCGGCACGCATAACTGCCGCACAGAAATCCCAGGCTGCAGTTGTGGGCGTCATTCCGGCCACCATTACTGGTGGCAAGCCCAAGAGGCGACTGAGCTTAGTATCGACAAGCACGCCGCCGCCAGCAATCTGTACCAACTGCGGTCGATAGCGATTCCGCCATATAGGTCCGTAGACGAGACCCTTGGGCGCAGGATTCCAGTTAAAGAACTCACTGCGATCTCCCAGCTCGGTGCGGGAGCTGGAGATGCCCGTGGCCAGGATAGTACGGACACCAGTGCCCTCCTTGAGTCGATTAGTGAGAGTTCCAATGCCAGATGCACCATCAGGCCCAAAAGCAAGAATATGCGTGGATCCGGGAAAATGCACGGCCAGTGGCCAGACGACTTGCTGGGTCGTTATCATCGCAATGAGCTTGGGAATCAAGTTGACGGCTCCACACTTGCGTAGATCTGTCCCTGTGTGTGTGCAAAAGACAGGAATTCGGAGTTGGTCACCTGTTATGGTGAAATCGGGGACACGCTCCAGCACGCCTGGAGCGACATCTGTTAGATAGCTGCTGTGGAAGGCCGTGGTTATTGGAAGGAATCTGGTATGGATCTCAGGCTTTCGCTGGCTGAAAGGAATCCGATGTTGCAAGCCCTTTGCCGGAGCTTTCACCTGTCGTAGCCAAACATTAAACCCATGAAGTGACAGTGGCGGTCCAGCCAAAACGGCATTGGTAGGCCCGTTGATTAGAGCTATCTCAATGCGGGCATCAACGGGCAAATAATCATTTACGGAAGCTACATAGGTGCGGAGCTGAGAGATTGGACAGTCTGCCACACTCAGCATGGGTCCTGGAAAGCCCTCGCCGTTGGCTTCGGCGTCTGCAACAACGTCCGGCGGCAGCTGGCCCACGGCAAATTGGTCCTGGCTGGCAGTTCCGATGGCGAGCAGCAAACGAAGCGCATCGAGCGCGAGCGCGTCGAATTGTGTCCACGATTGCGCCACTGCAATCACAGTGGCTGGGATGATGCCTTGAGAATGTCCTGTGGCTCCAGCAAACGCGGTCTGAAGCTGGGCAGGTGTGGTACCCACTATGCGTCCGACGACTCGATACCAGGCCAGCTGCAACAAACCGATGAGCGGCATACTGACAGGCGCACCGATTAGGTAGTCAGATGGTGGCGTACGATCCGGGTTCTCGAGCCAGGTGACTATGTCCATGCCATTGTGATAGAATCGACTGATGCTCTCCTCACGGGTCTCGCGCTGCAGCATACTCGAGACTGACGGAATGAGGTCTTCCACCAGCGGGCGATAGGTCCGCCAGAGCATCCGCAGCTCTTCAAAGTAATCTTCATCATTGCCCTGTCCGCCGAACACAGCATATAGTCGTGCTTTGCGTTGCTGCGCGGCAGCCAGGAGCGCAGAAGGTGCCGCTGGTCGACTGACTTTGCGCAGAACATGGCGCGCACGTACGTAAGCAGCTAAAATGGCCGACTCGGCGTCTGCGGAGATGTCCAAGGCATAGACTACGCCATGGATCTCGCGCTGCAGTAGAATATCACGATCGAAGGTATCGAGGGCGATGGTCAAAAGATGTCGGAGATCGTCAGCCAATCCATGGGGAGATTGCTCCAAACGACGCACAGTAAAACCAATAAAGCGGGCCCACAGCTCCACCAGAGAGGATACCGGCTCGGCCCCACCAGCGGTTTGAAGATCATGGAGAAAGTCATCGCGCAGCTGAAGCGCAGCGGGGAATGAGGCAGTAGAAATGGACAGGGTATGTGAGAAACGGCCATCTGTGATGGTGAGAATTTGGCTGCCCCAAATGTTGCTGGGCGACGACGACGAGGATATTTCATCAGGCGTCGACCAGTTCGAGGAAGTCGAAGCCGACAAGACAGCCGACGGCCCTGGCAATTCGGTCGAGATCAACATGACAAAGAAACAATTGAACTGCCAAGGCTAGGCATCAATATATTCTTTTTGCCCATCGCAAACGCCAGACCCTGCCATATATTCTTCATTTCTTTGTCTCCTTTTCTCTTTGTCTAGGTATCGTCGTTGACGGGGGGGGGCGCAATCGCGACGGGTGGGTCTTGGGAGATGTTGAGCCCTAAGCGTCTCACCGTGCAGTGACGCTAGCTCACCGTGCAGCATTCCCAAGGCTGCAGCCAATCTGACACACCAAAATAGCCCTGTCTTTATACGAAGCTAGAGGCGCTTAGGGGGCTAGAAATGCGTCGGACCAATGCTGATCAGGCAACCGTTCTAAAGGCCAAACCCCGACGGCTGATCGACCGTGAGATTGAATTCAATTTAAAAATGTCGCCCGTCAGCACCTTGTGACTTTTCTCCGCTCGTCTGTTTTGTTGTTCTTCTATCACTCTCTTTGATCTCTGGGTGCTGTTATACTCTTGTTGGCCGTTATTATGGGTTGGCCAACTCATTGTGGTATGTTCTTTTTCTATCAATCTTCTGGGCCTAGACTGATCTTGATAGATTTGTCCAGCGAGGACGCTCAATATGCCTACTGCGCCAATGGGCCCGCCGCTGTCTTCTTCACAGTTTTATTCGGACTTACCTGGCTCGCCCATTCCGCTCAAGCGATCATGTACCGGAAGAAGTTCTGCTGGGTGATTGTAGTGGGCACAGTGTGGCAATGCATCGGAATGATTATGCGCACCTACTCGACCATCGATCAAACCAAGTCGACAACCACGACCCCCGGACAGCTTTTGATTCTTCTGACGCCCTTATGGGTGAACGCCTTTGTGTACATGATCTTCGGCCGGATGGTCTACTACTTCTTACCAGAGAAGAAGGTGGCAGGCATTCGGGCCGAAAGACTGGCCCAAATCTTCATCTGGCTGGATGTGAGGTGAGTTTCGCCCCGAAAGGCCGCCCTGGGTCAACTGTCCAGGACACTCATTTTGTGTAATGAAACTAGCTGACTCTGATCTGACAGCTCTTTCATTGTTCAAGCAACTGGTGGTATCATGGACTCGGACTTTAGCGACGAGATGAACAAAATCGGACTGCACATCTACACAGCCGGCATTGCAGCGCAACAGTTCTTCATCCTGTGCTTCTGTGGACTACTGTTCGCCTTTCACCGTCGGATGCAAGAGCATGGTAGCATCTCTCGTGGCGGTGGCTGGCGCCCGTTGGTGATGGCCATGTGGGCCACTTTGACATTCATCACGGTAGGTCGCCTTTCCAGGACCATGAGTTACAGACGAATAATGTATATTAGATTCGAATCATCTACCGTCTGATTGAGTTTGCCGATACCGACAAGGCCGGGACAAGCCCCTTGACCCTTCACGAGGCACCCTTTTACTGCCTAGAATTACTGCCCATGCTCTCCGCCATGGTCATCTGGAACATCTGGCACCCTGGCCGTTATCTCCAAGGAGATGGCTGTGACTTTCCCAAAAAAGTAAAGCTGTCCCGCAATGAAAAGAAAATGATAAAGCAAGAAGCCAAAGAGAGCAACCGCCGGGGTCGTCGTCGCTCGTCTAGTCGTAAAGGTGCACCTGTTTCTGAGTCTCACTCGGCGAATTCGTTCGACGAAGGGGCTCTGGAGTCGCAGGGTTATCAATTACGAGGACATAGATAATCAGCTATATATCAAGTAGGGAGTGCATACAGAGAGAGTTCTTCAGACATGACCAACAAAGTGCCTATTGTAATTTCAAGCATTCAGATTTACTTTCAACAGTTACTTGTGTCACAAACACTCCACGATGTATCAATGCTGGATTTTAAATACTAGCTGCATTATTTTACAAGTTATTCAATCTAAGTTTGTTGAGAGCGAACATTCACACTTGCAAGAGAGAGGTATAAGTACTAACAGTTAGAGGGACATTCTATAGGGTAGTCCTGGAAGATCAGTAGCAAAACCTATCCTCCGTGGCTGCACGAATTATAAGCTTAATTAGGCAAATGGAAAATCTAATATGATGTGAGAGGAGTTTTGTTGGAACTGTTGTGTGTAAATCGAGATAGAGAGTATTGCGCTCAGCTGGGCAGGCTTAACCTGCCACTAGACCCAGGAAAGAATGCAAGAACAAGGAGACAGCTGGGTACGCTAGCCCCGTCCCAGAGGCAAATTAACCGAAGATGCAGAAAAACCAGAAAATTGAAGGTGGTAAGATATCCCAAACCCATTCTTATTTATGGAACATCACCTATATGCGAGCATCATAAACCCTCGTCTGCCCCTCAAAATCTGGAATATCTAACTGCACTCCAGCGTGAACCAACATCTCAACTAGCTCTTGCTGGTTCGACTCACAAGCCATATGCAACGCGGTGCGTCCCCACCAATCCTGATCGTTCACAGCACGGGGGAATGCTCAATTAGGACGCGCACAACCCCCGGCTGCTGGGCCTGTACGGCGATATGGAGTGCTGTCTCACCCTTTCGGGTAACCCAGCTGATTAGGTCTCGAGATGGGGAGCTAGATAGTAGCAGTCGCACTACACCTGCATGACCTTGTTGCGCGGCTAAATGTAGGGGCGTGAAGCCCGCGCTGTCGGGTAGGGCGGGATCAGCACCGGCCTGTAGTAGTACTGCTAATACGGACTCGTGGCCGTATAGTGCTGCGCGATGTAATGCTGTGTGCCCATGTGCTCCATCAGGTCCTCTTGTAATGGAGCTGCCGGTGCTCTCTGGGGTTCCGCTTGAGGTGTGTAGAAGTGGCGGTACGGGTGTTGAGCAAAGAAGGTCTGTGTCGATTGAAGTTTGGAAGGGATGGGCTTGATTCTTGGGCGAGGTCGAGAGCGAATCGGAGCCAGAGCCCATGGTCTTCAAATTGAAGATTTGATGTGTATTCTCATCCAACGATTGTGCCCAAGGGCTTTCGGTGAGGCCAACCTGATCTAGTTGCGAGATGTATGAATCTAGATCGGACGGCAGTTGTGGGGGGTCCTGCTGTTGTATATGATTGTGAGGATGCGCATATGGTTGCGATGGCCATTGCCCTGATGATTGTGGTCCCACAGCAGGTTGCTGCTGTGATGCCCCTGGTTGAGAAGATTTTGAGTCTAGAAGAGAAGACAGCCTACCGGTGGCCGATCTGGCAGTGGCTTTAGTCTGTGTGCTGTTCTGGGATGTGGAATTCTCGTCCCCCTTGCGTAACCCTAAATCTCATCATCAGCTTTGTGATCTACCAAGATCGTCCCGCTCTATCCACCGAGTCTCAGTCTCCATTTCACAACCAATGACAATTGTCCTACTCACTTTCTCGATATCCACGTTGGGCAATTCGATTTTGCGCTCGACGACGCTCCACTGGGTCACTGATATTCGCCCAGTTCTCGCCTAGCACTGGGGTTCTAATCACGAAGATCATCGGTTCAGCTTAGGCAACTCCAATTCAATTTAGAGTCAGGGGGAGGGGGGAGACGAACGTGATCATGATGCATAGAGGCTCACCTAGCATAGCCATGCAGGCAACAAGTAAAACAACCACAGGCGGAGACCACTCATTCAGGTCCACGGTGTCACAAAGCAGTCTCATTCATGATACGCATCAATTATCCACATGGCTCTGGTCTTCATCTCCTTTTAAACCTTGCTTACGAGGTGGCAGCCAAGGACCAACCATCTTAGGTGCTGTTCCATCGACCGTACCCACTGCTAATGCGCACTCGTTGCTTACGCATTTGGACACGGAGTTTCCTCGATCGTACGGTCTGGGTATACTCCATTGTAAAACATCCAGCAAACCCCGTAATAAAATCCTTCGTTCCTGGCTGCACACGCTAATGCAGACTAATGGTCTGAGAGTGTTGTCGTTTGACCAATAGCCGAAATGCCTCAGCGATCGTGCTAGCAGCACCCTAGCAATTGCGACGTGGGCGGTGGCCACGTTGCTTGGGGGCTGACTCCCGCCTTCTGTCTACCAATCGAGCGCGGCGTCTTCCGTCCACTCCAGGCCTCCCCCTCCCGAGAAACTTACCCGGCGATCACTCTGATCACTCTGTAAGTAATCTGGGTTATTTTGTCGATCATTGATCCTCGTAGGTCTACCCGGTTGATCTCTCGATCGGGTACTTCGGGTGTTGATTGCCCGATTTTAATGTTACCTAGAGAATCTTAGTGTCCTAGTGGGGTGTTCGTTATTTACAGGTATTTGTGGGATGCCAAAGCTGACGAAGAGCCTTAGCCTTGAAGTATGGATAATCCTCCGATTAGACCTGGCAGTGACCCGCGGGTGACTCTCAGGGTCGTTAAATAGGACAAACAAGATACAAACAATTAGATAAATTTGATTATATAAGTGGATTCATATATCCTAAATTGGATTAGTGCTGTCTATCCATACATCCGAGGGTCGCTGCGGGCCGTGGAGGGACAGGGGCAAGGTCGGGTGGAGAGTCTAAGATCATGGACCACCCGGAGGGTCACTGCCAGGTCTAACTCAGATCCCCTGCAGGGCCCATGATCATCCATAGGTAAACCAAAGACATGATTCGTAGGCTGACGAAATGGCAAAATGTAACACAAAATCCACATCACGAGCGTTGACTTATACGTAAAAATTAGATATGACAGACAAGCCATCAGAGCCTTGGAATATCTTCACAATCACGTCAGCCTAGGGATTGGTAAATATATGGGGAGCCGAAATATTCATCCGTTGTTATATCTAGTCTGCGCCGAGATAGGGCCGATACCACAATTCTCTAGCGCTGGGAAATGACCATGATATAAGTACTTATTCATAAATCGGTTATCTATTATAAAGTATTATTCCTATTATCTATAAGGAGACCCTCTTGAGAACTATAATAGTAGTCTTTTCTTTTATAAAATAGACCTAGACTGCGACATTGCCCGTTTTTGGGCACTAGGAAATGTCCACGACCCGTAGGCCTTTTGCAATTTGACACCCATCGCCCGCCCGTATGCAGAAAAATGCAAGAATTACTCTATTAGGCTATTGTATGTAGATAACCTATTCCTGGCAGTGTCCACTTTGCGAAGAGTGCCCGCATATGTCTTGGCGGCGCTAAAGGTGTCTCCGCTTTAATGGACGCTGTCGCAGTCTAAATAGACCTAGATCTTTTTTAACGTAATAATCCAAATATGAAGTATCGAATACAACAAAAATAGACGAGCGGCCTTAGCTCCAACCGATACTGATCTGCCTGCTGCTTCTGCTTAGAACCTTTCCAAGTCAATGAAAGCCAAAATGAGGTAGCCTGAAGCTCTTCATTTATTTAAAAGCGCGCTTAGTTCGACTTGTAAGGTTACATTGATTAAACAATCTTACCGCACCACCGAGTAATTCCGAAATGAAGCTCCCTTCTCTCGTCAAAGCGAGTCAATTCACTTTTCCCCTAATATTTCAAACTGCGTCCCACACAACCAGCAATACAGCCTCGCTGCTTTCAGCACAATATGGAACAACACTCAACGTCGACGTGACGTTCGCCAATCAGACATTCAAGCTTCTCGTCGATACAGGCAGCAGTGATACCTACGTTGTCAGAAATGACTTCATTTGCATTAATCAAACAACGAACCTTGAGATCCCTCAAGCGGACTGCCAGCACGTCTCCCCAGGGTACAACGAATCAGACACCTATCGTTTGATCCCCAATAAAACATTCGGCATACAATACGGCAATGGTATAGCGAGCGGAGTCATGGCCTACGAAGACATCACATTAGCCGGTATTACTGTCCCCGGACAAGCCGTCGGAATCGTCGGCCACAGCAATCCCATGGGTGACGGCATAAACAGTGGCGTGCTAGGCCTCGCCTATCCCTCCCTCACCTCCGCACATCCAGGGGACCATACCGACAATACAACATTTTGGTACAATCGTGAATGCTACAGTCCCTTGTTCAACACCATGTACGAACAGGGCCATGTTTCAGAACCCTACTTCAGCATTGCGCTCGCACACACGCCGCGAAACCTTTCTATGCCAACCTTCGGCGGGTACCTCACTTTGGGCGACCTACCGCCGGTGGCATATGATCCGAAATTTGCCAGTGTTCCCGTAGAAATTTTGGAAAACATTCCGCCCGCCTTCACCTCTGGCAAACGTACTCGATCATATTGGGCTTTTACCGTGTCTGCTGTGACATTTGGAGCCACAAAAAATGTGGATCTCGCCACGAGCACGACCTCCATAACTACCAACAGCATGGAGTTCCAGGTATTCACAGATACCGGAAACGACTACAGCTATCTGCCTGCTGTGGTTGCGGATCCCATCAATGCCTTGTTCGATCCGCCAGCTATTTACAATGAGACACTGGGAGTTTCTGTCGTCAATTGTAATGCACAGCCACCGATGTTTGGAGTACAAATTGGAGACCATACATTCTATCACGATGGACAGGATCTCATTTATCAGACCGGTGATGGGTACTGTGTCTCAAGTTTAGTGGCGTCGGAGCGTGTGGCGTTTGAGGGCATTATTTTAAACATTCTGGGTGTACCATTTTTGAAGAATGTGGTGTCCGTTTACGATTTCGGTAGAAATGAGTTACGATTTGCGCAGAGGTCGGATTGAAGACTGAGGCTCAGGCAGTGCTTTATATATTTAGATGAACCCGTATCGAATTACGATTTATGGCCTTGTATTTAGTCAATTTTTCAACTGGATAGGGACATTCGCATCCAGTTCAATTCTAGAATTCATGTCTTATTCAAAGCTCTCTTTGGCTTAGGCGGATACTTTGGTATGGGCAATCTCTTGTTTGTGTCTCCAGACCCGCTACTCCTGTTCAAATTCATGGGTAAGGAATATATAGAGGAACAAGTAGTCCCAACGCCACACATCGCGCGGCGGAAGAACTCCAAGTCTAGACTTCAGCACAACCCACTCTAACTGGGACCTAACTTTAACCTGACCTAACCCGAAATGGGTTTCAGGTCTATTACTGTAAGAGTATACAATTATCAGGTGTAGGGCCTGTCAACCGGGTAGGATACGAGGCTTTTGATTGGGAGAGGGGATCCAAAATGTATTCGTCTTAAGTGGTAAGACTAACTCTTATAGAAGGAAATAGGATCCTAAGGATCTCTAGGTTCTTATACGCTAGTACCCTATATATACCTAAACCGAGTCCCGAGCTAGTTACGAATCAACCCCACTTTAACCCTGGGACATAGATGATATACTTAGATGGATGACCAAGTATCAGAAGTGAAAGGACCTTTATCCTTTATAGCTTCTATAAGCACTACTTATCTAATCTTATTAGATCAAATAAACCTATTTAATTCAGCGATATCGACCTATTTTAGTATATTAAAAGGATCCTAGCCACTCAATTAGTCCTAATCCTCCCCCTAAGGATACCGCAGCCAAAACGGGAGACAAATCACCTACAGGCAGCAGCAGGAGCGCCCAATCAAGAGGCAGAAGGCCCTAAGCAGGTTCTCGGCCTATAGGGAGAGCAATCATACGTTTAAAGACTGCCCAATGCGGAAGAATTGAGGCTTTTTGTATATAGATCTGATATATAAGGTTGGTGGTCATGTGATCTTTGTCCTATTTATTCCGATGGGGTGCATTAATGTATTCCATATGCGAGCTGCGCACACAAGCGAGCTGCGCAGTCCCAAACACATCGTAAATGCGATAAATTACAACTTGATATTTCAACCACTATGGTCTATAAAGATTTCGCCCTATAGCCTCCTACTTTTTAGGTGGTATCTGGTCTCTTTACGGGATTTGAAGGAAGTTTCTAACTTTATGAGATATATATATTTCTAGTTTTTAGTAACGTAATTGACGGTAATTTTTGAAATAATAATAATATATCTATCCAATATCTTCAAAATTGAGATATGGTGCTAATAAGTTTTATCGATAGCTATCGACAAATAAGGAGCTAAAATAATGACATAGTTGTTGAAATATAAATGTAGAATATATCGCATTTACTATGTGTTTGGGACTGCGCAGCTCGCTTGTGTGCGCAGCTCGCATGTGGAATGTTAGTTAGTTAGTTAGTTATATAATTCATTGATTATATCATGGGGTGTAATTGGTGATTTTTGGGGTGCAGGGATCAATACCCCAGTCAGGTCTGCTCCTGTAATTTATCTAATATATATTAGTACCTGTCGAATATTATCTTAGTAAATGTCGACTCGTCTCTGCGCTCACTGGGCGCAGTCTGAGTGCTGACTAAGCAATCACCCTCCCTGTACTGTGAAATACTCAGTGAGCAGGACCCTGAGCGCCCTCATAAAGCGGCGGCACCCCGATCGGGTCGCATCCGCGGCCTAAAATCTGGTACATACACGTACATAGGTACATAACCTTTGGGCATTTGGTAACGCGGCTCCTTCGCCTTGTCAAGCATCGAGTGCATTGTAGCCTTTAAAATGCTTTGGTTCTTCGTTCTTGTCTTAGTTACAATGACAGTCGAAGCTGGCTCTGAATCCCACCCACGAAACTTCAGGTGAGCGTGTCATGTGCTCATTAAAACACCCTTTTGCAAGGCAACATTAAATGCGGGGCAAAGACGCGGCTGATCCCCAGCACAGACACTTGAAAGTGCATCAAGGTAACGAGGATATTGACAGAATTTGGAGGAACTGTCAAATCCTTCACCTTCGAAGTGGTAAAAGATGTCACCAAAGGTCTAGGGGACTTTTTACACCCCCCAAACCCGAGCTTGAAAAGAAATGCATACCCCAGATTAAGAGACAAAGGTGCGGATATGGGGGAAGGAAGGGCTTAAAAACGTCCTTAGCATTGGACTGGTCCCTTGCCATATTTTTTTTTTTTTCAAGCACTGCCATGCACGAAAGACTTGGCATGGAACCGTGGCAATCTCTCAGCCTCACAGTATAAAGTAGCCCTATACAGAAAACGCCTAGACTAGTCTGAGAACGGTTGAGCATAGATAAGCTAATATGGGTTGGGGGCTAGAAATATATTAAATTGTACGTACACAGTCCCCAACTCCTCGGCATACTCCGTACAGCCTTTCCTGAGATTTATACAGGATACATATAGATCATACTGGGCTTCAAATTGCACAAATAGCTTGACGTTTCAGAATCTTAGATGTCCAGATCTAAAATAAGTCAGGCACACAAAGGGCCTTTTAATGGAACAAAACCCGATGGGGGCCTAAAAGGGCTGAGGGAGGGAATCTCGGCTTGGCTCTTCTCGTGTAATCCCGCCTAATAACTTACAAAGTAAATTCACCATAAATTGATGCTCAATCAAGAGTAGATCCAGCCTAAGACCATAACTCCACGCGGAAATGGAGAATCCATGCTTAACTGAGCTGAAGTGATAAATGTTCCGACGTGAGTTACCGCACTTACCAGAGATTTGGGGAAGATATGGATGTGATCAAGTGCACTATGAGGACTAAAAAAATCCCCTTCGCATCCGCGCTAGACGAGCACATAACCAATAGGGGAGGTGGTGGACCAGCCAACCATTACGAGACCCCATCGAGCCCATCAAAGCTCCATTGTGCTGTCAGCCCAAAATCCTTTCCAATACTCAGCCCTGTCCGGGATCTGGCTTTGAAATCCAAAATTCTTTGTTTTTAGCCCAAGTCCCCTTTTCTCACCCTCGTCCCCATTTTATTCTGTGTAAAACTTCAAATCACATTGCGGTGTGCATATTGTGTTGGCGAATCGTCAACCCTCCCCTGTACATTATGTTTGTGAGCCAACTAGCCCGGCCGCTAGCATGGCTGGCTTTGGCAACCGTGATAGTGGCTGCCGACTCTTCTAGAAGTGCAACTGCTACTCATGCAGATTCATCATCGACGGTAACCTCAACAACTTCCTCCTCGACCGGTATCACGACCCATACAGTCAAGGTGGGGGCGAAATCAGATCCACACCAGTTTGATCCAGCGAGTATAACGGCCAATGTTGGCGACATTGTCGTTTTTGAATTCTACCCAACGAACCATTCTGTCGTCAAGGCAGATTATGACGCCCCTTGTCAACCAGCAGATGGAGAAATCTTTTATTCTGGAGCCTTCGCGGATTTTAATCTGCAAGATGGACAAATGGTCGGACCGGTGAGTATAATAATCTCGAATTTGCAACACAAATGATCAATCAAAATAAGGAGATTAATATATGCAATATAGGCCCCGACCTGGTCTTTGCGAGTCAATAGTACCGAGGTATGTATCTAGCCAAAACACATGCTCGCAACCTAGGAATGAGGCTAACAGCTGTCCGACGTAGCCCACATTCTACTACTGCACTGCAATTGACTCATGCATAAAGAATGGAATGGTCGGAGTAATCAACCCGGTATGACTCTCTGTTTCCCTTGGCATGAATTCAGGCTGACTGTGACTGTTGAACCCCATAGAACAAAACCCAGACATGGCAATCGCAATATGACAAAGCTCTGAAATACCCTTACATGCTAGTCCCAGGTCAGCCTGCACCCGCAGAAGGCAGCACTGGAGGTAGCGGCTCCAGCGACAACAAAAACGGGGACGACAAAAGCAGCGACGAAAAGCATGGGCTCAGCACGGGGGCCATTGCCGGTATCGCCGTGGCAGCTGTCGCCTTCGTAGGCATATTGGTGGCACTATTCTTCGTCCTCGGCCGTAACCGCGTTTACTCGCAGTGGATGTCCTCGCAGGATGGGCGCACAGAGCGTACTGCACGCTGGGCAATGTTCAATCACGGCGACGGTGGAAAAAGCGAAGCGGGAAGCGCTGTCCCTACCCAAAAATCAGGCCATATCGACATGACGGCCGTCTCGAGTCCGGATCCGACTGTACGTGCAGTATCACCTGGGTTGGGAGTTTACTCGGGTCCTGGTTCGCCGTCGACGCAGCAGGGTCACTGGAGCTGGAATGAGCCTCAGCCACGTGCCCGTACAAGCGCGATTGCAACAGAGCTTGAGGGTCATCCGATCATCTGGGAAGCACCAGGAAGTATCCCCGGGCAACGGCCCTGAAGGGGTCGCAAAAGTTTTGGAGATTCAATGGGAAGTGTCGAGTCGAGGTTAGCCTCGGGCGAGATCTTTTATACATTTTGGGGGATGCGGTTTTGGCGTTCGATTATTTTCCTTCCATCCATGAATGGATGTGGTTTTTTTATATATGTATATTGATACTTGGAATTTCCCGCCTGTCATGATAATTTATCTTTATTTGTTAATATTTCAGTTCCTGAACGGCGAAAGCTTACACCCAGCTCTCACGTGTTTGTCGGGCTCGTAGAAAAATCATCGCCATAAGCGAAATTTCAAGATATGAGCTCGTGCTATGTAGGAATTTCCGAAGAACCACAATTGAGAGGGGAGCGCATGCGCTGGTCAATGAGCCTCCCCTGGTGGTAAACCAAGTGACTACCGATGGCACAAAACGGCCGCCAATAAAGAAAAAGGTGCGATGAAACACGACCAATTGTGGGATCGCTCTTTCTATTAAGGTTCTTTGTCGCAATGCTAAGCCTTACTAGATCGTACTGGGAAACTCTCTAAATAGCCCGGTCGTTCAACGGCTTGCTTCTAAGCTTGGAAGTGCGTGTTCGTGTTGTGTTAGGCCTGTTCGTCATTTTGACTTGACCTCTGCACATCCTCAGTCGAATTTTTTGTCCCCGAACATCGAACTGTCGCTTGACATGTATTCTCGACATCCCGGACAGACATGATATGATGGTCGGAGGGTAGGATTACTATCACCACTGAATCGAGGAATATCCTTCAGGAATGAGGTAGAGAGATCTGGTATTATTTGGGGAAGGGAGTGACTTATTTCATCCTTGAGGATGGAGTTATAGAGATCTGGGGGACAGTTGCGCGTGTAGGGAGTTGTTCAGGGGAAGAAATATCGACATGCGCTGAATTGACGATAACTGTAATCTAACCAGGAATAACACAGTTACGTATGCGCTGAAGGCTGGAGACTGAGTAAAACCGGTATCAATCTGCACCGTAATTACGGTATTATTCATCAACTGCTCACGCGCCGAAAATTTATTTCTCAAGTGAATTGCCTAAATCGCCAGAAGTAGATCATGTCTACTCCGACAAGACGTCAGACTTTCGGGATCTCAGGGACCCATAAACAAGCTCTTCGAACTTGGGCACAAAGTCAAAATCCACGTCCATCGCAACAGCAATGTGCTGCTTGGTTCGAACGAACCTATGGACGAAGCCTCTCCCAATCGACCATCTCGACAATCCTCTCCAAAAAATGTGAACACCTTGATAGTGGCACAGCAACGACATTGAGACGTCAACTGGCACCACAATGGCCCCTCCTGGAGACCTCACTTTGTGAATGGCTCGCAAATCAAGAAGGCCCAATGCCCACGTCCGATGCTATTGTTACCAAAGCACGCGAAACCTGGAGTCAAATTTCAGATTACCAGACTCTACCACTTCCTCACTTTAGTAATGGATGGTTAGCCAGATTTAGAAAACGATATGCCACTCAAGTCCATGAACGCCACGATGGCGTGCCTCAACCCCCACTCCAGACTGGTCGCAAGGAAATGAAAGCAATGAAAACGCTATGTGGTGAATTTCCAGAAGAGGATATCTACAACATGGACGAGGCTGGCCTTTTCTGGCGAAAACCTCCCTTCGGCGCTTCCACCGCCCAGGACCAATCAATAACAAATAGGGAAAATTCCCGCATCTGCCTCATGCTCTGTACAAACAGCACTGGATCAGACCGGTTACCCGTTTGGGTCATCGGGCACTCAAATATGCCTGAAGCACTTCGCAAAGCGAATCTCAAAGCCATGGACTGCCATTGGCGATATCACCGGCAAGCCTGGCTAACGCAATGGATTATGCAAGAATGGCTACTCTTCTTTTACAACCACGTAGGTGAGCGTAGGGTTTTGCTTCTACTGGACAATCATCCAGATCACCAAGCTGCCGTCGAGGCTACGCCGCCGCCTCCAAATGTGCATGTTCAATTATTTCCTGCTTCCACGCCCGGCTCGACTCAGCAACAGCCAATCAACTTGGGAATCTCCCAGACTCTCAAGCACTATTATCGCAGACAATGGCTCGCGTACATTGTGGCCAGTATTGAACCGTCCCCCAGCCCGATCCACATGATGAGTTTGTATCACGCTTTATCCTGGATCACCCGGAGCTGGCGTCACGATGTCGCAAACGCCATTATTTACAGAGCCTTCCGGAAGAGCAGTCTCATGGAGCCTCAGATTGAGTTCATCACGGCTCCAAAATTACCGGACCTCACTACTCTATACGAAACAGTCGCACGACACAATCCTGATGGTCGGCCAGTCACCAGCCTTGAAAACTTCACTCATCCTGTGGACGAGGATTTCGAGAATACATCAAATGTGGCCAGATTTATCCTTGATGGCGAGACTACTCTACAGGAACTGGATGATGCCATTGTTCCCGTACCGTCGGAGCAACTCGTACCCCCTGCTATGGATGCGGTCATTGGGATACAGACGTCCATTCGATACTTGGTACACCAGCCTTGGACTACTGGCAAGGATCTCCAAGCTCTTGAGAGAATAGAGAGAATGATTAATCGTCTGGTTATTGAGGAGCGACGACAGGCGCACGTTGGTGGCTTTGATTGAGAGGTGGGAGAGTGATGGTGACACATTGGCATCGTATCCATTCGTGTCTCCCTCTGAATATTAATAGACATGAGCTATTTCTACCTTTACAACATGTTCTCGAATATGCTATAGATTCAAGTCAACGGTACTCTTCGTCCCGTGCTTCAGAATCTCACATGCAGATGAGCACCTCTCCATAGTATTCTTATATCCAAAAAGCGTGCTGGTCATGTAATGGATTGGTTTCCGGTATGTGAAACTTCAAATCAAGGTCAGCTAAAATCTCTCGGCCTTTCATGAATTCGCATCAGTCCATAGAAATAGAAATGTCGAAAATGCGGTGTGCCAATATGCACTACAATATGTTGGTGATGACTATGAGCGTGGGCCGAGCTCTATACGGTTGGCCCAGACGAGGAGCCTAAGCATAGCTTATCATAATACCTTGACTATATAATATCGGGAGCAGCCCCACTACGAGCGTTCAAGACTACCCCTCTACCATAGGTTTAACTCAAAGTCTAGTGGGCTCTTCTATAAGTATATTCCCAAATAAGGACCACCTGATTCAGTCACCGGATGTGGTAAGATTATCGGCCTACAGGACTCACTGGCTAGCTACTCTGTTTTGTTGGAGTATATTACAGCGTCTTAGAATTAAACGAATGAGGGAAGCTCCAGTCGTGAGAACTGTGGATGTGATGCATCTCTAGAAGACAGCGTACCGATGTCCGTGGAGCGTTTTCTGTAGGGCCGCTATGATGAATATATACAACTTCAATATTGAAAGGTGCTGTGAGAACTTTGCCAAAATAGAAACATATCAACTATAGTCCGACTGTTGCGTCGACGTGACTGTTTTTTATACCTCGCACTTTCTATTTAAATCCAAGAAGATTCGTGATGCTGTTGATTTTGCCTGGTACGGCCCAAATTTCAGGTTCTCGACTCTGCAATTTTAGGCTTTTGTCAATTCCACGAAGCGTGCAGCATTCACTTCATATTACCAACTATGGACTGGTCATCCGAAAGTAATCCTTCCAGACTATCCGTCGATTTTGTCAAAGTACAAATCAGAGAGTGTATCCGGTCATTGAAGAACCTCTCGGTAATTGATCCTAGGAAGGAAGCATCACACAAGGGGGGCTGCTGATTTTCGATAGCATTCTATAATTCGGAGTCACGGCGATGGCACTCATGGGTTCACGATGCTGCCGAGAAGGGGCGAGAAGATCACGGTAGGCATGGACCCTGGATCTTACGGGCAACTTTCGGACTCGGCCAGATATGCCAGAGAAAAGAGAGCCATAGGGGGGAGTAATACTATCGAGAGGTGAATAAACATCTATGCAGTACGATATAGTCGTCTCCGATGTTGGAAAAGTGATGGTTCGACCGTACACAGGCAACGGAAGATTGAGGGCTCATCTTTGGCATTGGAAAAGTTAGGGGAGATAATAAAGCGGACGCCGCGTTCAAGTGGCACTTGGATGTTTTCAGATGATCCACGTAGAAGGTTGAGACCTGCTGGTAAATTATATCGTGTGTTAACATTCTAAGGGAGAAGTGATGGGATAGACTATATCACTAACACCCCGTGTGATATGCGGGGCACCCAAGGGATAGATATATGTAGTGGAGTGATGGATCCCAGCTTGTGTTCTACAATCGACTCTCGGTATTAGAAACCGACCAAAAGGGCATATATATAGCCAGATATCAACATCGGTCTCTCGGGGCCAGGAAATGATAACAAGAATTAGCTCAATCCCCATGTGTCTGCCCCTACGAGGGAAGCCCGGCATGTCATACGACCTAACAGACAAGCCCTGATGGTTAGAGACCTCGATTGGTCAAGTTCAATCACAGATTAGCGCGCGGCCGCACTCAACAACTAACAGGCTGAGATTATGTGACTGTGACTTACAATGATGTACAGCAATATAACCAGAGAGCCTAAGATGAAATGGAATTCACCAAAGGGAAGCGAATTGAACAAGAAAGAAAGTATTATTCCAAATGATATCATGTATAAGACAGCCCCAAAACAAGGAATCGCTTTTGTGTTCTAGACAGGGCCCGAGATGAAAAAAAAAACAAGCCAAAGAAAATATTTACTCTACAGCATCAGTGATACAGCCCTTACTGGCATCCTGAACGGTTCTGGCATACTTGCCGAGAGTACCACGCATGGTAAGACCAGTCTCAGGGAGATCGCCAGCAGCCTTGCGAGCTTCCCACTTCTGTTTGCGGTCGGCGAACTCGGCGTCGGTGAGCTCGACATCAAGGACACGCTTCTCGGCATCGATGGTAATGATATCGCCGTCGTTGACAAGACCGATGGGACCACCAACAGCAGCCTCAGGGACAATGTGGCCAATCAAGAAACCGTGGGAACCGCCGGAGAAACGACCATCGGTGATGAGGGCACAAGATTGACCGAGACCGTAACCCATGAGGGCACCAGAGGGCTTGAGCATTTCTATAATACTGTTAGCATTATGTTTCATTGTATTAGATCCATTGCACGTACCAGGCATTCCAGGGCCACCCTTAGGACCGCAGTAGCGGATGACAACAACGGTCTTCTCCTCCTTCTTGATTTCACCACGCTCCAGAGCGGCGATGAAGTCATCCTCACTGTCGAACACGCGGGCCTTTCCGGTGAAAGCCATGCCCTCCTTGCCGGTAATCTTGCCGACACTGCCACCAGGAGCGAGAGAGCCGCGGAGGATCTGAATGTGACCAGTCTTCTTGATAGGGTTGGAGAAGGGGCGGATGATCTTCTGGTCCTCGGGGAAGCCAGGGAGCTTCTCCAAGTTCTGGGCCATGGTCTCACCAGTAACGGTCATACCGGAGCCATCAATAAGACCCTCCTTGAGAAGAAGCTTCAGAAGTGCCGGGGTACCACCAACAGCGTGGAGATCGGCCATGACGTACTTGCCAGAGGGCTTGAGATCAGCCAGGAAGGGAATGCGATCGGACACAGCCTGGAAGTCATCGATGGTGAGCTTGATGCCGACTGAGTCAGCGATGGCAATCAAGTGCAGCACAGCGTTGGTCGATCCACCGGTGATGTTGACAACAACCATGGCGTTCTCAAAGGCCTGGCGGGTAAGAATGTCGCGAGGGCGAATGTCCTCAGCGAGGAGCCTCTTGATGGCACCACCAGCTGCGAGACACTCGAGGTACTTGGCCTGGGAGTTGGCCGGGTTGGAGGATGAACCAGGAAGAGTCATACCCATGGTCTCAATGGCGGAAGCCATGGTGTTGGCAGTGTACATACCACCACAAGCTCCCTCGCCGGGGCAGGCGTGGCGGATGACGTCAAAGCGCTGGGGCTCGGTGATTTCCTTGGTAAGGAATTGACCGTAGGCCTGGAAGGCAGACACGATATCGATATCAGCGTTGTTCTGGGTAGCAGCGCAGCCGGGCTTGATGGTTCCACCGTAGACCATCAGACTGGGGCGGTTGACACGGCCCATAGCCATCAGAACACCGGGCATATTCTTGTCACATCCGGGAATACTGATGTTGGCGTCGTACCATTGTCCACCCATGACGGTCTCGACGGAATCGGCAATAAGGTCACGACTCTGCAGAGAGTAACGCATACCGGGGGTACCCATACTGATTGCATCACTGACACCGACGGTGTTGAACTGGAAGCCAATCAAATCCTGATCCTGGACACCCTGGCGGACCTTGTTGTTGAGGTCAAGCAAATGCATGTTGCAGGGGTTGCCGTTGAACCACACTGACGAAATTCCGACCTGGGCCTTGTTCATATCGGCCTCCTTCAAACCGACTGCGTACAGCATTGCCTGGGAAGCACCCTGTGACTTGGGCTGGGTGATGGTGCGGGACACCTTGTTGAGGGCCTTATCGTCATTCTGGAAGCGCGGGAGAGTGGTTGAGAGAGCCCGACTGGAGAGAAGAAGTTAGTGACAGAAGCAATTGACGTGACCCAAATCAACTCACGCAGGGTTAGACCGGGACAAGGCCCGGAGAGCAGCGGGCATACGTGCCCGAGTTTGGGGAAGCATGATGAGAGTATGATTTGCAAAAATCACACCCAGATACAGCAATTTGAGTGAAAGTCTGGAGAACAGAGGGGGACAGGAAATAAAAGGCGGAAGCTCAAGAAAGTGGGTCCGCCGGTTCAAGAATGAAACCGGAGAAGAGTGAGACCTCCCCGCCAATTGTGTGCGCCTGGTTGTCAGCTGAGGAAAGGCATTTTCACGTTTGGTATTAGGAACCTCTCAGCATATCACAGATGCCTTAATGCGCCTTCTATATGGACTGAAGCATTGTTAAATTGAAGACTGTAGTTAACAAACCGAGATCGGCCTTCTTGCTTCATTGGCAGATCCCTAATATGCGAGGTCAGGCTTATGCCAATAAGAACGCTAAATGTCACTTATATGAAGACTGGTAACGATCTAGCATCTGAGATAGGTCTTGAACGTGTTGATGTACATTGTGGAGGGCACTGGGTTCTAGTGTGGATTGATGATTTTGGATAACAGGGTTGAGTCCGAGACTTCCGCAAAGCCCAGAAATGGGCCCGGACCCCCGGGCCCGAAGCCTCACCCATAGCCCTTTCGTGGGGGCCTGTATGGCCCTTATCATAGCCTATTCAGGGGGTTCAGCGAGCGTCTTAAAAACGCTATACTCTAACGCTTCTGCTAATTGTATGCTTTAATTCAGAATTCAGAGTTGGAATTGCCATATAAGTGTATATTCGTATCTCTAAATGAAATCCGACCAGTGGATGTCGAAAAAGGTTATATGGTATATTTTGTTTTAGATACATGATCAGGATCAAGTACGAGCACCATCACTTTCTAAATAAGCCTTTAATGAATAACTTCCCCAAATAGCACGTTCTTTCCTATTGAGAATCCCAGTCAGTCGATAGCACTTAACACTATTGGGATTGGTTTAACTCTGAATCTCTTCCGTATACTCTGGAAGGTATTAGAGTCTATAGATCCTGTGTTTCTCTATGATTCTATGTATATTACCGTTATGGATTGTATCTTACGTATAAATGATTGATCAAGAATATCTATAGTGGGTGATACTAGTCCTGAATATCAATTTGCAAGAACTATGTCCTTCAATACATGCTTTGTATAGTTCCCATGCTGTATGTCTAAACATCACGCTTCGCAGAATCTTTGTATTAATTAGTGTTCAGCAGGCCATGTAATGTAGCGAGATCAAAATCTTCTTTCATAAGACTGGTGTTTCGGTATATAGGTGGGAAAAGCTTCTGGTCATTTCGTTTTCGCCAATTCAATCAAAATTTGACAGCGCAATGGGCGGTTGATTCTCTCATCTATTGTACAGATAATGCCTAGTAGCTTCTAGGTAGATCAAGTACCTTCTCGCTCACATAATTCAGGATCATCTCCCGACTCACAGGCGCAATACGAGGTACAAAACATTCACGCATATATCGTTCGACATCGTACTCAACCGCATATCCCATACCACCATGCGCCAGAACTGCCCGCTCACACGCCGTGAAGGCAGCCTCTGCAGCAAGATACTTGGCACTGTTGCACGCAACACCAATTTCATGGAAAGGCACCGATCCATCATTGGTGTCATAAAGACGTGCTGCGTGGTAGGTAGCCAGCTTCGCCGCCTCCAGCTTCATGAACGCATCAGCCAATGGATGCGCCACACCCTGGTTCTGGCCAATTGACCGTCCAAAGACCACCCGGTCTTTGGCATACTGCGAGGCCTTCTCCAAAGCGGCATAGCCAAGTCCGAGTGCCTCACCGGCCAAAAGGCATCGCTCTGCGTTCATTCCGTGGAGGATAATTTTGAACCCTTGGTTCTCATTTCCAATTAACGTGTTTGCAGGAATCTTAAAATTATCAAAGAAGACCTCGTTGGCATCCACAGCGCGCCCACCCATCTTCTTGATCTTACGCAAATCGAGACCAGGGGTTTCACGGTCGATGTCGATACAAAACAGGGAGAGACCCTCGCTGGTCTTCTTGACATCTTCGAGAGGCGTGGTTCGGGCGAGAAGTATCATCTTTGATGCCACTTGCGCACACGTAATCCAGATCTTCTGGCCGGTGACCGAATATCCGTCAGCAGTTTTGCTAGCCAAGGTTTTGAGCTTGAGAGTTTCAAGGCCAGTGTTTGGCTCCGTGACACCGAAACATGTGCGCCATGTACCGTTGATAATATTTGGAATGGTTGTTTCTAGCTGTTCCTTGGTTCCAAACTTGGCCAATGGCTGTGTTGCATAGACATTAGCGTGAATGGCTTGAGCACCGGCCATGCCTGCGCCAGATTGTGTGATAGTCTGCATCATCATTGTGGCTTCGGAGATACCTGACAGAACGTTAGAGATTGACATGGGAATTATTACTCGGCAGAACTTTACCTAAACCAGCGCCTCCAAGGGATTCGGGTAAAGCAATTCCAAGCCATCCATCCTTAGCCAATGCAGCATGGAATTCCTTCGGATCTTTTTCTTGTTGATCATGCTCCTGCCAATATGTATTGGGGAACTTGGAACAAATATGCGAGATCGCTTCACGGACTGTAAGCTGTTCATCCGTAAAGCCCGTCATTCCCATGATGTCGCGCCGCCCTGAAGTGGAGAATGCAGCGCGACATTGAGGGGACACTGCCGTTCGACATAAACCACGCAGCAGTCCAAGCCGTTGTGATCGCAGAGCGCGTGGAATCTGTGATCGATACATGGTTGCAAATATGTATAAAGATTATTAGGAGAATCTTCGTGAATCGAATATATACGATTCTACAGAGTAGGTTGCTCATATAGCCGACTCGCTGTCTTGGCATTCTCGATCTACGGAGTCTTCGGCCTCGGTCAAATGAAAGCGTTTTTACTTGACAGGTTACATTTTTTCCCTTGATACATTGCTCATTAATTTCGACCAAGTTCAAGTAGCCGAACTGAATGCCCTGAATGCACTTGGGTGTATGGAAGAACATAGAGCCCAACATTTCTAATTTGATCTGCAGGCTGTACTGAAGCCTCATGGCTCTCATACTCTTCTTCTCTACTAGGACCGCCAAACGAGATGAGCAAACAGGTGCTCTAGTGTTTGCAAGAGAATTTAATCTCTTGCAGGCAGCAGGGCCCTGTGAGCATATCGCTGGTTCCAGTGCCAAACATTCTCGAGAACCATTAAGAACACGACGCAACCATCGGAACTTTGAATATATATTTTTGTGTTTGAATAAGGATGAAAAAATAACCAATGAAATCTAGGAAGAGGTGAGGGCGTTCATCGTTCAGCCACCTGTTCGGCCACTATGTCACTTCCACCAGGACTCTGCTTTCTTTTCTCCAACAACTCGAACTTTCGAACGACTTGAAGAGTGGCATAATAACTGAAAGGCAAGACGATGAACCACAAGCCGAGATTAATACTCGCCGTTGCAATCAACACTGTCGGCACGGCCTGAACGCCAAATCCAACTGCAACCGCAGCGGTTTCGATCCCCCGAAGCAATGAGCTGTATCGAATTTGGTCACCCGGTGAATCCGACAAGTTTCCGATACACCAGTAAATATAATTTTCGACCAAGCCCAGACTGATACGCTCAAAGAGATACAGGCCGAAGCCACGACCGAAAGTCCGCTGATCCCCCCAGTCCAACACAGGGTTGGTGTGTCGATATTCGTTCTGTATAATGACCGCCCAGATCCACGTCGCACTGTTCATGAGCGCAATCAAGATGAATGTGACAATTGCTCTATGCTTTCGATTTTTCAACCAAGGAAGATCCACTAACGACCCACCCAACCAAGTCGCCAGAGTTCCCACCACTGCCGACATGAAGCTTCCGAGTGCGCGAGCGCGAACGGTGAAGTAGGTCGCAAGATAAGTACCAGGATATGCCTGGATCCACCCAAAATACCAGAATAGCGGGACAAGGAGCAAGATTGATCTACTCCTTGCCAGCCGCCACATCACCTCGAGCTCTTTCCGCCAGTGGATGCCACGGGGGGCCTCAATACGCGTTCCATCGTCTCTTTGCACTTTTTCGGGGTTTGATAAGAGGGGCCCAATGACTAGTCCGAGACATTGGATGGCGATAAACGCGAGATATGTCTGGTATCCGACCTGGCCGCGGTGATTGACGCTGTGGTTGATCGCCAAAGATACGGCACCACCGATAATGTTTCCAAAATTGCGGAACGTGAACCAGGTGGCAATGTAGCGACCACGCTTGTGTTGCTCCGGATACCCCGTCGCTACAGCGCCCTCAACACTCCAAAAGAATCCAGCGCTGATGCCGCAAGTGACACAACCGAGATAGACAAGCCATGTTGCGCCAGTGCGATTGTTCAGATACAAACCCGCTGCGTAAAGTGGGTATCCAAGTGAACCCAGGGTCAGGGTCCAGCGAAAACCGATCGCGTTTGTGATAAATGGACCTGCGAAACAGGTCACTGTCATCAATGCGTATAGTAAGGCGTTGGCCGTGTTGACCAAATCTGGGCTCTGGGATCCGCCCACACCCAAACCATTCATTGCACTCCATATCCCTGGCGCGCAGAATGCACATAATCCTACGACCAGGATTTGAAAAATTGTACTGTAAAAGAATTTGGGGCGCGGCGGTGGGTGTTCATCTTGGCTTTCCACAGTTGTCGATACATTGGCTTTGTCTTCAGAATCTACTGAAGGTGTTGACATAATGATTGTGTGTGAGTGCAGTTGAAATCACTGCAGCTGTAATCCCTGTCATACCCAGGACCTAGTGAGTTGATTTTATACTTGAGAGTCCTCGTCTATCCTGTTTATCGGTATGCCCAGACTAGCACGTAACACTATATGCACATGGCACAATCGCGTTATCGATCGGCAATTGATGATGAGGCCATAATGGGCGTAGAAGGTGTCTTGTATCACGAATCAAGTCAAGGCGATCCAATAAGATTCCGCCATCTCGGCATTTGTGAGGGGTCGTGCATTTAACTACAAATGTACTCCTTGCGCTGGAACTGTAGCTCACCCATCTCACATTTGAAGCAAAAGATGGCGACAACTACCGAAGAGCTGCAAATCAGCACGCTTCAGTTGAAGGACTCTGTCGTGAAATTTGAATCCTTTGACCTCCCAACTTCCAACCAACGCATTCTTGGACCTCCGCATCCCAAGAACACAGTTATCCCGCTTGCATTGCGACCCACCGAGGCCGACGCCAAGGCAACCCTCGATGCGGTGGTCGAGACAATCAAGGCTCTCCAAGAGAAAGACGGCATTTTGACCAAGAAGCTCGCAAGGCATGGCACGCTGCTGTTTCGCGATCTACCCATCCATAACGCGGAAGACTTCAGCAAATTCGCGCATGCATTCGGCTATAAACCCCATGAGATTATTGGCATTGTAGTCGACAGGCCGCTGCTTGCGCCAAATGTCGCGCCCGCCAACGAGGCGCCCAAGGAGGTCTTGATATATAGCCACAACGAGTCGCCACAGGTACCACATGCGCCCGAGTATATATTTTTCTATGGGCACCATGCACCGTCCAAGGGAGGGGAGTCACCGATTTCTTCTTCGTTGGAATTATTCAATCGCGCACAGCAAGAAATTCCGGAATTTATCACTAAATTAGCGGAGAAAGGAATCCTTAGCAAAGTGACCTACCGAGCGGAGAAGCAGTATGAAGGGGGATCCACGCTGAAGCAGGCCTTTGGCAAAGAAATTCAAGACGGCGATGACGAAGAGACAAAACGCCGGAAGATCGAGGCCCAGATTACCCGCTACGGCAGAGGGGAGCATACAACATGGGAGTGGACTGATGACGGCCTCGTCTTGACCCACCGGCTCCCTGTCATTCGAACACAACCCGGTACAAACCTGCCGACTCTTTTCACTGGGCTGGCAGCCTACTGGAAACGTACGCAGTTTGATACCGAGGCACGCAAGAAGGTCACCCAGCAGCTCTTCGGGGATGGGACGCCTATTCCTGACAGGTATCTCGCCCACCTGGCGAAGATTACAGATGAGATTCGGGTTCTACATCGTTGGCAGGAAGGTGACGTATTGGTTTATGATAACATCATAGCTCAACATGGTAGAGAGCCATGGCAAGGGGAGCAATCTGATCGGGTGATCATGGCAAGTCTATTCGATGGTGAAAGCGTGCCGGGGGCTTACGGATTTGGGGACTGGGCGCAAGTTGTTCAAGCACTGGATTGAAATCACTCTTCTTTGGGAGGAGAGTTGCACAATACTGGTCAGTGTACGCAATCTGGGGACCGTCTGACTTGTGACTATTTGTATGAATCTATATCTGGTCTCTTCGTGCTGGGTTTCCAAGTAGTGCCTTCTGTGTTCCTTCATATCTATCATGAATCCGGGCTATAGCAACCGTTCAGTTGGCTTATTGTGCTCTTTATAAACGAAGCTTTGGCTTCGGAATGATCGAAAGTTTATCATCGCGCCTATATTCTCGATATCAACTACATGGAGAGTGGGATTATTCATAGGAGATTTTGGAAAGGGGTGCAAAGCACATCGGCGAGATATGCATGACTTTTACCACATTAAGCCCAAATACTGTGGCTTCCAAGGTTTCACGCCCCCACTGGAATGCTTTTTACTGTAGCTTCGCTGTCTATAGAAAACCAGCGTCCGAATAAAGTGATGCTACCATCGATAGATAGATAGATATGTATCCTACGTGTTGTTATTCAAGCTATGGTGGATTCGATCTCGAAGGACTGTAAAAGGATATTACCTCTCATTGACTCCATACAAATTTATCCAGCCCAATGATCTTGGCTTTGGGGTAAAGAATTCCGTATGGGGTATTGCTTATACGTAGGAGGGTGCAGAGCGGCGTGAGCCCTGGAGGTAAGCCTGTCTTAGTAAACACCCACCACTTGCAGGCAATGTGCTATGAAGTGGATTGTTTGTTGCTACATCCAAGAGCTGATGCAAATAGCACTAATCATGCGGACAAAGGTATCCAGGCGGTACATATAAAATAGCTCATTCTGATGAGGTTATGACTTCAGCTTTCTTTCCTTTCGCATCTACCTGGGATCCTCCGCTCTTCCACTTTCCTTCCAAGGCTTTAAGCCCACACAATAAGACTTCCTGGCGAGTTATTGGTCGTTTGAGACTTTCTCAGCATGTCCTCAGAGGAAGGTGAAGGTAAAAAGAATTCAGATAGACAAACCAAAATGATAACTGTCAATACTCACTCGATATTATGCAGCCTTACAGCAAAGAGGTTTGACTGGCCATGTTGCTTCTTCCAATGGCAGTATGTTTATCTTGAACCATTTTAGGCAGGATTCTAAACTTTTGATAGAGATGATAGGCCTCACTGATGAGGGTAATGTTGACCCAAGCCAGTTCAACGGAGGAGGCTCTCACGGCCGGATACTGCGATATATTGCAGAAGCCCCGACCTCCATTTACAGGCCCCTTGACTGGGCCGATGGCCCACAACATCTGGTCACTGGAATACAAAGAAGTTCAGCACTTGGACAACAATTTGGAATCATGGCACCAGAAGGAAAGGAATGTTCGTACTGTCTTAATCACGGGGGCATCTTCAAGTCATGTGTTGCTTTTGCTTACAATATAAGCGGAGTGCCCATGGTGATGTACGAGGGTAGTTGCATGAATTGTCACTGGGTGGGCCGCAGATGTAAAAATTTCAGTATATTTCTCCCTGTATTCTCCTCTATCGTCTTCATGCTGATCATGCTCAGGTGTCTTCAAACGAGGTGCACTTCAAAGTTGGGTCCAGGAGAGTATGCAAAGTTTGCCATGTGTTCCTTTTAGCTCGCCAGATGTCTCTCATACCTCTACCAAGAAACGAAAAGCAATTGTTCGTGATCCCAGGCAATTTTTAGTTCTACATTCAGGTATATAGAAGGGCTCCTTAATTAACTTGCTAATAGGAAAAGTCTACCGATGCTCCTGCTTCAAAGACCGGTAGAACTTATGACAAGTCATCTACCAAAGCCCATTCCTTGACAGGACCGCAGTACGATAGGATTTGGTATTCATCGCCCCTTGACGATCCCACCGTGGGGTCAAAGGAAGGCTACCGCGAAAAGCGGATCGCTCTCCGTTCGTTGGAGTCTGCCAAGCATCGCATCGACCACGATATCGCAAAAATTACTAGATTCCTTACCGAGACTGGCCATATCGATTCTTCTAGTGATAACGAGGATGGTTCTGGTGCTGAAAATGTCTTCGCTGGATTCAAGCATATGAAGGTTGGGACAGAAGCTGAAAGGAAACAAGAGGAAGAGGAAGAGGGAAATGAGCGACATGAGTAAATGGAGCAGACACTCTTACACGGGAATGAAAACCAGGGAAAGCGAGTATGGGAAGAGCAAAACAGGAAGCAGCAGGATTCAGTACCCTTGATGAATTGAGAAACACAATGGAACTTTTTTAACTCGTTGACGTCGAATCGCTATTTGTATACTAGAAATATCTAATTTTCTATCATTTAGGGGTTTAAGAGACCAAGAGACTGGAACCTCATGTTTCATAATTCTGGATATATATATGTAGATGAGCTCTCAGAAGCACATTGATTTTTAAATCTCTACTTGAAGTACTACAAATGTGCTTCTCCCTAGACTTGAATTCTTAATTTCAATATTGAGATTTCGCATTAAGTACGCCTTGTCCTATTGTACATCGCCAGATTCGCCACAGTCCGATGCCAAGCCACGAGCCAAAACATGTTCGGGCCGAGGGGGCCCCTGGCCTTGTACACACGTCACCTCTTGTCGCTATGGGATCCTCGTACTCCACAACATCAGAGGATGTAAATATGGTTCAAAATGGAGCCTCACTCTCTGGTGAAGAATATAGGACCTACTACCCAAGAAACTCAGAAGATGCCGTCGAGAGTTTCAACATTCTCCGACAAAAGCTGCCATCTGAACTCGTCCTAGACATTCTGGATTTCGCAGAATATTGGGTATTGTCTGCCACCCACAGAGAAGACACCATGGATTATGCTGAAAACGACTGTCGCGACCGAACCCCATATTTGACATCCGAGCCCATCCAAGGCGAGCGATTTCCCGTTCAAGAGATAAGAATCAACATCTGCAGCCATGACCAAGGATGGAGCAGTTATCGCGAAGATCATGGATCATTCAGAAATTCTTGGACGTGGTTCGACCTTGCTATTGAAAGGCCACCGGGTCGACCTGATATTTCCAAAAATGAGAACCTCCGTCTGGCGACCAATGTTCATGCTAAACGCGAAGCCACGTGTCATCGGATTATCTACCAGAGGGACCAAAAACTCCACTGGATGCAAAATCTTCAAGCGGGTGACCGGATCTCGATTGTGCCACAGGCCCGCTTTCCTGGCTGGAGGAATACCGTGCAAGAAGCGTCTATTGAGATTTATACCACCCCTGTTCTGTGACCATGAGCATGTATCACTCACTATCAATTGAAAAGTCTGCCTGAATATCCTAGTCTATAAATGGCCAAATGCATACGCTTTCTCGGTTATTGAAATCTATTGACGCGTCCCTGGTGATAGAATGGCAACTACCTCTTCATAAACAGAAAACACGATTCCACCACTCAGAAGCAGCCGACCCAACCTCATGGAGCTACCCTTCCAAAATCCCCGGATTCCATAGTCGCGAATCACGCTCCGGGAAGCTTCAACAATGCCAGCTCCTTGGACACCCTGTGCACGTGTCTTAATTGTATCAAATGGTTGTGTAGCGTAGACAGTGACTACACCTGCCAGCGCACCGATGCCAAACGTCGTGAACACGTTTGGCTTGATGCCCCTGGCCTTGGTGGCTTCTCTAAGGACGTTGTATGTTCCCATACGAACAGCAGAAGTGGCAGATTGTTTCATCATTGTGGAGACAAGACCACGATAAAGCTCGGTGATACCATGTTTTTGCACCAGCACTTGAACTGCGTGTATGCTCGACTTAAATTGGCGAGCACCTTTTGCATCATCAATTCTGTGGCAAGATCGGTCAGCTTAAGGCCTTCGAACATAAATGGCAGGGGATACCGACAGTGCTGTTTTAATTCTCTCGGTCGGTGTTACTGCTAGTACACTTTCTACCGCGCCGGCGGTCATTCCAGCGATCATCCCCCGCCCAGCTGAGAGAACGCCGCGATCATCTGCAAGAGAATTACGGATGGTATCGTAGGATACGAACCTGACGGCGGCCTTTGCTGTAGTTCCCTATAGATTTCAATCAATATGGTATCAATATTCGTTCACAGTGAATAGACCAACGATGACAAGGGTTGAGCATCCTGTGTACAAAGCACCGACACCTTCCTGTTTCGCAACTTGGACAATGAGACTGAGAGGGTTTGATGTTCGAATAGCACCGTCGTTCAACAATTGAACGCGTGTTTTTGAATACTCAAATGGATACTGCAATAATCAGTGACTGAGCAATGAGTTGTGTTAAAGAAACCGACCGTTGTGGCTGCTTCCACTCCACCAGCGATTCCTCCGGCCACAAGGGACACCCACTGGGGCGTATGAAACTGGACTAGGTCAGTTGGAGTACCTAACTTGTGCACAATGCCCCGGTGAAATGAATTACCCTAGCATTTTGCGTTTCGGGCACTGACGCAACAGGTTTAGGCATGATGGGACGTTAACAGCTTCCACCGGTTGAATGGAACTTATATGTGGTGTATTCTGTGGGAAGAATCGGAGCATGATCCCCCGATGCACCTGGGGAAATAGGGGCGAACGGAAGGTGAGTTGCCGAGCATATCGCATGTGTCAGTCAACTGGCCAAAAGCGTGAGTCTTGCAGGCTTTACGAAAATAAATTCCAAGAAATAGCACAGTGTCATATTGCAAAATCAACCATATGAAGAACTCAAAAGCCTTGATGGGTGCCCTATTTGCCATCTCTGCCGTTTTAGTCTCTCGCGGCTCCGACAAAGATGCATGATGTTCGAAGAAGAAGCCTTGTTGATAGAAGAAGCCCATCCATCTTGATTACCATTTAGCATGCGAGATAATGGCCTGCACCTACCCTATTATCCCGTATCCTCCCCCTGAAGTTGACTAGTTGGGCTCCAATGCTGTCAGACCCTTAATAATCGCTGGATTGACTCCGAAGAGGACACAACTTTCAAGACATCTTTGGCTGCAACCTGCTCGCGAGAAAGGGAAGGATAGCAATGGAAGATAAAGTACCAGCCAGCAGGAACCACGGCGGAATATTGATCACACGCGAGTTTTGTTCCTGTTTCACTATGCTGTACGCGAAAATCGCCATTGGTCTGAGTAAAAAGAAAACTGAAAAAGCGTTACGCATAGACACGCCCTTTCCTCGGTTCACACACATCCTCCGACGTAAAAGTACAATGATACAGCTGCATTATCGCAGCACCAGTGCTAGTCGAATCATTAGGACCTGCGATCGGCAGCATCTGTTGCAGCTCCTCATTGGCACTCCTATCCCCACCGGCATCATAATCACTCTCAATCTGATGCGAAAAAACCATCGGGCCTCGATCTGAGTAGATTCCCGGAATCTCGCCCCACTGCACAGGTTTAAGCGCGTGGTCAGCGGTGTCGTCCATGCTAGATGTCGTCGGATGGCAGGCGGCGCTGATTGCTGCACTACACTGTATCAGCAGTGGCATCGGAGAATTAAAGCGGCGCAGGCTCAGGAGTAACGCGACGATAAATAGCGAGCCGCCAACGATAATAGCGAACATGATAGCAAGAGGTGAATAACCACATGTGGATAAACCGGCGGCAGAAGAGCGCACGTCATTTATATCAAAGGAAATGACCTGTACAAAAAATAGGCTTTCTGAGACGAGCCAGTGTAGAACCGCGGAGACGATCAGGAGCGGGAAGCTGTATCGATACGGTAGTGAGAGATAGTACGTGGAGCGTTGGGCGCCGCGGGCCAGGAAACGCGCAACGGTTTGCGATTTTGGGCGTAGTCGTTGTATTCCACTGCTCCGAGCATAGCGGTCATCAGAGCATTGAGCATGAAGTAGGCGATTGAAACGAAGAGCTGTAGTCCGTTGGGTAGGAGAATCATGACGAATATTCCAATTACGCCGTCTGGAGTACGCATGTTTATCAGACTTTGTGGGCGCGGTTCGCCAATAGTGTTATCCCAGATCGTTCCGCGAGACACATCGGCGGACGAGGAAAAGGCAATGACGAGGGCAAAGATGCTCAGGACGAGTATGCAGACGAATCTGAGGTTTTAGCATAATTCAAGTCATTAAACAGACAGACTCACAGCGTGATAGTAGAGATCCATAGTCTCGTGCTTGCGGCTTGAAACCATCGTTTTCGGGGAGATATTTGAAGTGGGAGGTTTGAGTGTGATGGAGCACCCAACATGTCATTCTTTTTCGTCTTCCTGCGCCAGCCCTGAGACCCTTTGCCGACCAGCCACCTAGACAGCAGGCAGCTTCCCTCTGTCGTCGGATCTGGGTAGGCTAAATAAGATGCGATCGCGTCCCCGACTGTGAGGAACAATTCCTCCCTACCATCGCGTGCGGTCAAGAGCGCGCAGATGAGTTTTATCAAGTTACACATAATGACAACCAGGCAGATTGGCAGGCTAAACATCAGTCGGCAGGACTCGTCCTTAGGAACTGTCAAACAGTGCTTAATCCGAACTTTCTGCTCCATTCTGCCGAGTCCAGAATACTCAGGACATTGAAACGAATATCGAAAGACCGTGACATTTCCGGGGAAGGAAGCGTTGGACCAACTCGAGGGATCATGGAGTGCAGCTTGCACCTCGCCCTCGTGCCTAGCTTGTTGCAGAACTTCGTTCAAGCGTTCCATATCTGGAGTCTGGTAATCTTCAGGATAGAATGGCCAAGAAAGATTCTGGAACCCATTCTCGGTAGGCACCTGTACCTCTGCCTCTAGAGTATACACTGTAAGTGGCTGGACGTTCCATTCCTTCCCTTTCACCATATCATGCACAAAATCCTTGCTGCAGACATCTTCTTCACTACACATCCAATCAAAGCCCCTGTTGATCGTATAGAAGGAACTGCCGACATGATCGAAGTCAAAGGGATCTGTCAGTCCCATGAATGCCAAAGGCTCACCGTCTGATATTGGATCCTCTGTCACCAAAATGACCATCCTTTGCCCGGATACAAAGTCTTGCGCAAAAGTATCAATGCAATCTTTCACTGAAAGTTTCTTCAGATCTGAACGGCTCATCTCAGCCCTAACTGTTTCTATATCCAGGCCAACGGTAGCATTGAAGCAACTATTCCAACCCTCCGATCCAGTTCCGTTCATCGGACCAGGGGGTGCTATTAGGACCGTATAATCGGTCGGGCTGTTTGATAAGAAAATAGCGGAGTTATAACTAGAAAGTATCATTTGGGTTAGCCATGGCCACTGAAAATATCAACAGCACCCAAACCAACATCAAATGAATTGGGAGTGAGGTAGCCAGCAACATCCACCCAAGCAGCTGTCTCTTTCCCCGATCGCTCCAAAGCAAGCCCCAGATATTTGGGACTCCAATAGGCACCCAAACGCGCTTGCTATGAGCTTTATCAACTTGCGCCCGAGACGGCGACGCAAGACATTGCATGCAGTAGTTACTCGCTCCTAACAAGACCGTGCTGAGGATATTGATTATAAGGTGTAGCCCCGTCATCCAATTCTTAGCAAGGGAGCATTTTCCAGTATATACCGCCGCGAAGGAGAAATCTTGTTCGCGATTCTTTGAATAGGCAAGGCCCACGGCAGTGATTGCCATGGTGATATTTATGGCCAGAATGATCGTAATAACCCGTGCGCATATCACTACACCCTTGATCCAGGCGCGACCATGAGGGGAGTTTGTACTCGAATCATCTGGGTCTGTTTTCGTTTTGTTGTTCGATAGCCATCCTTTGAGTGTAAAACTCGTGAGCAGACTAGGCTTCTCGTTTGCGTCTGGGTCATCTGGGCGGTTGAAGCTGAACATGATTCCAGCGGGCCAGTGTGGATTTGTAAAGACTTACAGTTCCCAGGTGTAAGGCCTGCGAGGGAGGCAGGATACACTGGAGTATGAAAACTTGAGTGCAATTAACTGTCTTTATTTATCAAACTAATTCGGCGGAAATCAAGGAGGAAATCAGTGTCAACACTAGCGATGCCGATCATATAAACCCGTATAACACAGCCTCGTAGTAGTGGTACTAATTCAAATCTCTGTGTTGTAGCAATCTTTATCTAGTACACGGGCAAAGGGCATATTTCACCTATGATAGGATGTGGGTCTTAAAGAGCCTCAAGCATAGCCCATTCGCGGGCTGGAATAGGTTAGGCTCTGGGGTTAGTGGGCTCCCACCCCGTGCGATCTATTAATACTCCGATAACGAGGTGGTATTTTGCATATGTACCGGATAATGCCTGGCCATCGAAACCTTTCCACTTCCATTTTAGTGCTCACCTCTTGCCGCTTTTTGATCTCAGAGTAAAATTGAGCACGCCCCTGAACACTCTGATAACAAACGAACTACCGAGCACAAGTCAACCACGACCTGACCAGTTCTATATAAACCGTGTCGACGGTAACTCGACCACTATTCTGACAACCGTTGAGTACAAACCGCCTCACAAGATACATTCTGCAATATTGCGCATGGGACTTCGACCAATGGACCTATAGAAAGATATGGTCAGATCCAATAAAATATCAACCGACCAGGGAGATAAGTTGAAGCACAATGCAGAGCGACTCGTCTACTCTGCTATTGTTCAAGAATACCATATGATGATTCAGGAAGGACTTGAATATTTATATCTGACCAATAGGCTAAGCCGTGTTCTCCTCCGTGTTCCGCACGACCAGCCTAGCACGCTCTACTACTTTTTCTGTGATCCTCACAGCGAAGTGACCCCAGAAAGCGATATCACCTCCCAACTGTGGAAGTCCTCTGTTACAAGGGTGTTATACCTTTGTTTGATGGCATTCCGTTCACCTATCCGGGGGCAAGAATGGGGAAACCGAGCGCACCCAGATCTCTATACATGGCAAACAAGCTTTGACCCCGCACGCTCATAAATCCCAGGAAAGGAGCTACAGCAGATTCCCCATTCCGATAGCACTAAGCCCGAATTTCCGAGTCCAGAGTCTGGCTCCTTCTATATATTACCACCGTTATCTCCGTTACCGAATCCCTTAGAGGGCCGTCGAGTGCCTACACGATCTTAAACGAGCTATACACCTTCGGAGGTTCGACCGCGATCGTAGTCACCTAGCTCCTCCGGCTCCGACACAGATCAAACAGCTAGTCATAAACGGAGGATCAGCCAGGTCACGCCTTCACTATCTACTCGGCGATCAAGTCGATAGCAAAAGGGAGAGCATAACGAAGGTAACCATTACCAGCGCCGCGCTGCGCAGTTCTGCACGTAGCGATGTTTACTCGGTTTGCGAACCGGGAAGGATCTAGATGAGCTATATCTAAACGTGGATCACTATCGCCGGGGCCAGAACGACCCGACTCGGCATCTAATATCGGCTGACGATGTGATACTTTCTTTGAAGAGTCAGCTGGACGAAAATATCGATCGTTGTATATCCTTCGGCGGCTACGGCTTATACGGCGCCCTATTCAAATTAACCTGTATGAAATACGGTTACACAGTTCTCGGAAAAGGCACCACTTCGGGGCCGTGGGAAGAAGTTTCCCGCGAAGCCCAGGTGTATCAAGTGCTGCGCAAGGCCCAAGGATCTACTGTACCTATTTTCTTGGGTACGATTGACTTGGCGAAAATTTATTTTCTTTATGGCGCTGGACAAATCCACCACTTACTTGTAATGGGCTGGGGGGGTGAATGTATAGCAACGATGGAACTGACGCAACGGCTTCGCCGTGAGATTCACAGATCGAATAAGGAAATTGAAGCCCTCGGCATACTATATGAAGACCTGAGGCGAGACAATATCCTCTGGAATGAAGAGCTTGGGCGTGCTTTGATTATTGACTTTCACCGCTCTACTTTGAAATGTCAACTAGTTCTTGGGCGAACGGGGGCAGCAAAACGACGACTATGTCGAGCAGAGATAGGCGACGCAAAACGTCTTCGTGTCTTATGAGGAGTCCTCTCTCTACCTGCTAATTAGCGAATTGATTTTTGATACCCAGATTCCAGTTGTCGTCCAGTCATCCTGGGGTGGAATGCGCTCTTCCTTTCTATGCTTCACCATCACCGAATTATTATACGAGCGGGCTCTTGAACGGGATTAATATGTCCAATTGTATACCGTTGTGAAAGCACTGCAAACATTCATCCAATTTTAGTGCTTTACGGTATCAATGATGTTTTCGGTCTCTTTTTAATCCCAATTGAATGCTAGTTAGCAAGGAACCTGGGTGGCTCGCTTGATCGTGCGTCCCAGTTGTCTTCACAATGAGCGCAGTTTGGTAATTAAAAGTAAGATAAATTGTGCATGAATATGCAAGTAACGAGGGTCTTTCCAGAGCTTTGGGTCGATGTATAGACGCGACAATTGTCATTTGAAAAACACTCTACTATGAACGAGACAGTAGGCAGCTAAAAGGGCCTCGTTCTTCGCATCACCGTTTTCACCGTGAACCCACTCGCCAAAGAGCTACTACACGTCTGTAAAATGCAATAATAGAACAATTCTTTGCCCATTATGAATATACAAAATGACAGGCATTCTTTAAGTTAAGCGAGTCTTTCAACTGTTCTGCTGACTAGGATTGTACAACAGCACTGCCTCCAGGAGCTTGCCAAGCGTGTTGAGAAGTGAGATTGGGCGGTAAGCACCAGGTTTCGAGTAATCAGGCTTGCCTGGTTTTCGTAAGACGATGATTTTTGCGCTCCTCCACTGTCTCGGATGGTGCCCTAGCTCTACACTCGCTGTGAAGATACTAACAATAAAGGTCTTCAGATACCTCCAAAGCTTCTTCCAAACCAGCATCGGTAAAGTATCTTCCCCGGGCGCTGTGTTCCCTTTGGCTACTTTTAGTGATAGCTCAATCTTCGATTCTGTGATCGGGTGCCACAGGAGTTCCGTTGCCGGTGTGGTAGGTGGGCTAAACTCGGGTGGATTTATGGTGGGGAAGAATATACCTAGGAATGCCTTCGCTTTATCTTCGTTTTGTGTGCACTCCTCTGAGCCCACTCGCAGTGCTGGGACGCAATCCTATGTCTCTCGGGGCTTCATGTATGTCGCGGCTTTCCAGAGCTTCCCTTCACCAGCTTCGTCTAGGAACTGCTTCCAGTGCGAGGACTTGGCTTTTCGATGGTCCTCGTCCACGCTCGTCGTTTCTGCTGCATTGCTTCGAAGGCAGCCGTGGTATGAGCGTGCTCTCTTCCCAGCTCGGCGCAGTTTGCCTGCCACCTCCTGCGCGGTTGGTTGTCTTCGACTTGTTGGATTTTTAGATCTGGCGTGGACCATCGCTTGGAGTATGGTGTGGGCCGTGTGTGGGGTGTGAACCGGTCGACCGCCTGGGTCGTCGCCGCTGTAAGGTTTTCCACTACCCGGTCGATTGTTGGCCGGGCCTTGATCTGCTTCCATGGGTTCATCTGCCGTGCTAATTCAAGCTTAGGCAAACTCAAGAAAGCTCATCCCCTTCAATTGTAAATGGATGAGCTTAGTTGGCCGATACCAAAAAATACCTTATAACCTAAGCATGGAAAGAACTAACTAGTAGATCTAAAATTCAACATACCCTAAAAGGACTAGCTGTCTTTTAAATCTAACGAACTAACAGAATTTAAGGCTTTGCTTGATAAAAACCAGTCTCATTGTGCATATTGGCAGCTAGCAGGATCGAAGTGCCATCAAGAATTAATACTGATGACTGTTCCAGAGATGAATCTGTTCACCATATAATTCTGACCTCCACTCATATAATGATCGTTCAGGTCGCTCATAGCGGTTCTCCAATCTGTGACTGCAACATTTCCCCCTCCAGCCGGGACACCTTGGGGTTGTCCAATTGCTTGCTTATAAAATCTGCGGTATTGATTGCCTTTCTGGGCATCCACATGGAAGCCGTACTGTGTATCATGGCCAATAGACATCTCCAACTTGACGCCTCCCGCTAAATCGCAGCGGAAGCCGCAAACCTGGCCAGAACTGGAGAACTGATTGCGAATTATTAGCTATTGATCAACTCTCTTTAATATAGCCTCTTTACTTAGGCTGAATCATACCTTAGGCACGACATTGTCGTAATTCCTTCCGATGCTGTTCACCCATGCAGAAGCACCTCTCAATGGATAATCAACGCATACTGCATCACGCTTAGACATATTTGTGTCCTTTGTTGACCGGATTTGTAGAGACGGGGTCAATATGGGAAGAGGGTTGAATATGAAATTGGAACTGGAACTGAGAGTGCTGAGAGCAAAAGAGGGGGTGATTCGGTTCTTTTTATATCTTTTCATGCAGCGAGATCCAATATCTGACTTGATCACAGGTGATGGCTTTTTAAGGTAGACAAACATAAGAGGCCCAATCATATCATAGAACAGTTCCAAGGTTCTCATGTGCACGACATTCCGCCTATTCCGCGAGAATAATGGCATTTTGATATGCACGTCTTATGGGGAGGCTGTTAACGCTGGCCAATCTGTATGTCGCACCCTTGTACCTAGAGCTAGCTGGTTACTTGGCACCGACAGGTAAATGGGGAGGAAAACCCTTTTCCTGCGCTCAACGCGCGACCTGCGTATACTAATAGCAAACAAGGACACGATTGCGTAGCACACCATAATTCACTGGGCCAGCAATGCTACTGGGGATGAGCTATACTCTCCCACTACCTATTTAAGTGATAAATCCAATTACAGGCGGGGGTGACGCTAGTTACATGTGGTGTCTAGCCGGAATTTCGGCTGACCTTCTGTCGGGCGAGAATAATTCGGTTTCCTACCATCAAGACGGATAATCTTACGAGGCAACACACAATCATTCTCACGTATGGTGGTATGGATATTGCATTTTCCAAGGTGCGGTCTACGGGTGTTGTATTGGCTACCAGACGCATTTCTTCGCGTTGCGAGAGTGCACCCGGGTTTACTTCTTGGCAAGGCAAATGGGTCGCAGATGGGCTCTTGTGGGGGCTGAGTTCACATGGAAGAGCGCGGAGTACTCCATGGTTAGTTTATAAGATCTAGAGAGCTTCTCTATCTCTCAAGCGGCCCATAATTCATTGAGTTACACCCACCTTGTGATAAATTTGTCAAGTAGAACACGCGTATCTTATAAAGGGGTTTATCTCATAGTGACGGATAGGTGAAAGCTAAATCCATGGATGTTTGCTCCAGTGGCCCCCTGTCGGATCTATTATCGATCAGACGGGGGCTCTGCCACGTCATATCCATTGACTATCTTTTTTGTTTTGCCCGGGTGCAACCTTAGGCCCCAGCAACCCCCAGTGATCTTCAAAAAGAGATCATTTCGTTAAATGTAAATAATTGTTCATATAGTTTAAATTGTAAGTACCATCATGGGTTTTGATCATAACGTAATTCAGTACCGAGATGCGCACCCCACCCAAAACACGTCAATTCATTAGACTCTCTATGTTCAACCACCCACCATGCCCCCAATTCGTGCTTAATCCTCTCGAAACTTAGTAGAGTAGAAGGGCGGGATCTTATTAGATAAATAAGCTATTCAGAAGCAAGAAATCCGTCCTGTTCGTATATCAGCGCGTGCTTTTGATATGCTTGGACCGACACTCCGTACGCGTCTTAAGGGCTCTACAAATCGCGCTGAAATTGCGCAAATGGTCGTAAATTGACTAAAATTAAAGAAGAACCCCTTAAAAAATAGATTCTCTCCATAGGTTCTTATAGAGTAGTATCTTAGTACTCTACTGTATAAGAAATAGTAGATCTGTTATTCGTAGTGTGTAGATCTACCCTAGTTACTTTAGTTAAATAAAATTAGGTTATAAATTTGGTGAAAGGTATCCTAATCTTTCTTCCTGATTCTCGACATCCTATTATTATTAGTAAGCTAAATACGAGGACTCTGAAATCATTTCTGAATGGTTTTCTCTCATTTAAAAAACAGTTCTTATATATTGCCAGAGTAGGCAGGCTTCTGATAACGAAGGTCCAATTAACGAAGATATTAAAGCTAAGGAAAGAAGAAGAAAGAGCGGCAAGCTAACGTAATTCCCGGCCGTCTCGTACACTTTTTTCCATTAGGAAATTTCAAAATCGATTATCTCAACCAACACCTATTAAAATTCATTTAGATATAGCGATTTTTACATATATTGATCTTGTGGCCAATCTCCCTACACCCACTAGACCTAGATGGAGCCCTATTTGCCGGCCGATCTGCCGGACTAGACAATTCGCCCAGCGTACGCAACTCTACCGTAGCTTCTTCTGCTGGCAAATCTAACTGCGCAACTAGCTGTAAGCCCTCTTCAATAGTTAAACCCTCTTCGCATGACATAGGCCTAGTTAATCGAATGCGTTTCTTAAAGATTCTCTCGTTTACTATAGGTAGATTCGTGTTAGCCTGCGCAAGCAATGCAGTGTTGTGTAGCGATTCGCAATGGCCCTAGATAATCCGATCTAGGATCGTTTTCTACGGGCTTGGAAGACTGTTTGACCATCTTTGAATAGATCCTTCAACATAGAAACTTGCTTTTGTAGCTAAATGACAGTTCTAAGTGTTTTTGGTGTGAATTGGCTTGATCTGCTGCTTGGTCGGCTGCTTGGTGGTGACGGGGTTCGTGGAGAGATATTAAGCTTACTGAACCGTACCAGTGTTCAATTCCCTCGAGAACTGTAATCACGCTTATTTTCGAATCAACGACATCTGACTTCTTAGAATACTAATCGCTAGTCGGCCTTTAGTAGAACTAATATACCAATAGAGAAACTCCTTGATTATCTTATAACTTAGGGCTAGATAACTAAACGAGGTTTTATAGTATTCAAATCTATTTTCTAGGTCTATAGTAAAGCTAAAGAGGAGTCAGTATTACTCATAAATAAGAAGGAATTATTATTTTAGATACACCTTGACTTACCTCAACTAAAGATCTAAGTTTTACCGATATAAATTATTAGTCTTAGTAAGCCTTTTATCTTTCTCCCTAATTAAATCTTTATATCTATAGGCTCTAGGAATATAGCCGTTTCTTTCCTATTAGAGATAACGTCTCTCCTTCGTAATCTTATCGCGCTTAGTAAAAAACTCTTTTCTACCTATAATCAAGTACAGTGCTATAAGGGGGAGGATATTTAGGTAAATATTTAGGTAAATAAGACTAGTTGAGCTTAAAGTACTAAGTAAAAGGCGCCGAAAGCGTAGGCGTATAAATAATTAATATACTAGGCTAGGATATGGTTTACTTTTATATTTAAGATTCGAGCTTAAACTATAGTGAGAATTTAGAAAGAACTTTTAACCGTAGTATTATAAAATAGAGGCAGCCCTTCACTATCTCTTACACCCTATAAAAATAACGTATCTCCTCGATAAGATAGGTAGGGTTTAGAAAATAAGGGCGAGCGCGATACTATCTACGAACTAAATATCGCAGTATAGACGACCCTATGGGGCTAGTCTATTAAAGGTATAGTCTATGGTGGTCTAAGTGATCAGAGTTACTCACTAATTGGACACGGAGTAATCAGTAAGCATCCAATAAGCATTTACATAGTATCAGTTATCATACACGTGACTAGTCTAAGCTAATCACTGATTCTAAGCTCGTGCTGATATCTACTCTGAGAGCCTAAGCCTGAGCACCCTCATTTAAGCGGCGGCAGCCCAAATAGGAAATCTCCACCCACCAGGGAAAATCCGGTACGTATAGGTGCATATATATGGCGGAACCCTACATTCAAGCGTAATTCTCACATTTATCAGTGTGATCAAACGAAGCAGATAATGCAGCACAGCCATGGACAGACCCTTGAACTCTTTCAATCGAGGTGCAACTAGGGATAGCGCCCCGCAAAGCCCGGAAATAGGCCGGAATAATTCGGGGTCGGTTTTATTTTCAAGAGGCTAGGTAGTGCCAAGAGACCCTTGTTGTCGCTGTCTTTAATATGCCCCTAATATAGGGATTCGAAGGAGATTTCGGACGCGCGAGAAACAAGTCAGAAGAAAGGATTTTGGCAAACGAACGCTATGGCCAAACATTGCCATCTTCTAATTCCAATAACACATATGCACATGTATATCTTAGCAGCAGAGGCCTGGGAGCCAAGAAATAGACACCAGGAAGCCAAGATCTGACTCGTTTTGGGACTGCCAACTTGCCGCAATTTTATGGTATGTTTTTAGCAACAGCAATTCCAGGTTTAATAGGCTTGAGACTATATACTTATACATCGGGCCATGCTTGTCGATCAACTTGAAGTTGGTATAGGATCAGATCTGGCTCGTCTAATAAATATAGTAGTTCATAAAGTGACAACGTACTCACCTGGGAATTATGTAGCGTAAGTCTCAATGAATAGCGGAAACATTAGACTTATAAAATGTTTCTCTTTCCTACCTCTGTATTGAAAATGGCATTTTTCACTACTCATCTCCGCAAGTGTTACGTATCCCTCCGTGTCTAGTTACACCATTCTTGAGCCGTCTAAGTTTAGAAAGAGCCTCTCTCAGCTAGACAAATACAGATGAGCAGTTAGTTTCCCGGAACTTCAAATATTCAACTCGCTAGCCGATTGTTTACAATCACAGGGAGACATTGTTATGCAAAGACATACTCGATGTGATTTGGGGCTATACCAAGTCTCATATTCAATCAGGTACGCTGTCTTTGATTGCAAAGCTGAGTTTGACTTTACAGAAGGTGGTACGTCTTCGGACCATAACTGTGATATAAGTATTCAGCCTGTTCTAATCCAGAAGTCAGCGCAATTCCAATCACCCCAATGGCCAACTACGGTCTCGCACAGAACCGGCTCTGTTTCCTCCTTTCCATCGCAACAGTGGTTTCTGGGCTGTCAATCGAAAACCACACATCCTCTTTTACCTGCCGTTGCATGCCACAAGACGCCTGCTGGCCTAGGGATTATATATGGGCGAGATTCAACGAGACAGTAGACGGCAAGTTGATTGCGACTGTCCCAATCGCCAGCGTCTGTCACATCGACTCGTTCACCCCGTACGATCAATCGCAATGCGCACAACTCCAGTCCAACTGGGGATTCCCAGCTACACATTATGAACATCCCTCGTCTGTCATGGCCCCCATCTTCACGAATTCAAGCTGCAATCCCTTCTCATCAAAAACCTCACCTTGCACGATCGGTAACTACGTTCAGTACGCTGTGAACGCGACCAATGCCGTACACATCCAGGAAACAATGAAATTTGCAGCTCGTCACAACCTCCGCCTCGTCATCCGTAATACTGGACATGACCTGCTCGGAAAGTCCACTGGAGCTGGAGGGCTGGCGATCTGGACGCATAACATGAAACATATATCTATCATGGACTACGATTCGTTATACTATTCTGGCAAGGCGATAAAAGTGGGTGCTGGAGTCCAATCCTTTGAAGGTAGCGACGCGGCTTATAGTGCTGGACTAGCTATCGTGAGTGGCAGCTGTCCAACGATCGGGTTAGCTGGGGGATATTCGCAAGGCGGCGGACATAGCCAACTGGCATCCTATGTGGGCCTCGCTGCTGATCAGGTTCTGGAATGGGAAGTCGTTCTTGCGAATGGCGAGTTGGTAACTGCGTCGCCAACAAACTATACAGATCTATACTGGGCGCTGTCTGGTGGAGGTGGAGGGACCTATGGTGTTGTTGTGTCCATGACAAGTAAGGCTTACCCTGAGCTGCCCACGGCATCCGGTAACCTTTCATTCTTCGACACAGGTGTATCGCGCGATACATTCTTTACAGCAGTTGAGATGTTCATATTCATTCTTCCCTCGATCGGAGATGCTGGAGGAGCCAGTGTTTAGTGGTTAACTGACACTACCTTAGCAACGACGCCGACCACCATTCCAGGTGGGACAGCGACGCAGTTCCGTTCTATATTTAGCCCGTTGATTGCATTCCTCGAACAAAACAATATCCAGCACAGTATGGAAAGGACACACAGGGTTAGAGCGAAGCTGACAGGTTGAATAGCATATTATGTGGATGACTTTCCTACATACTACGACGCGTTTCAGATGATGAGCCCACCGGACAACATAACTGATCAACTTCTTGGCGGTCGACTGATCCCAAGAACGGTAGTCGAGCGGAGCCTGCAAGACCTCACCACTATATTCCGTAAAATTGTCGAAAGAAACGCCGGATTTCTCATTTCGGGAATCATGGTCAACTCGTCCCGAGTGGCATATCCCGATAACAGTGTTAACCCAGCCTGGCGAGATGCCCTGATGGATGTTGTTATTGGGGGGTAAGTCTTTCATTTCCCTCTAGTCTGTCCAGGGTCTTGCTAATCATAATCCAGGATGTTCGACTATAGCGACTGGGATAGCAATGTCGCTAGCCAGCAGCTCATCACCGATGTCCTTATGCCCCCGCTGGAAGCACTGACACCTGGAAGCGGTGCATATTTAAATGAAGCAGATCCTAATCAGAGGGATTGGCAGCATACATTCTATGGGGATAAGTATGACAGCTTACTAGATATTAAGAGGAAGTATGATCCTGACAGAAGTTTCTACGCCCTTAAGGCCGTGGGTAGTGAGGCTTGGACTGTGACGGAGGATGGGCACTTGTGTAATTTGCAAGTGTATCAGAGTGGATGATACAGTAGGAAACACTGGCACGTTGACAAACTGGGATTTGCTATTGCGTATCTGTCGGCTTTACTGTATCACTGCATACTTCCGCTCCAACAAACCGCTTAGGAATGACATTTCATCTCATGGGCCCTTGTTTCATACGCAATTTGGTCGCGATGTTCGGGAAGTTGGGGATTTGAACACATCATCACAGAGACCACCATCCCTTCTCAATGATCGTCGCCGCAACTCCTTTCAGGGCCGGCCAAAGTGCATTGATCTCAGTTGCTGCGTCCTCCCGAAGTGGCCCAGCCTTCCGAGCGTCGACATAGTCTTGAAGCTGCTTCAGGGTGCTAGGTCCGATGACAATTCGATCAGGATCCCTGAGGTTGGAATGAAAGAGCAACCACCGCAGGGCACACTGGGCCCCTGTAGTCCCCATCCCTTTTCCGATATTGTCCAGAGATCGCATCGCTTCATGATAGAGGGGCTGGTCGTACCACATGCGGTACACGGCACCGAGCATGTTTCCCTCGCCGACCTCGAAACGTGTGCCCTCCAGCTGCTCAGGCGATGGAGAATACGAAAGCTTCCCGGTGAGGAATCCACCCGCCAATGGGGAGGTTGCTTCAAAGTCAATACCGAACTCGCGAAGTACTGGGAAGAGTTCATCCTCGTAGCCGCGACAGAAGACGTTGTACTGGCCTTGGTAAACGGTAGGCATGATCAAGTTCTCCTCCACTGCGATTTCCATCCACGCGCGGATCGCAGACGGGCTGTAGTTGGAGAGACCCAACCTCTCAAAATACCCTTGGCGGTAGTAATGGTCAAAGTGTGCAGCTTGGAGGGGAATCGGGGTCTTGCGATCCGGAGCATGAGCGTAGAGGGTGTGGATCTAGATTAGCCATCTACATTAGCATTACTGAGAGGCATTGAACGCCTTTTCACTCACTTTCTTGACCTGCAGTCGCTCCAGACTGGCTTTGATAGAGGCACCCATATTTTTGAAGGACAAAGAGTCATCGCCAATGAACAGAACCTTTGTATCGATGACTGCATCCTCTGGCTTTTTCTTACCGAGTATATCCTCAGATAAACCCGGGTTTGAGGCGGGATAAAGGGCAGCGGTGTCAAAGTGATTGATTCCAGCCTCTGTGAGAGTCTTCATCAGGTGGTCGACATTGTCAGTTGTCCAGGCCACACCAAACCCCTGGGCACCGAATACATAGCGAGGGGTATCCATTGCTGAATGGAAGAACTGATTGGTAATGGGGGGGAAAGGGACAAAGGATGGAGAGACCGAGAAATGAGATAGTGAAAAGGGAAAGTGTTTGACCTTGGAAGTTGCACAAACACCTTCACTTCCCATTTGCCAACTTGGAATCGTTCAAGTGTAACTTAATTGCTTTATATTTTCAAATGAGATTCATTTTTGAATATTTAATCTGCTTTGCTTTAGCTAGAACCAGGCTTCCGAATTCCTCCATCTTAGCAACCAGCTCATTTGTCCAACTAAGGTGCGGCGAGTGACCACAGGGCGCACGGTAGATCGTGAAAGGCTTCTTCTGACTCAATGCCATCGTCTCTTGGTACTCCTTGGGTAATGTGCGGTCCTTTTCCAACACAAGATAGGCGCAGGGGAGCGAATCATAAGGATTGTGGGTAAGGGGGCTAATCATAACGGGAGCTGCCGTCAACGTGGATGCCCACTTCTTCGCGGTTGCCGCATCAAGATCATTGAAGAGAAATTGCTCAGGGTCGACCATGGTGCCAAGGCCATTGACACCGTGTTTCTATCATTATGGGTCAGTGTCTACAAACATAGGTTGCTTCACTGGTAAACCCACGTGGAATCGCATAAATGGAGGCGCAACAACTTTGCCATCTGCGGGCTGGAAGAAGGAATGCACTGATTGGCCTTGCGGAACAATAAATGCTCCGATGAAGAAGATCCCTATGACACCGCCAGTCTTTCCATCCCTTGCGCGAACGGGGGCTTGGCGAGAATACTGTGCAGCCTCAGCGGCGACCCAGCCACCAGAAGAGTGTCCTGCGAGTAGTACGGACTTCCCCTGTGCAATCAACTTGTCAAGCAACAGCCCAATATCTGTTGCATCATCTACAGGTAGTGGATAGCCTCCTGGGGGAGCCCTGCGATCAAAATCAGGATTGCTGGGGTTGCCAACATTAAGCTGAGTGAGATCACAAGTGGGCCGTTGGGGGCAATATGTTTCAATGCCCTTCGCAGTCAAAGCATCAACAAGGGCTTGGTATGGAGCGGGAGTATGATAGGAGCCATGGCAAATGACAATCGCAAAGGGAAGCATGATTAGTTGCGAAAGAGAAAACGTTGCGAGGCAAAAAGTAAGGCAAAGCTGCCCCGCACGTGGCTCTGGCCTTATATCGTATTGATGCCTGGGAAATGAATCTGCTGACCAATCACGCTCAGTTCAATCCTGGAGTATTTTATTCAACTAGTTTCAGAAAAAAATACAATCGTCTTAAGGTGGTACAAATCTGACATGCATTCCGGAGCGTACACATCCGCGGTGTGGAAGTTGACAAGTCCAGTTCCTGATATTTGTGGACCCAATGCAGATCTCCCGATAAATGTTGCATATTTCTTAGGGAATCTTTCCTTTCAAACAGTATTATTCTCAGATACTCGAGGGAGTACATTCAGACTATGCACATCGAGGTCGCGCGTCACCATTATACCTGTATCTAAAGCTTCATTTTCAGCCCCAGTCCCGACGCACGATGTGGGTCCGCCATGCCCCACTTCCTTTGTATGGCCTGGCTGTTTGTAGTCGTTGTGACTGCGGTCGAATGTCGAAAGAAGAGAATCAAATTGCGGACGGTGCATCCGAGGTGACCCAATGGTGGGCAAATCGCGTGGTCGCGCTGAATGCACGTTTCGTCGGCGAAACATCAGGGGCCCAAATGTTGGAACGCAGGCTACCAAGATGCCTGCCGTCATTTCTGCCATGATAAAGATAGAGGCGTCTCGGAGACAGTAAACGAGGTCGTCGGCGGGACACAACTTGGTCTGGATAATGCGGCCCAGATTGATCCCGGCTGTTCTACTGGCGGTGAGTGACTGTATGTAAAACGGGAGGGAGCTCGTGGGACACTTACAGAATGCCTATCGCAAAAGATGCAGTGACGCCAGTCTTCTTCCGACTCGACATTTGAAGCCGCCAGACGATAGGAAGCGGCAGCAAGACGACTCCCAAATCAATCCCCATGTTGAACCCTGCAGATGCATATTGTATCTTTAAGATATCACCACAGCTCCCAGGGATAGTGTGGTCCCAGTTGTAGGCGATTGGACGACAGAGTAAAGCGATGGTCAAGATCGCGGATACCCAGTATAGGAAGACAAGACATCCCACTCCACTTGCACACCAGAAGAATTTCTGATTTCCTGGGAAGATCTCGATATATAAGAGCAGTATGGCAAGTCTAAAGCAGACTGTTGAGGTTGCCCAAATCCATTCCGATGCCCAGAAAATCTAACTAGGTCAATATCTCGCATACCCATCTAAGGAGACAGAGCCAGTACCTTCAATGCACTAACCAACTCTCCCGGGTTTCGTACAGCCATAGTCGCCGTATGACCACCATAGCCAGCTGTAGTAGCCCCTGGTATGAATTCTTAGCTCGATTTGCCTGTAGTTGATCGGGTCAACTTGCCAATTAGCATATCCACCACATAGCCAGTCAATAGCACCTGGGGTAATCATCAGCGGAGGGAAGATAAAGGTATCCAGTTAGACTCACCAGGGAGAAGAAAACAAGATAGTCATGGGTTTTCAAATCGCGACGACGTATATGTGTAGAGGCAACCCGAAGTGCAACAGCTACTGCAGCAATAAAAAGAATATTAAACTCCACACTATCAGCACTGGAGAGCGATGGTTTAAGTGGATCATAGTTGAGACAGGAGTCAGCGATGACGAGGTCTGACAGTATAAAAAAAAGTTCCCAAAAGTTGTTCGATGGTATATATGTAGCTTTCCAGCAGAAGTGCTAGATTGATGAGAACAATGACATTTTGCAAACCCAAGAAAGCCGGTCGATTCCTCTGATCTGCTATGGTTGTTTAATCTAGAGGACAGCATATGCAGATAGCATCTGATAGGGAAGGTGTCCATGAACCCTGTCGTCTTCATTTCGTACATCGTGAAAACTTTGACCTCAACTTCCTCCAATTTGCGGATAGCTGAATCTCAGCTGAGCTACCGGAGTAAGACTCTAGCGACTGGAGGGAAGGACTTCCAAGGTTGTTCTGGGAGATTACAGTGACCCTGTCATTCCCAGCGTCGAACTTCACACTCTTCCCATCAACCCGCTGCAGTCTCCTGCATCCTCCCTCTACTGTACAATCTGAGACATCAGCCTTCACTTGTTTGACTCAAAGTACGCTCCTTCAAAATGCCTCTTTTTAGGGATACATACACGGAGAATATGCAGCGAGATTCCACCGAAGCCCAAAGGTACGAACTCACCAACAACCAATAAAAATCCAGACACTAACGTCGGTGGCTCCGTAGACTTGACGAGCAATTTGATCTTCTCACCGAGTAAGAGACCCCGCCAAGCCCTGTGTGGCGAAGCAGTCCACAAGCAAATCATACTGACACCTGCTGACACAGAAACATCGGCTACCTGCTGCACCCTTCCGTTCGAGACAAAATGCATCCCCAGGCACGAGTTGCTGACATCGCCACGGGCACTGCAGCCTTCCTGCGCGACCTGGCCCATGACTGGCCCAATGCAATCCTACACGGCTATGACATATCAACCTCGCTCTATCCACCTGCCAGAACACTCCCCAAAAACGTGACTCTGTACCTTCTTGATGCCCGCAAGGATGTTCCGGTCAACCTGTATGGACAGTATGATATTGTACACGTTCGACTCATTTCCGCTGGCTTGACAGGGTCCGAATGGAACAGAGTTATTCGCAATCTCTCCCGGCTCCTAAAGCCTGGTGGTGCTATGCAGTGGGAAGAGTGTGACTTTACTAACGTTCGCCACCTCCCTGGTCGACCTGATTCCACGACTGAGGCTGCTAGCGCCATGGGATTAATGTACATGACTGCCATGAAGCCCCGCTTTGACTATGGCTGGAATCGATTGGCGGCCGAGATGCGCGCTGCGGGTCTTGTGGATGTCCACACTGAGGCTGTCTCTGCGGGTCGGGTTTATGATACCCGCGCGCGTTTGACTGCGAATGGAATGAGGGCTATGTTTGCGTGGGCGCGTCTTCACTCTGCTCGAGGGACGCAGGGGGCGCTTCCTATGCAACATATTGAGGAACTGGAGCAAAAGGCTTACGCGGATATTCAATCTGGCTGTTATGTTACATATGACATCCACGTTGCCTGGGGATTTCGGCCTGAGTAAGAACAGCGAAAAGATACTATCTGCAAGTTGTTTCTAGCCCAACCCTTCTGGTACGGAATTTTGAAGACGCCATTCAAAATTGGGGGAAAAATTATTGTTATTCATGTTACCTTCATTCTCGGTCCTATCTCATTTTACTATGCCTAACCGCGACTTTCAAACACAAGTAAACAAGCGCCAGGCCGAGCAGTCAACTGGTCCTTCATATCCCGCTCCACGGCCTCGCCATTATTCTGACCAGGCGCAAATTTGATCCGATAGTGGAACACTAAAGCGGCAGTTACGAGACGGATTTGTGCAAGAGCTAAATGACGGCCAACACAGCTCGTACGCCCTGTCGGAGTAAATAGTCAGCATACGAGTCTCTCGTTCTCTCCGGTCAACCTAACTAGCCACATGGGACATCTGACCACATCGGACAAAGGTAGGGCTCTCGCTTACCGACACCAAAAGGAGCAAATGCCCTTCTATTCTTGATCAACTCCGGCCGGCTGTACCACCGCTCGGGAATGAACTCATGAGGGTGGAGATATGCTGTCTCAACTTCATGTGTATTTTAGTACTTCTGATCAAAGAGAGGAGAAAGGCTTCTCACGTCGACCGATTGTATAACGTGGCGCACATATCTTGGTATTTCCCGGAATAAACGTGCCATCTACCATCAGTCCTTCGGGTGGAGTTACTCGAGAGCTAAAGGTGAGTACGGCTGGAAGCAATCGCATGGCTTCATTTATAGATCCATTCAAATGTGGTAACGTGGCCAAGGCAGCTGGATTCTCTATGTCAAAGCCTTGAATCTCTTTATATATCTTCTCGGTATGAATGGGATAGCGAGCGAGAAGATAGAAGAGGAGGGTTAGACTCGGGGCAGTGGTGTCACTGCAGTTATTAGTCGGTGGCTTCATAATATCCAGCCTTACTGACCTTCCGGCTACAACTAGTGTTGCAGTATCGCCACTCAACCACCTCGCCCGCTTGGGATCTGATCTGTGTCTGACGTGGTCCTCAATGAACCAAGATGCAATGTCGCGATCTGGGGGCGTTTTCTACCGCCATGTTAGCCACAGGAGAGCTTTCATATATGGTGCATATTACCTTCATTCGTCGAGCCATGCATTGGTCGCAAAATTCCAGCATATGAAACCAGTGTCGCACTTTCCACAAGGTGGGAATGAACGCAAACCCCAGTCTCGGGATCCATATCGCAGGGCTGAAGGGACCCAGTAACGTGAGCGCCGAGCGCAGCATGGCTATCGACGAATGCCACCTCTTGTTTCTCATCATGCCGAAATCTTCGCTGAAAGCAAAATCACCCATCGAATCAAAAGCGAAGAAATACATCAGGTCGTTTATTAAAACAGGCCGTGATTGTTCCAAAGCAACTAGCCTTTTGAGTGTTTGTACCTTTTCTACCACTCGTCGGTGATACTGGGACAGTGCTAAATGGCCTTGTCAGTCTATGGAATATCTTGTGCCATTCTGTCCACCAGACCTTTTGTGCTCAGCGCTTGCTCCCACATCTTGCGCCGTTCATTGTGCAGCTGTCGGTCGCGAGTAAATATCGACGATATTCGAGGATACAGAAGGTCGTACCAATCAGAGCGCGTGTTGCGATTGCCATGACCGTCCATGGTCTCGTAGGCTTCAGGGTGAAATATGGTAATTTCAGTGGGACCTGAAGATTTTATCCCATGTCATCATAGACTCCTACACGGCTGCTGATATCTCTTACCGGTTCGTACAAATTCCCCATATTTTTCGTACCAGGCCTGCAAGACAAGATGTCCACGGGAGTCCCGGCATTTCCAGACATGCCATAATTTGGTCAATGCCGCTAGCTTTGGGCCGGGGAAGTGCTTCAAACGATGAAATACCAGTCGGTATCCTGCGATGCTTGTGAATAGTGACGACAGATAAAATGCTGCCAAATATATCGTCTCAACCAAGCTGGCTTGAGTGCTTCCATTGCCAACCAAATGGTTCGCATATAATAGACCGCCAAAAAGAAAATGAAGAACAACGACCTTGGGGCCCTTGAGATGCCACTCCCCGTGAATAAAGACAAGTCGGTGGGCCAGTAGTCCTGCAATAATAGCAATTGCCCCTGGGGCTAGCATGATGACCATCAAAGTCAACGGCTATCCTGATCCTCATAGTGGGGCTAGTACTATGGCAGCTTCGACATGGGTTCTTGTATCAGGAATCCAGAGGCAATGTTGGACGACACTCGTCATCCTCAGCCATCGGAGGATATGACTCAAAGTCGTCCGCTTTCCAACATCAGATTTAAAGGTATCCTAGCGCTTCAATGGCTTTCTATTTAGCATAGGGTTGGCGCTATATTCGACACATTCAAAAGTCTGCGCCATTCAGCTTCTTACTTTCATCGTTAGTTTGCCCGTCGTCTGTCAGACCTCGACTCCAGCCCCAATCCTCAAATTCTACTGTGTTTGACATGAATGCAGGACTCACGCCAGAGGTATAAGGTGCATCATATCACAACCAACCTTCATTATACCATCAACACCGATCCATCATGAATCGACATGTCTTGAATATTCAAAGCGCATTGAAATCTCTGTGGTACCATTCATATACCCTCTGGCTGTTCGTCTTCAGCGATTTCAAAACCATTGTGGCACCAAGTACCATTTTCGGCATCACAAACGCCTGGGCCGCGTCGAAATACGACCCGCGAGTTGGAGGAGTTTTGCTCCCTCCGCAGTCCATCAGCGATTCTCCAAAGTCTATTGAAAGAGCTCTGGCAGCATCTCTATGGGTTTTGATCAACTTACTCCCATTCGCCATTAACAACCAACGGGGTGAAAGAGGCCTTGCGGAGGACAAGTTAAACAAATCGTGGCGTCCGTTTCCTCGCGGTCGGATTTCTCACGAGTGGGGTACACGAATCATGATCATGCTATATCTATTTGCCCCGATATATAGCCTTGTCTTTGCTGGCGGAGTGCGACATTCTGTGGCTTTGATATTGTTAGGAGTGTGGTACAATAACTGGGGTGGCGCGGACAAGAACCCGGTCATTCGGAACATTATAAACGGACTGGGATATACCTGTTTCGCATCGGGGGCTATGGAAGTGGCCCTGGGCGGCTCTTTGTTCCCTCTTCATGGATGGTCAGGGCGCTGGCTTCTTGTCATCATCGGAATTATTTTCTCCACCGTCCAATTGCAGGATATGTCTGATCAACTCGGTGATGCTAAGCGGGGTCGGCGCACAGTGCCGCTGGTATGTGGTGATACTGTGGCACGCTGGACTATTGCTTTACCTATGCTCTGTTGGGGACTATGGTGTCCGAGATTTTGGGGTGTTTCATCTCTTTGGTTTGCCATCAGCATGTTATTGGCTTCGGTGGTGGCCGTTAGGACTCTGATGCTTCGTTCTGTCCAAGGAGATAAACAGACGTTTCGACTCTGGAATTGTTGGATTGCGGTTATATATGTGCTGCCTCTGTTCTCTCAAGGGGGGTCTCTCGGCAGCGAACTTTCAAGCCATGCTGTGTTAGAAGGGCGCCAATTGTGATCAATTTACGCCTCAATAGCGATAGGCATATTCTAGCCCATATTTCACCCCTTAGGGATATCTTGTTTCATAAAAGAAAGAATTTGCCCTTAATAATCCGCGACGTCACTTTCGAGTTTGGGCAGTAAGAGAGTGCAACTGCTCAAATTTGCACGGCCGCCATGGAGTTAAGTCTGATGTGATATTCCTCATATTTTCTTGGCTTAATCTCTTCACGTAGTCGGCTTTAACAATAATCCCGAAATCAAAGTAACCGCCGGATACAGTATGTGGTTGTAGATCCCAACGAGCTTAAACCCGGTAATCTCCGATCTATGACACGGTCTTTGATGCATATTCCCCGTTGCATTTTTACTACTTATTTAGACCCTTTCTTCGATTCATCAGTATAAACATTCATCAGTATAAACATTCATCATGGGTTTTCTTTATTCACAATTCTTCGTTACTCCCAAGTATCCAACAGAGTCTTTCGCCGATCAGACAGTGCTCATCACCGGCGCGAATGTCGGCTTAGGGCTAGAAGCTGCACGTCATGTCACGCGACTAGGCGCAGCAAAAGTCATCCTAGGTGTTCGAAATGTGACTGCAGGCAACGCTGCAAAGGAGGAAATTGAGAATTCTACCGGTCGCCCGGGCGTCTGTGAAGTATGGGAGGTCGATCTGGCTTCCCACGCCTCGGTCCTTGCGTTTGGTGACCGCGCCTCAAAGCTCCCCAGGCTGGACGTAGCCATCCTCAACGCAGCGATTGCCACACAGAATTTTAGCATTGCCGAAGGCTATGAGCAAAGTGTCACTGTCAATGTCATCAACAGTCTAGCCCTCGGCCTGCTCCTCCTGCCAATCTTGAAAGCCACACGACGAAAGAACACGTCGCGCACGCCGCGACTTAGCTTCGTTGTCAGTGAGGTGCACGCATGGGTGAAATTCCCAGAGTGGAAGGAAGATGAGCCGATGAAGTTCGTCAGCGACCAAGCAAGAGCCAAGATGGGCGAGCGGTACCCATTATCGAAGCTACTCGAGGTGCTTCTTGTACAGGCACTCGCAGACCGGGTGCGTGAATCTGAGGTGGTCGTCAATATGCTCAACCCTGGTCTCTGCCACTCACAGCTGGGGCGGGATTCTGGCTTTTGGCTCACACTATTGAAGATGGTGATGGCGCGATCCACTGAGGTCGGATCTCGAACCCTGGTGGCGGGCGCAGTGGCTGGACAGGAAAGCCACGGCGCATATATGACAGATGGGCTCGTGGACAACGCTGCGCTTTCACCTTTTGTCCGCAGTGATGAGGGGCGTCAAGCCCGTGAGAAACTATGGGCTGAGCTGTCGTCGATCCTTGAGCGTGTGTATCCTGGAATTATGCAGAATGTGTGACTTGCTTGCTGCAACTCCGTTTGTATGTAATTTTGAGTTGACGAATTATGTGTACCTCGTTAGTAATGTATGGCTAGAGCTCGTTTATCGGTTGTTTCTCACCTAATATCTTACTTCGTACACTGAGTCCATTTGCAGCTGACTATTCGTACCACTGCTACTCCAGGGCTGACCATTGATATTGACGCAGAACAGTCCTCACCTCCGACATTGCATTGGCCGAAGTAAGCTTTGAAATACTTCCTATTTTCGACGTCGACTGTATTTGGACCTCTCTTATTCGCAGAGTGTCACAAAAGCCCCGGCACCAATTGCTTGCGCTGCTAGCTCGGACGCTCAAGCGGCCCATTTCCAAATACAGTCACCTCTCACACCAGAGCAAACACTCCGGGATCGAGCACGAAGTGATGCAGTACGGAGTACATCTTCCGAGCTCCAAATATGCCGAACTATGGCTATGATTTGCCCAATGGATGCCTGTGGCGTCAATAACGAGGGTTTCATTGATTTCCCACTTGGTCCAACAAAGGGATCGGTGCCAAGAGGTATATTCAGAACGACACCGCGAGCTTCTGGATGCCTGTTCCCTGTGCAAGCTCCCGAACATTTAGCCCACAAAATCCCATATACTCGACTGAGTCGATTTGTTTCTCTGCAGTTGTTATAGTCTATCTTCATCATGGCTCCTATCCTGTTAGAACCCACAATCGTTGATTCCCAGCCCAGTACTGCTCCGTTGAAAGTAGCAGTCAATGGCAATTCCACGAATGGAGTGGAGTTGATTCTCAAGGAACGTCCTTGGAAACTTCTGCACCTGGTCGATGCCCTCAACCCTCCCCCACCCGCCCAAGGTGAACATGCGGATATCCACATCCAGCGACTACTCCAATTGGCCTGGGTCACTACCATTCGGGCATTCTCCTGCTCAACAACCTTATACATTGGTCAAGACTATGCAAACGGCCAATGCTACATAGGCGAAAAGGCTCACGGCTCCTCGAAGCCGACCGTCCAGATCCACGTAGATCCTCTTGATACCGTGAGAGATCTCTTCCATGAGAGCATTGAAGCTCTAGACGCATTATTCCATGCCGAAATTACGGAGGCCGGTCATACTGGGAAGGTTGACGAGCGTTTTGGCTTCAATGTGATAATAGTCTACCAGAAGCAACCAGCTGATCGCCTCCTGTCTGGTCTAGATGTGGGCGTCGGCGAATGTCAAGTCTGCTGTGGCATACCGGCGAGAGAGTCAACAGAGGCTGACTCGATATTCGCCGGTCTCCGCCTCTCAATCCAGCATACCTCCGACGATAGGTTACACGCTCGATTGGATGTTGGGACCACTGGCATTGGACTTCCATTGGCTACCAGCCTCTTGAACAGCTTCAGCCAAGCCCTATCATCCATTGATGGCAAGTCCACACAGACAGCCGGCAGCCTCGATTTATGCTCCGCGCAAGATCGGGACCAGATTACTCGACTAACTGCAAACATCGCGCCTGCCCATGATTCCCTGCTACATGATCTCTGTTTACGACACGCCAAGACAACCCCGAACGCTCCCGCCATTCGCTCATGGGATGGGGATCTGACATATCGCCAACTGGAGAACTTGAGTTCTCGATTGGCACATTGGCTAGTGGGACAAGGCGTCGGCCCAAATACCTATGTTGCTTGTGGCTTCTATAAATCTACTTGGGCTATCGTAGCCCGACTGGCTATCCTCATGGCTGGCGGCGCATACATTTGTGTTGATGGAAGTGATCCACCACCATATCTTCAATCTTCACTAGACCGCACCAAAATAAAGATCATGCTCACTTCCGCTGGCTACAAGGAGAAGTTTGCCGATCGGGTTGAAACTCTCTTTGAGGTCAGCGAGGCATCCGTGTCCAGGTTGCCATTGGTGAATTCGGTCCCTTGTTCGACCGTCAAGCCCACAGACCCTTGTGTTGTGCTTTTCACATCTGGCAGCACGGGGAAACCAAAGGGCATCATCCAAGAGCATCGTAGCTATGCTTCAGCATTGACAGATTACATCCGAGTCATGGACATGGGGCCTCATAGCCGGATGTTCCAATTTGATTCATACACCTTCGATATCAGCAATAATGACTTCCTGGCGCCTCTCATTGCTGGTGGCTGTTGTTGTGTCCCCACTAGATCTCTGACAATGGACGCACTGATGAATGACATGAATGAGCTGGAGGGAAACATAATGTTCGTCACACCCTCCGTTGCCATCGACATGGAGCCTGAGCGCGTCCCCACCCTGAAGATGATGTGTATCGGCGGCGAGCCAGTCTCAGACGCGGTACTCACAAAATGGCTGAACCACGTTCAGGTGGTAAACCAATACGGTATGGGCGAGGTAGCCTCTCTCTGCGCATATAATCGCAATCTCCAGATGGGCCACGGGTCAGTGGTCGGTCGCCCTGCTACTGGTGCAATTTGGATCGTCAATCCCGACAACCCCAACCAGCTCATGCCCGTGGGCGCCGTCGGGGAACTCCTCATCGAGGGTCCCCATCTCTCGAAGGGGTATTTAGACCACGTATCTGGAAAGTCGGAGAACTTCCTCACCGCACCTCCAGCCTGGATGGCCCAGCTGCACACCGACAGGCCAAAACACCGCTTCTATCGCTCCGGCGACCTAGGCCGGTACAACCATGACGGGACTATCGAGCTGATGGGACGAAAGGACAGCATGCTCAAGCTTGATGGAGCGCGCGTCGAAGCCGGCCAAGTGGAGTACGCCCTCCGGCGCAATCTGAACACCGGCGATGCCGTCGTCGTGGACGTTCTCGGCGTTATCGACGGCGAAAGCGATCCTATTCTTGCCGTCTACCTTTACTTGGCAAATAACCCCATGAACATGGAGAACGGTCCGGTCGAAGAAATAGAGTTCCGCCCGATCAGCGACAAGCATGCTGTGCATGCGCTCACCCAGTCGCTGAGCGAGGCGGTTCGCCAGAGTTTGCCCAGGTACTATGTTCCTGGGCTGTATATCCTTATTGATAGAGTGCCGCGCACCAAGTCCAAAAAGACAGATCGAAGAAAGCTTCACATGTTGGGACAGGCTTATTACATGGAGCATCGGGATGAGCTGGAGGATATCACGGTCTGGTTCGATTGGACTAAGATATAAAAGTAGGTTCCGTTCAGTCTTGGATTGAGGCTTCGGCCATCATCATTTGATATATCCTGGGTATTGATGTGAGATGATATCGTATGAAAACCGAAAAGAACCAGATGGATGTGACGTTTATTATCAGATTCAACAACCTCGAAAGACCGAAAAGCACTCTTTGTGCCCACATCACCAATGCATCAATCAGATTGTCTTTTTCCTGGTTTATACAACGCATAACAGTGTCTTATAACAAATTTGTATTTTGGTGATTATATTTGTCCTTGGACAAATTTCTCATAGGTAACATATGCTTGAACCTGAAAATCATATGCCGTCCATATATCATTTGTTATCCGGCCCACGGCGTAGAGATTTCATCTAGGCTTATGTGGTCCCTCTCGATGGATTTCATCCCCAACCCAGTAAGCTTATCATCTCGATATTTTGAAAATCGTATTCGAGCCACGTCCTGCGCGCACTCGCGCTTGCCGGCCAGTACGAGGAATTTGAACTAGAATTCAGGGGCGCGAGGGAGATGGGCGCGGCGGGCGCAATGACCTTTCTGTAAGGCCAGCACCTCACAATGGTGGCTCTGGGTGTAGCGGGGCTCGCACTAGAGGGCGCAGTAGCGAGGGGGAGGCGGGTAATAGTTGAGCAATTTATCTCAAACAGCGAAACAATCATGCATCACGGCCCGCACTCACGGGTCATACGACCAAGCCGCTGGGGCAGATGGAAAGAAAGCATGCTTGACGTCCTGAAACGCAAATACATCCTCATTCATCATCATGGCCGAGCCAATCGCAAAGCCAGCTTCAGGGTCGACGGGGAGCCAATTTGATGTCATGCGGGTACTTCCATCTGGCATCTCTAGTGGTGTGAGACATTCTTCGTCCTTTCTTGAGTATTGATGGTGCGGGGAGCTTAGGGTGTGGGTCTGACTAGGAGCCTGATATTGGGCGTCTAACCCCGACGGCCCGAAATCGAACTTGTAATGGGAATCTTCGTTTTCGGCTTCTACGTCCCACCCCGCTGATGAAGCGTGGCTTGAGCCCGGGGACCCGTGGGGATCTGAGGTGGGAGATCCGGGGAATGTGAATGGTAGGGTATTTGGGGAGGGTGTCATAAAGAGCGCTCTTTGTGTTGCAAGTTGGAGATCTGGGCGGGGATGGATCGGGGGTTTCTCGGTGGTGTGGAATGGGGTTGATTGGTTGAGTGAGAAACTAGTTGCATATGTCAGTCACCCGGTTCTGCATTTTCTCTCTTGTGTCGCCATATGTAGCCTTCTGAGCCAATGTGGCAGTGATTTACCTTGAGGTATCGGCTTTCATCCCACAGTCCTGTCTCACCAGGCCGGCGTCATACCATAATTGCGGGTATGGTTGAAATGCCGTCGATTTTATCGGGTATTCGTTCACCCAGTTGAACTGCTCGCCAGCCCAGGATGGATCCAGGCCATCTTGGATAGTCAAAGGAGATTCACTGGCGATGAAGGGGTACTGGCCAAGCTCGTCTTGTCCCATATGCAAATCCCCTAGACTGTCCATGGCCCAGGAGGTAATCTCGTATGGGAACTGAGGAGCTTCGGTCATGGTGAATGCGGTGTAATTGTCACGAGCGGAAACGGTAATAGCTCGAGGATATGAGACAACTCTGTAATTGAAGCTCTTGGGGTTTGAGCTGAAGTTCAAGCTTGGAGCTTGAAAGATTTGTATGGAGCTTGCTACCAGCGCAGGAAATAATAATCCCCCGCAAAACCGGGGCCATTCTTGGGCTATTTAAACCAAAAAAAAAAGAAAACATCTCATGAGGAGCTGTGGAGTTGTGGAGAAACCTGGGGAGCTCCAACGGCATCCCTGGAGACCGCATGATCCCATAAATTGTTCAATTAACCGATTTCCCCGGATTTTACAAGGAAGCCCGTGCATTCGGGGACATTGTTGTCCAATCGGTGAATTGCAGTTGCTCGGCATCGAGGATTTAAGCGAGACATCCTTGAACATCGGGTAAATTGAGAAGGACCTGACTCCTGAAGAACCTAAAAGAGAACGGAGGATGACATAGGCTTTGTTTCATGTAAAATATTTCGCCAGCTGAGCTTGGTATAGAGCTGATAGATGCTGTTTTCGACGCCACAATGGAAGAATGGACCGAGATGTCAGGGTAAATTATATACTCGCTAGATTATCCGCCCTCAAATTACAGAGAAAAGAAGCTTTCGCCTAGGGAAACGCCATCCGAAAACGCCCACCCTAGAACTATACACCGTTGAAAAGGCCATTCAACCCACATTGCGGAGGATGACCGCGGGGGGAAAGGTTCCCACCGTTCCCTGTAGGTACCGGACGCAGACCCGCAGATAGTTAAGCCGCGTAGCATGCAGGGATCGACAGGAACAAAGAGAAGCTAGCTGAATCTGTTTGTGGGGTAGTTACAGGGCCAAGCCGGTCCCCTTTCGCGTCCAGCGGTAAAGGGCGAGAACGGCTTTTCGGCGGTGCCGAATTTCACTCGGGTTCACTGGGCGACCTCGAGCCTGCGCAACCGCAGAGCGCATCACTTGCCGAAAACTACGCTGGTACTCCGTGTTGAGGGTGACAACGCATGATTCCGTCGCTCGGATCATGGTCTCGCACGCGTTGAGAATGCCCTCGCCTGCTTCTTTTTGCAGGCGTTCTACAATAAGCAACAGGAGGAAACTGCCTTGCAGAAGCTGGATGCCGAAGAAGTAGGGCATAAAACTAATGTCGGGATCAAAACGGAGGATTTGTTGCACGGAATCGGCAGCTTCCAATGCGTGTGAGATGGTCGACGCAAACGCCGGGGAAGATGTCCAGAAATCTTTGTCTTCGATCAGTGAGACAGGGTCCCACTTTCCGACGAGCAGGATATGTAGGACGTGAGTAAGGTAGGAGGAGTAGGCGATCACAGTTTGTGTATGCCAAGAATAGGCCTGAGACAACTGCGGATCGACAGGATCTGGTTTGTTTGTGTAGGCACTCGTCGATGAGGCCGCTGGGTCTGCAGCTGTTGCAGCGGCAAATGTTGTGAGGCTAGCCTTGTAGACCTCAAGCTGGCGGAGCACTTCCGAGACGTGAACCTCCCACGCGTCTTTTCCTTGGAGCCTGACACCAAGAGTGGGGTGGTTTCGCGCCTGGTTGAGATCGATCAATTCGCCGGTGATGGTCATGAGTGGGAGGAAAAACCCAAGAATAGAGTGGTCGTGGCAAATGAAATTGGGGAAAATGCGACGTTTGTTTTGGTCGCCCGACCGAGGGCATTGAGGCCCGTCTGGCCGAGGACTATTGCTGTGAATGATACCTGATTGCCAGGAGCTTTCATCCAGGGGGAGCAAGAGGTCCTCGCTCTCAGCATCGAGTAGGGCAAGCGGACGATTATAGCATAATGCGAGATGGCGGTCCATGATGTATAGTAGCCACCAGGTTCTGCGCCGCTCTTCACGGTGCTCTTCTGTAACCGCACCATTATGCAAATCATGGTTCTTGTCGCATACGCAATTCATACTGGGGCGCGAAGGATTGGAATAGTCGAAACCCAGCCCACCTGGAGAACCAGGCCATCCGCCTAAACCATAGCCGAATGACGGACTTGACCCATCAGTCAGGGTGTCAATATTAGGTGTGATCTCCATCTCTTGATTTAATTTAAGTTCTCGAGCTAATGTAAAGGCCGCATGCCACCTAGAGTAGAGTTAGTGGACTAGACAGGGGTAGGGGTAGGGGCAGGGGTACAACGAACCATCTCATGCTTGCAGCTTTCTGTTCACTAGATGAGATAATTGAGGCCACATGAATATAGGTAATGACATCGTCTAAAGATCCAGCAGGGCCCACAAGCCCTTTGTCATCACCGACTCCTTCGAATGGGTGGTGAGCCCCGGCTGAAAAGTCGTGGGCGGTCGCGTTTTCAGTGGGAGATGGATCTTGGTCTTTGAACGAGACATGTATCAAAGGTCGCAGTAAGCGAATGATCAATGCACAAAGAAATTGACATATCTTCCTCCGTTGTAATGGTGAGATGGATAAAGAGAAGGCCCGATCATCCACAGCGGCCACCCAGAGCATACTTGCCAGCAAGGCAGGACTAGTGGGCCTAGGACGATCAGCGCTCAGAAAAGAAGTCTTTCGCAGGACATAACAATGAATGTGATGGCACACGGGGTGCATGTGGGTTGAGAAAGCACTGGTAAAGTAGAGTTCCAGTAGATCGCACACCAGTCGACGGGGGAGGCTTGATTCGAGAAAAGGCATGAGAGGCTCTAACACAGGATATTTCAATGGCGACCGGGAAGTTGACGGCTGTCTCCGTCTGGGGAGATTCATCCCCGATACAGAAGGTATAGGAGGGGCACGCTGGGCAGGTTGGTGGCCAGCGAAATCAACAGGGTTCCAGATATCCATCAACCGGGGCAGAGGCGGCTCACTGCCACCCGTGCCTGCAAGCAGTTCATATGAGTCTGGGGACAGATGTGCCGCCGAAAGCCATTCCTCCGTAATATTCTCAGCAGGTCCTGCCCGCTGGGGCTGTGGACGATTCGGTACAGACCGGCGCTCGTCAGCATTGGGTGCCGACACAGCGCTGAGCTCATTCGTTGCCGGCGATCGCTGGTGAAAGGTCGATACAGGAGAATGATTGTCGACTGGCGAGAGCACCTGCTGCGACTGTGATCCTCGATTGTATTCCCCGTCGGCCTGCTTCCCCTCAATGGGGTCTTGGGGTGTCTCGTCCTCATCATTCGCATTTGTATCCTTCGGCTTCGATCTAGCGATACGTCCTCGTTTCCGGCGTTCGCGGGTGAATTGGCAGTTTATGTCACCGCGCAGACATCTCGAGCAGGGAAAAGCACGGTCGCATCGTACACGGCGAGTGTGACAGGAATCGCAAGCGACTCTGTTTCGGCGCCATCGTCGCTTGCCATTTAATAGTTCCACCTCGACCGAGTCTGGGTCCGGAGACGGCTGATCACCCTGGGACTCCATCCCAGGACATCATTGGTGAGATCGAGTGAAGAAAAAAGAAGCCTAAGAGAGAAGAATGTTGCGGGGAAAACTACACTAAGTGATGTCTCACCCGCAATTGGACTTGGCACGGAATTTCTCCAACTTTTTTGTTTTACATTGCCGATCGACATAAGGCACTTCATTATTATTCTTGACATCTTCAAGATTTAATCTTTCTGAAGCGCACGCTTAAACCGCTCCAACGCTCGATCTCGACTCTTTGCGTGGTCTACAATGGGCTTGGGGTAGCCATTCTTCTGCGCAATGGCCGCTGCTCCCCGCGCATACGGTTCGTGGATGGCTTTATCAGACACGTCGCGCAGTTCCGGTACCCAATGGCGGATGTACTCTCCCTCCGGATCGAATCGCTCACTCTGGCGTAGAGGATTGAAGATGCGGAAATAGGGCTGTGGATCTACACCGGTACTGGACCCAAATCCCCACCCGCCGTGATTGGAGGCGAAGTCACCATCAATCAAATTCTCCATAAAGTAGCGCTCCCCACGCCGCCAGTCGAGCATCAAGTCCTTGGTAAGGAACGACGAGACAACCATACGGCTGCGATTGTGCATCCACGCGCAGTGACGGAGCTGACGCATTGCTGCGTCAACGATCGGGAAGCCTGTCTTGCCATCGCACCATGCTTGGAATTGGTCATTGTCGTACTCCCACTCAATATTGGTATGCTCGGGCTTGAAGCACTTATTCATACTACACGACGACTCTGTATTAGAATCGAAAAACCATTGTCCTAAAAGATAAGAGACTTACCAGATGAACGGCCAGTTCACCAGCACATGCTTGTAAAAGTCACGCCAGGCTAGCTCACTGATCCAAGTCATGTAACCGGGGTCATATCGATCGAGATGGCCTTTGTTTGTCCTCTTTGCTGTGACGACAGCAGTCCTTGCGCTGAGCGCTCCGCATGCAAGGTAAGGACTCAGCACCGAAGTGTTCTCACCGGGTACCATGTTCCGCATCTCCTCGTACTTTTTGCCTTTCTCTTCAAGGAACTTGTCCAGTCGCTCGAGAGCTTCATGCTCACCGGCCGGGTAAAGCCCCTCGAAACGTCTTTGATCTTCGTCCGACAAGATGTGGGTCTTGGGTGCCGCTGGTACTTTACACTTGAATAGATCCTTCAATTGTTCACGCGCTTTGCCTGGATTTGGCCCGGGTTCCTCAGAAACCTCGAGGTAATCCGGATTCTCTTTCAAAAAGGCCAGCCAGGAGCGGTACCATGGAGTGTAAACGGCATATTGTTTTCCTTGCTGGCTAGCCAACGCGCCTGGAGTGACCACACAGGTGTCATGAGCGGGAGCAAAATTGATATCGTTGTCGGCGCAGAGTGTAACAAGCTTAGCTTCCCGCCGTAATTCGTCTACCTCGTACTCGATATTCGCATATAGACTCTTCGCGCCCCATTGCTGACACAATTCCACGATGCGTTTCGGGATCGCCTTCCTCTTCTCCTGTGTTTCCATGTGCAAAGGGATGTCCAACTCCCACAGGTCCTGATGCAGTCGCGCGAGGGTGCGCAACGTGAAATCCACTCGAGCGGGGCTAGTCGAATGCGCACTCCAATCTTCCGGAGACACGATATAAAGACCGATCAATGGGACCTGCTTCTCCTTGGCATACTGGTAGGCTGTGTGCAGCGCCCTATTGTCATGGAGTCGAAGATCGCTCTTGAACCAATGCACTACCGCACTACCCACGTCAATCGACTGGCGCTTGTCGGCAGTCTCCCGGCAAGCCTTCTGCAGCGTTTCGATGGGGCGTTCCAGTTCGCCATCGGTATACGCTTGGCAGCGGTCATTGTTCATCTCTGGCGGATAGAATTGGCGTAGGACTATGCCAAAGTCCTCAGTTTGCTTTGCATTCGGGTGGGGTTGGTGCAGGTCTGGACGACCCTTTTTACTCGTGTGTGAACCATTGGGCTGTTCAGCTGCCGGTTCAGTGGCCTTCCTCTTTGGTGGCATGGTTGATAAGTTGCGAACAAGCTGGGTTCGCAGTTTTTTTCTAACTAGAAAGGCCCGGGGGATCAATTGAGAACAGCGAAAAAACGTATTCTGCATCGAAAAGAACAGAAAGGGGTAGTTCATCAGAATCTCACAGGTCATTCAAGAGATCGAGATCGAGATCCACTATAGATCGAGTGACGTCATAGTCCGATCTGGTTGCGATCGCTTTTTAGTCTCTCGGTCTGCTTTGACCTGGCATGGAGGAAGACTTCCAAGGTTATGCCAGTAATTCGAGTAACCCCCAGGCTTTCCAATGGGCATGCTCGGACTACATACTTCGGCAGACCTGTCCATTTTTGAACATCTACGTCCTGGATGGGAACAACTTCGTTTGGACGACTTTTCTTGTAGAGACTTGCAATTCAACAATTCAACGGGGTGAATTTCACCGTCATCATACGCTCGGCTCTCTCCTTCACACATTTTCAAGTATTCCGTACCTCCAAGAGTCACGTTGTTTCGAAACCTCGAAGCAAGGGACATCGACAGTAGATCTCCACAGTCCAATCGTGCGAGGAATAAAGGGAGGAATAAGGGGAGTTCATCCCTGTTCGCTATGACTTCCAACCTCCCCAGACTTCCAATCCATGGCTCGGGAGCTTCCCCGGTTCATCCTGTTGCCTCTTTCTTCACCTCGAGAAGCTGTCATGGAATTATGCTACCCGCGTTCCCACTCCGGAATCCTCCCTGAGTGAACTTAAAGCATCCAAATCTACACCTGAGACAACTTCGTAGTTCATTCACTCTTTCTAGCCGCAATTATTCTTACGTATCTATATACATCCACCCCCAGAGCACAACCAGCAATGTCCCTCCACCTCCAATGGCCACCAATACCGATATCTCCATATCCCTCCTCCACAACTATGGCGGCACATCCGACGTAACCCGAACACGCGTATTTGCCGCTTTTGCCGGACTAGCATGCTACAACGCCATCGAGCTTGTCGTCCTATGCTTGTCTTCCTTCAGACATCGCAAGAGCACCTACTTCTGGAGCCTACTCATCTCTTCCGTCTCCATCATCCCGTACACCCTCGGCTTCACCCTGCTCTTCTTCCCAACCGGCGTCACTCCCTGGCTATGCATGTCCCTCGCCATTCCGAGCTGGTACGGCATGGTCACGGGCCAGTCGATCGTGCTGTGGTCGCGGTTACATCTGGTGCTGCAGAATAAGAAGGTGCTCCTCGCTTTGCTGTGGATGATCTGTATCGATGCTGTCATCTTACATATCCCAACCTCAGTTATAATATTCGGGACTGTGGCTCATCCGACGGGGCCCTGGGCCCTCGCGTACGATATCATAGAACGTATCGAACTGATCGGGTTTTGTGTGCAGGAATTCCTCATCTCCAGTATCTACGTCTGGGAAACTGTCAAATTGCTTCGTCTCAGACCTGACGGTCGGCGTCATGGGATTCTCAATCAGTTGCTGGTTATTAATATCATTATTCTTCTTTTGGATATATCTGTCGTCGTCATCGAGTTTGTCGGCTTCTATGCTATCCAGGTCACCTTCAAACCTCTCGCGTACAGTGTCAAGTTGAAGCTTGAATATGCGATCCTGGGTAAATTGATCGCGGTTGCGCAGGGTCATAATGGCAGTCAGGAACTGCGTTCCAGTGAGCGTGGCCTCAATGAGATTCACCCGGAGGGCCTTCGGCATTTGAATTTGGAAACGCCGATGCAGGCTCGTCGGCACTACAATCCGCCATGGTATCCAGATTCGCTGAGTTTCCGCCATTCGTCGTCTACTTCATCTGGTATAATGCGAGATCCATGATATCACGTTTTGGTCTGGCGTCTTGGCTCTAGCTACTGGCTTGGTTTGATTCTGATGAGCCGACACTCTACTTGGTGTTTCATGTTGATAATTTCTGCATCTTCACAGATGGGATAGCATCTTACAAAATGTTCATACGAGCTGATCAGCCATTCTTCCAAATATGCAACGAAAAATATTGAAAATTGCTCCAAGTGATACGGCAAAACATTATCAGCGATAGTAATCGGCCAACCCCGTGTCGGTACCAGCCTGCAGCACCAACACACTGCCGTAAATCTTACTTTCGGGCTGTACCATCGCCGTACCGACAGCTCCTAAAGCCCGGCGGGTATCATGGCCAATCCCATCCTCCGCAAGACCCAGCTCGATCTCGGAAGAGATACTACGACGACCAATGATGACAATGTTATTCGCCTTGTTGAACGTGTGGTTAAGATCTTCACGGACGGACACAACAGCCATTTGGATAGGGTCGGTGATTGTCTCATTCACAGCTGGCTGGGTGAAGACGACGCGCTCTTGCAGTTCCTCTGGCACTGAATCACGGAGTGTCTCGAGGAAAACGATGTCCGATTGAGAACTGGACGGGAGCGCATTTGAGCTCGAGGCAGAGATTGTAGTCGAGACACCTGTTTTTGTGCCCTCGCTGCTCGACCCGCCAATTTGAATAACAGTTGCAGTGACTTGATCGTTTTTAGCGAGCTGCAGGATCAACCGAAGGGCAAAGCGGTCGTCATCACCGCCAAAGAATGGAAGTACAATGTGGTGGGAGCGGCTTCCGGTTGGCTGGCGGGCGAAGATGGAGCCCTGGAGGCTTAGACCGCTGGGAGTGCGTGAGATTACGGGTCGCTTTGAGGCCGAAGCTGGGCTGTATTCGATTAGGATGCCGACATGGCCTGTGACCCGCTCTAAGATGTCGGCAATGAAGCTTGTGTAGGCTCCGTTGGAGAAACGATTGGCGCCGTCAATCTCTAACCCACTATGGTGGTCGGCTAGTGTTCCAGTCTCGCTCCAGGGGAGGAGGAGCATATCTGCGGTGTCCTGCTGCGCCATTCCGATGACAGTGTCTGCATAAGAATATTCGGGGACGACGGATACACCAGCCATGAGGGATAGATCATGCCAGTCTCCGAAAGCTCGGAAGGTGTTCACTACCGGATCCCACAGTGCATGTTCGCCTGCAGCAGCAACCTTCATGACACTAGAATCACGGTCGGTCAATTCCATCAGCCTGACACCGTGCACCTTGAGTGGGGTGTCTTCCTCCTCTTCCGCGGTAATAGGATCTTCAACATTCTGCTCGGTCTGCTTTGGCATCTTTGCGGGATGAATGCGTGACGAGACGGATGCCCGTCGCTTTGAGCTGAGGAGGGCTGCGACAGTACAGACGCCCGAAAGACCATCTAGACGAAGGTAGACGAGGAGCTTGCGTACTGGGACCGTCTTCAACTGATTCTTGGCAAGAGCAACGCTGTCATTACGGTCGTCGCGCTGGACAGGGTTTCCTTCCCAATCGATTTCCCCGCGTCTCCATCGCTCGACCTTGACTTGGTACCACGTCGGATACAGCAAAGTTGTCAATGGAGTGGTCAGAAATGTGGTGACCAAGGCCATCACGACGAAAATTGTAAAAGTGCGCGTGCTCAAAATTTTGGCTTGGAGGCCAATATTCTGGGATAGGTGCGTTAGCCGCTGTTGTTGGGCGACTCAGCGCAGGAACAATACTTACCAGTACAATTAATTCCACCAAGCCTTTGCAACTCATCAACACACCGATCGAGAAGCTTTCACGCCATAGGAGTCCACAGAGCCTAGACGCAACAGCACCTCCGGTGACCTTCGCAATGAACGCGATGGCGATTACACCAACCACATAACCCCAGACGATTCCAGAGTCCAGGAGACCCAGGTTGGTACTCAGACCGGACAGGGTGAAATAAAGTGGCAGGAAAATGGCAGCAACCAAGTCCTCAATTTTCTCGGTGAGTTTGATGGCAAAGCCGCCTTCGTGCGGGCAAATCAAGCCGATCACGAAGCCTCCGAAAATGGCGTGAACACCAATAACCTGTGTGAAGAAAGCCGACGCCAGCGCAATGAGGAGGGTGAGGGCCACCACCGACTGACTGGGTCCTTTTTGCAGACTGCCTGTTTTCTCAAGAAAGCGGAGGAACAGCGGGCGGAAAGCAAAAGTCAAAAATAGCATGTAGGCGACGCAGACCAGCAGCACATACAGCGCCGTGATACCACTACCCGCGTTGACAAGAGCGACACACAATGCAAGTAGGATCCAGCCCACCACATCATTACCCACCCCGGCGGACAGCACGATCACACCGACACGGGTCGAGAGTAGCTTGAGCTCGGTGAGGATACGACACAGCACGGGGAAGGCCGTGATGGCCATGGCGATACCAATAAACAGCAGATAGGTACCAAAGGCAATAGGCTTCGTACCAGGGTCACCATGAAACTCATGATAGAGGCCATATGAGATGGCGCAACCCAAGCCGAATGGCAAGATCATGCCCGCAGCGGACACACTCAGAGCGATCCGCCAATTACTGATCAGGAAGCGGAGGTCGGTCTCGAGACCGACCAAGAATAGGAAGAGTACCAGACCCAAATTGGCGACTACATTGAGACTGGGAATACTGGTGGTCGGGAAAATCGCCTCAGTAAATCCGGGGATGCGACCCATCACCGATGGGCCCAGAACAATGCCGCCGATCACCTCTGCGATGACTCGGGGCTGACGAATCTTCGAAAGAGGCCAGTGAATTAGGCGACATAGTACGATAATTATGACGGCCTTGCTTGTCAGTTTGAATTTCTCTGGATGGCGACATGAATTACCTGGATAATAAACAAGACCAGTGGGTTCTTGGGGTCATAGTGGGTTGGGTTGCCGCCTTCGAGGATACCACCCTGCGGACTGACTCGCTGAGTACTGTTAGTTGTCGCGTTGGTCGCCATGGATGATATCCAGAGGCCAGCAAAGGGTTCTCAAGTTCTTTATCAAGTTCTGGAGAGGAATGAAGTCAGCTTGAGAGAGAATACGAGGACCAATAAGACGGCACTCCGTATCCATTAACAGCTTGGCCTCGCTAGTCTGAACTTGGATTGGGTCAAAGAAACAAAATAATGACAGGTCATCTGAAAGAAACCGCATGCGGCCTGATGTCTTTTAGGAATAGGCGCGTACTCCGCATATTGAACCCACTCGCCAATGATCCGACAATCATCTCGGTTATGTTCCCACGTGTTGGGCCTTTCTATACCCCAGATCAGCACATACTCTGCATTCTTGGCCTTGTCAATATCTGGTATATTTGACATTCCGCACTTTTGTTCGGAGAAATCACATATTTAAAATCTAAAACTCTTTTTAAAAAAAACATATCCCTAGATCTCAACTACTAAAAGTGTCCAAATTAATGGGAAATCTGAAATGACGCGCTCTAAGGAATAATCGAGTCTAGACTGCCATACCACATGAGCTCGAAATAATGATACTCTCGTGTCGAGGCACCTCATGTGATACATTATGGATATTCTTGCCGACAACAATCTTCCTGTATCGTATAGTTTGCACATGCTCTGTATTGCTGGAACTTGGTCCCTCTTGGCGGAGCATGTATACGAAGTATATCATTTCATACCCACACATTCAATAGAGACTCACTACAAGAGCAAAAACAATGAGAATATGACTAGTTCTTGGCAGGCATCCATAATATATATTATTTGGAGGTTGAGAAGCTAAACCGTCTCAGACTCCGAGACATGAACGAAGCCAACAAGGGACGATGTTTACCCAATTGTACACAATGCGAACGAGCAAGAGCAAAGCAAAACAAGAAAAAAAGAGCTTAGATTATCTATCCCAGACAATCTTTTGATCGGCGTCTATGATAAATGAGCCAGGTATCAGGATATACAGACGATACAGAAAATGTACAACCGAGATCTCAGAGACCAAACAAAGCAGAAGAAACACCGCGCAAAATGCAAATCCTCCCCACACCATCTACCAATCAGACAATTCAAGCCTTCGTGGTCTTAGCCTTCGAGCTCCGCACCCTGAAGAGGTAATAGAGCACAATAGCAGCAAAGATGTTAAAAATAAAATAGCACCAGAAGATTCCGTAGTTTCTCCACCGATCACCCCACTCGATCTTCCGGCCAGCGAGGTACTGATCAGCCGAGCTGAGAGAGCAGTACTCACAACCGGACGTAGCATTGTAATTGGCAAGCTTCCCTGGCGCAGCTGCGAGGAACTTCTCCATATACTGGAAGCAGGTCTGACCAGCAGGTGGATCAAAGACACTCATCTCTGCAGCATTACACTCCACCGGGCGACCATGGAGCGCTGTACTCCCGATACCGCCGATGTAGTAGGTAAAGGGCGAGACCCGGTACATGAAGATCCAGAAGCGGGGGAGTTCATCGGGCGGCTGCATGACGCCGTTGAAAATGAAGGAGAGACCGAACATCAGCGTGGCAAGCATAGCTGCAAGGGTGGGCTCCGGGATTGCACAGACGACTAGCTGTGCCATGCTTGCGGCGTAGATGAAGAATTGGACGATGAAGAGCATGATCAGAGAGCGGCGCTCGGAGTCTTGGCCGGCGCCGAAGACAGACCAGTAAAAGCAGGCCCAGGAACAAATGCCGAGACAGACCTGGAAGGGCATTTCGACAAGCATTTGGGATAGGATAAAGACTTTCCAAGAATAGATGCGGGATGGGCGTTCGCGGACTTCGTAGAGGGAGCGCTGGGCGACGAATTTGGGCATGATCTGGTTGACAAGGGTACTGAAAATTGTGCACAGTAGGAAAATACTGAAGAGCACGTTCTGGAAGCCTTGCTGGCTGTTATCGGCTTTCCAGAACGAGAAGCCAATGAATAGACCGGACATGATTCCCAAAATGAACTTGGAGTAGACGTATTCTGGCTGACGGTAGTACTGTTGGAATACTCTTGCAAGGACGTAGTACAGCTGGCTGTGGAGTGGCATGGCAAACTCGGAATTATCGTCATCAAGCTCGTCAGGCTCGTCCAGGGAGGGTCGAGAAACAGACGGCTTGCTGGCATGATGAAGTCGTGCGACTTCATCCCGTACACCCTCATACTCGGAGCTCTTGTTCCACGTTTCAACCCAGTCTACTGGGCAAGAATCACCAGCAACCATTTCCAGAATGTATTCAGCGGGGTTCTCGAGTTTCTCACATGGCCGAGCACCATTGTGCTCGAAGTATCTCAAAAGAGTAGAGGATTGGGATCCAATATCGCCAAAGTAGACGGTCTTTCCTCCCTTGGCAAGGAAGAGTAACCGATCGAAGGTTTGGAACAACTGCGCGCTAGGCTGGTGAATTGTCGCGAGGACAGCCTGGCCGTTATCTGCAAGTCTTCTGAGGAATTGACAAATAGTCCAAGAGCTTTGCGAGTCAAGACCACTGGTGGGTTCATCGAGGAAAATAAGGAGCGTAGGCTTTGCAGCAAGCTCGACACCAATGCTGAGCAGCTTCCTTTGCTCAACGTTGAGACCCTCTCCTAGGTTTCCCACCACCGCTTCGGCGAAATCTTCCATGCCCAAGAGTTGAATCACTTGTTCCACGTACTCATACTTCTCTTGCTTGGTAACCTTTTGGGGCTGACGAAGCATGGCGCTGAAACGCAACGCTTCTCTCACGGTGGTGCTGTCAAGATGTAGATCTTGCTGTTGCACGTATCCAGTCCGACGGGGGAAGTTTGCCGCGAGGGTCTTGCCATTCACGAAGATATCACCAGAGACAACACCAATGGCGACTCTCTGCGCAAGGACATCAAGCAGAGTTGTCTTTCCGGCTCCAGAAACACCCATCAGAGCAGTCAGGCTACCAGGCTTAACCCAACCATTAACGTTGTCCAAGAGTCGACGGGTGCCCTCCTTCACCGGTATATCGTAGTTGAGGGAGTTCCATGAGAGAATGTCCTTTTGCTCAGGTAGGCAGATGGTGTTATTGGTTCTCTGCAGCTCGAGCCTGTTGACCTCTTGTATTCCAAGCTCGATGCTGTGGCCTTCCTGTAGATACTTGGGCGCATGTCCAGGGCGGAAGACCAAGGCCTCAGCCTTTGACTTGTCATCACTGATGTATTCTGTAGCAATCAAGTAAACCGCATTCCAGGCGATGAAAAAGGCGATGAGAATTCCGTAGTTCCGCCAGAGATGAGAGTGCTGGTACTGGTAGTTTTTCTCGATGAAAGCGTCCCCAGAGACAGTCCGCTCACCGGCGACTGCACCAACAGTGGCGCAGATGAAGGACGTGCCAGTCCCATAACTGGGGATGAATGAGGAACAGTCAAATGTTCGACCATGGAATTCATTGGCTACGAGCGCTTCGAAGGTATAGTAGATCGGGTTGATCCACCGGATCCACGAAAGCCACGGATGCATGTACGGCTGGGGCAGGGTGAACCCGGTATAAACAACAATGCATAGCACGAGCACGCCAGCAATAGCCATGGCCTGCCCAGCAGATTTGGTCAACGCACCGACGCTACGGAACAGGCCAGACATTGTTAGGACAGCAGTAAGCAAGAACAGGTAATGAATGAAGAAAGCTCCCGCTTCACGGCGCAGATTTGCCATGAAATAGAGAACAATTGTAAAGATTGAGATTCGTATGATCTTTATCGGCAGATCGACGAGGATGCTGGCTAGTGCTTCAGCAAACGGGTGGACAAATGCATATCCAGCTTGTTTTTCAACAACAGGGCGCTGGGCATAGAGTTGAAGAATTTCGTTGATGGTAAGTAGGGCATTCATGAGCACGGCAAAGTACATCACTGCACCCTTCTGAAAGAAGAAACTAGGTGAGTCCGGGGTATTGTAGAAGATGGATCCAATGATCAGAGACAAAACGATCTGAACAACAACCGGCGACATGGCCGTTGGGAGATCTTGAAGCATTCTCTGATAGGCTCTGTGTATGCAGAGCCGCACCTGCATAAAAACGGAGAGCAGGAAAGGGCTGCGAGCTCGGGTGTGGCGCGCTTGCTGCTCTTCGTGACTTTCCATCAGTTTTTTCGCATCGTTTCCATTTGGCGGGTGCTCTTTTTCGAAGTTGGAAATGTCTTTCTGTAAGAGCTGGTATTCTGGACTGTTCTTCCAATGCTCGGAAAACTCCTTCGCTGTGCGGGGAACCTTGCCCTCCATGCCAGGCCGTGCCGTACGTTCTGCTGGGTTGGTGATGGCAGTCAAAAAGTCACCACTGACTTGACGCTCAGGTCTCTCCCAGCCCATGTCTTGGAAATAGGATACCGCACGATCTTTGGGTCCGTAGTAGATCTGGTATCCCTCGTATAGAAGAACCACCTTGTCAAAAAGATCATACATAGACTGCGATGCTTGGTAGGCTGCAATGGCATGGCAGGATTGCCCCATATCCGCTGAAAGACGTAAGGATTTCACGAATTTCAGGGCGGATGCGGCATCCAGACCACGAGTACTGTTGTCCCATGCCCCGATGCGACAGCGAGATAGAAACATTTCGGCAATGCTAACACGCTTTCTTTCACCTCCACTAACACCGCGCACAAAATTGCTGCCAACTTTGGTGTTGTAGGTGTGGGACAATCCGAAGATGGATAAGACCACCTGGGTGATGGTCTCAACGTATTCATTGCGAGTCATACCGTCCAGGCGCTGTTGGGGTGCACGAGCATGGGCGGCAAATGTGAGGGTCTGGCCCACGGTCAAGTGGGGGAAATGTAGGTCGACCTCCTTGTTGTATGCCACCTCTCCTCGGTGATGTTTGATCATATGATCAAACGCAACTCCTTGATAATGAATTGTGCTTTCTGGCTCCACCGTCAAACCTCCAAGGTGTCCGCAGATAGTCTTCAGTAAGGTTGTACATCCACTACCAGGTCGACCCAGGACAAGAAGAAGTTCTCCACCTTGGAGTAAGCCATCGAAGCTGTGGAGGATTTGCCTTGGTGGCGGGGTACGTCCCGTCAAAGCTCTTGTCGCAGCTTGGAAGGGTACCTTCAAACTGGAAGTGAGGGTTTCCTGGTATTGTAGAGCCGAGCCGGAACCGCTCACGCATAGATTGGAAAAGACCACGCCCTGGTTTGTGATTTCAATGCCTGAATCGTTGACCCGGTCCAATACCATTTGTGCCCATCGGCGATGATCAAATTGAGGGTTGGTGGGATCAAGGTGAGGGGCAAGACCACCTTTCTTGCTTGCCGATCTTGAAAGTTGTTGGCCAAGTTTGGAGGAGGCGATGCGAGTCAAAGTCTGTTGTTCTCGCTCCTCTAGTACAGTTGCAGTTCGCTCCGTGATTGGAGCGAACTCGGCCTCATCATAGTCCTTCTCCATGGCGAGTGGACGTGTGTAAAAGTCTGAGCTCTTGAAACATGGGCGAGCCCAAGCCTTTTAATCAGACTCATCGGTGCACGGACAAGCGGAGTTATCCATATTTCTTTCTGATCTTCATCGGGATGGAGGCGTTCCGATGTATAACGGAGGAACGGACTCCGTTTCACCGACGTGGATATCTTTGGAGAACTTCAACTTGGTATTGGCAACTGTTACTTATATATATAGAACAAATATAACTATGAGAGCAGAAAAAGACTAAGGATCATTCTGTCAAATGACCGGCTAACATTTCCTTCAAAGCCCTATTTTACAACAGTAGATATTAGTACTCAGTGTAAACAACCTTGGAATTCAATTTGAACAAGTTTGAGTGTATTGGATCCACATCCACGCGGCGCGGACTGAATATCCCGACCCCGAGCATAGGATGTACATAAATATAGCCCTGTGGACTTATCGGTGATTAAAGGGGGAAACCCCTATCTCCATAGCCCTAAAGCCTTGGTGCACTATTGTTGCATGGTTTGGACATTCATTAACCTGAGGTTCTACATGAAATCCCACAAAATATACCTCTTTCTTTCTCTCAAGCTGGTCTCTAAAAGAATCACTGAAAAGGCTACACAAGGTTGCATGCGCGGATATTTACTCTTGTCGCCCTAGTCCTCAACCACACGCTCACTTTCTCGGTTCCAGCCTTTAGTTTAGATCTAGAACATCCTATTATATATATATCTAACTTGCTCAACAGGACGCTATCATACGCTTTTCATTGATTCAGCCCCAAGAATGTCAGAAATCCTAGGTTGTTTCGGTAGATATATATTCCCTAGCACATGCTAAAACTGATCTTCGCGAATTCAGGAAAACATACTCGAAACCAGACCAGATGAGAGGGCATTTGCCTAGATTGATATTTTAACTTAATGTCCAACTCACTTGAGGTATGAACCATAAGATAGATATCTATTTCCAGTAAACAAAACTGACATTAAGCTGGTGAAAGCGACAATTTGCAGTGTATCTTTACTTGGATGGACTTGTTTATGGGACATCGACTCCACTCAGCTCGATCTCCTGCCCTTGCTGGGCCCATCCCTTCGGCGGTGCCTGCACCTCATAGTTCCAACCCAAGGTATCCTCGATAGTTCCTGATTGTATACCACGAAGAGTCTGCAGCAATTTAACACAAACCTCACCACCCTCCTTCTGAGTCCCGCAACGATACTCAAACTTATCACCACGGGACCGCATCGTGATACTACTCACAGGTACCAAAGCCGCTGCCGTACCAGCAGCAATAACCTCATCAAAATCGCGCAGCTCTTCATAACCAACCCGCCTCTTTTCCACCTGATACCCCAGCATGCGGGAAATTTCCAGTATCGACGCCGCCGTTACCGAGTCAATTGCATTCTGACTACCCGGCTGGACAACAGTGACCTGATCCCCGTCACGCTTTACTCCAATGAAAGCAGAAGTAGAGAACTCGTCGACTTCACTGCGACTCGCACTATCCAAATGAAGGGTAATCCCAAACCCTTCCCGTCGCGCGCGGTCACTGTGCCGTAGCACAGGCGCATAGTTTCCACCAACCTTAGCAGCGCCGGTTCCATGCGGTGCACAGCGATCGAAATCCTCCAAGATCAGCGCTTCAACCGCGGTAGCCCCGTGATATACCCCAGTCGGCATAGCAAATACAGCCAGCGTATACCCATCCGGAGGACTCAGCCCCAGCTGTGCAGAGGAACCGAAGAGTACGGGTCGAACATACATTGCGGCGCCGGAGCTGTGGGGTGGTACGTACTCGGCGTTTGCACCAACTGCTAACCGCACGCACTCGATGAACAGATCCTCTGGAACGGGTGGAATGGAGACTACTTCAGCAGAGTACTGCATACGCTTGGCGTTACGGTCGGGACGAAATATGGTTATTTTCTCGTCCGATGGGTGGCGGAAGGCTTTGAGGCCTTCATAGACTTGTTGGCCATAGTTTAGGCCTGGGGCCATTCCGTGCACTGGTATGAAGGGTGAGGCGACGAATTGCGGTGCCGACCATTTGTTATCCCCGCTGTGAGAGAAGTGAATTTCAACATGACCGTTGCCTAATAAGATTAAAAATCTGTGTTTCCGTAAGGGACGATTACTTACCATCCCGGACTTTAAATCCTATATTATTCCAATCGAGTGCAATGGGTGGTGGCAACATGATGAATTTGTAGAGCCAATTCACCGGGGGGGTCAATGCTTTATATAGAAACTGTGGGATTCTAAGGTTTTTGCTGACTATGCTGACTATGCGGCCCAACTAGTCTATAGGTATGTACTGTGCGGTATCACCTCTCATAGTGGATATCAACTGGCAGGTCACTGGCGGATTGCATCTGTTGGCTGCGTCCAAAGGCTGTGACTAAACACACTTTCAGTCTGCCGGGGACCTCGTGTTGAGAGAATTTCTGGTACATGTCGGCGATATTCTCGAATTCGTCGATATATGTGAACATCCACGATGGGTCTAGTGTGCCTTGTACTACCAGGTCCATCAAAAACGGATAATACTGCGTCTGGTGAGCTATCGATTTAGGCCGGAAAGAGAAGAACCCATACCTTTTGCGGCCATGTTTGGCCACCACGCACGGTCAACGCTTTCTGCATCAAAGGCCCAATCGGGAAATTATAAGTCGTGAAAAAGAAATCCCCAACCAACGCCACATTACCACCCTTACGGGTCGCCTTGATAATAGCCGCTAGTGTATCACTACTATCCTTCTCGAGGCCGATCGCCTGCATGGCCGGAAACTCGGCGCTCTGTGAAGTACGGTTTCCACTAGCCTCGATAGATCGATCAAGGCCATGGTCCTGAATCGACAGAATATACTCAGCCACATTCGCATGAGCATCCACATCAACAGGAGTCATGCCAAAATCCTCCGCAATCCGCAGTCGTTGCGCATCCTTGTCCATGGCATACACCTTCCTAGCCCCACGGAGCTTCGCCAGTCGTTGCACAGCGAGACCGATAGGCCCACAACCCCACACACCCACTACATCCCCGTCCTGCACCTCAGCCAACTCCACCGCATGCCAAGCCGTAGTCACAACATTCGTCAAACCCAGTAATTTCCGCGCATCGATATGGTCCGGCGCCCTGACACACGATAAGTCCGCATGCGGCACGCGACAGAACTCCGCCTGATCGCCTGGATATCCGCCACACAGCCGGCTATACCCCAGCTTCCCACCGAGTCGGTGGCCGTACGCGGCTTCGATTTCCTTGGATGGATTTGTGTTGTCGCAGAGTGAATACTCCTGTCGTTGGCAATATCCGCAGGTACCGCATGAGATGACAGGTAGGATGATGACCCGGTCACCGGGTTTGAGGGTTTTGACATCCGGCCCGACTTCTTCTACAAAGCCGATGGCTTCTTGGCCGAGGATGTCGCCTTTTTCCATTGCGTCTTTCAGCTCACCCTCGTATAGATGAATATCTGAGCCGGAGATCGTGCAGTGGGTGATTTGGACGATAGCGTCGCCAGGCTCGGTGACCTTGGGCTTGGGTACGACTCCCAATTCGACATCTCGGGTGCCCATCCACTGCGCCGCCTTCATCATCTTGGTAGGATGCGGCGTGTATCCCGTGCTGGTTTACATTAGAGTGAGGCTCGCTGTGTGCGGTGGCGAGACTTACCTGGGCATTACCGCCGCCATGGTTGACAGTAATGGTCAATCACCAAGAAATTTCAGTTTTAATAAGTATCGGGGGGTTTGAATCAAGTAATCGTTGGTGGTGCCGACGTATAATGTTTGGCTCGAGTTGTCGATGATGGAGATTTACCAAAATCAGAGCAATGGCAAATCAATATCAAGATGATGCTACCAGATACAATCACCCCGTAGCCGAGTGGCTAGGAGCCACAGAGTCGCTATCAATGGTCGTCGCATCGGATTTGTTGGTCCATGGGGTTTCTGCACACATGTCCCAGCCGGAAATTAAGGCCGGGTATTATCATCCAACTACCTATTTCGCCTCAGCGACTGGAGTAAAGATGTAAAGACAGTATAGAGTTGACATGGACACTTTACCTTGTACAGAGATACTAATCGAACATTCATCTCGGATCTCAACTGGGTTCATATTTGAAATGAAAGTTACATTTCATGTTCAGCGTTGGATCAATATCATACACTGGTGGAAACGGCATTTGGGATGTACAGGATTGCTTGAAGTTGACAGGATAACGAAGGAAGCATCGCATGCATGCAAAAAAACATGGATATCTTAAAAAAGCAAAACGCGCATCTTAATTGGACAACTTAGATCGAGGCTTCTGCAGTTTGAGTGACTGACCATCGGGCATAATATCGCCCGAGTCGCTGTCACTGTCATCGTCACTGGACTCGGACTCGGACTCAGACTCAGACTCGGACTCAGACTCAGACTCAGACTCGCCGGAGCTGGGCACTTCGTACACATCACTACGGGGAGGTGGGGCGGACTTGGTCTTGGGTCGTAGCTTGGCAGCAATTTCCTGCTTTTGGCTGCTCAGCATCTCCTTGAGGGTTAGCTTTGATTTTGTTACGACAGCTTGTCGAGGGGTGGACCGTTTTGCCTCCAATCTCTGTTCGCACACTTTCAAGTCCTCTCGCAAGGTGTCGAGCTTGGCGCGGAGCGGTTTTCGCTTGACCAATCCCAGCTTGGTGTCCGCCAGTCTGTGCAAGATATTTTGCATCTCGGTCAGAATGATCGTAAGCTGGGGATCATAGCTTTCTGGAAGCTTGCGCTCAATTTCTTTTCTCTCCGCTGTTTCCTTCTCCCTCAGCGATTTCTCGTCCGACTTTGACTGTGCCTTGATCTTCTGTTCGTTCTCAACTTGCTGTGTCAACAGCTGAACGTCAAAGCCAGGTGGGTAGACCACGTCTCCGCTGGATGGTGTTGCCTGAGCATGGTTAGAAGTGGACTTTGGCGTGGGTTTATTGACCTTGGCTTTAGGCGTGGCTTTGCTAGACGTGGTGGCCGGAGACGTCTGTAGGGTAGATTTGACAGCGGAGGTAGGCGTCTGCTGAGCAGACCTAGCCTTGGACTTGGCATTTCGTGAGGTTGCGCTAAGAGGCGTCCCTTTGGTGTTGGCGGCGGGAGCAGATTTGGAACTAATCGAAGTGTTGCGCGGAGTGGAGCGTGGGGCAGAATCGAAGCTAGAAGCAAGGTTCTCTCCCTCGGCGAAAGACACGGATCGCCTTTCCGTTGCCGGGGAATCCTTGCCACGGAGAACGGAATGGAGATTTTTCGTTTTGTCAATCGCAGGAGTATGCTTGTTAACAGGAGTGAAAGAAGGCACATCACTAGCAGTCACGTTGCTACTTGGGAAAAGTGGTCCGCCAAAAGAATCCTGGGTGGAGATTGCGTTGGATTCCTGTGAAAGATCCACGATGACAGGTTGATGGCTAGAAGGGCTCTGTGTGATACCCAACCCAATTCCAGACTGAAAGGTTTTGGGGGGCGTTTTGTTCTCCTCTCGGACACTGGCTTGTCGAGCCGGACTCGAGAAAGGAGGCGCACGGTTTCGTGTGCGCACTGGGCTCATTTGCGCAGCCGGCGATTTCGACTCGGTCTGCCGAGCCGGTTGAGAGTGCACAATGACCGCAGGCACAGAACGGGGAGGGGTAGATGGGGGTCGGGTCGAGGGATGAGTCTGTCCTTGGCGAGCTGCTTTAACCGATATATGTTCTTCGGAGGCCTGCTTCCGCTTGCGAGATCCGGTATCATGGGTTGTACCGCTGGTTTTCGAGATCGAGAAATCCAACTGATTTGAGGACCGAGAGCTCCTAGTCACAACGGGCTCTTCCATCTGTAGATCACCATCTGCATCAATGACACCCCCATCCTCAATAATGGGGATCGAGTGATCAATCCGGGGCGTAATAGGCTCATCCTTGGGTCCATTCTCTTCGCTGGCGTCCGAGTCGAATTCAGATTCGGATTCGGATTCAGAGGCTGATTCAGAGTCGTCAGAACCAGTCTGGTCTTCCGTTTCTAGTTGATCCTGCTCAGTAGTCTTCGTCTTTTTCTCCGCTTCAACTCTGTTATCCTCGCTGTCGCTATCCTCTTCGCTCGACTCCTCACGGGGGTCCCGATCACCGCTTCGGATGGCTTTTTCTGCGGGGATTGGGATAAACTCTTAGCTACTACATCCGCATGCCCCTGACGGTTGAATGTACCGGTCATGCCCGCCTTGAGTGGGTTTTCCACGATATGTTGCGGAGCAGACTCTGATTCACTGTCACTCGAACTCGCGGTAGCCTCCTCGGTAGATTGAGTTTGTTCTTGGGTAGTGGTATCATTAAGCGCAGACGACAGAGGTGGGGATTCTGCGTCGTCAGGCATTTGCGTAATTGTCCGCTTAACTATTCTGCTCGCATTTGGTAACTTGACGAGCTTTTGCGGCTTAGACTGCGGTTCCGGGGACCTGGTAACTAAAGATGCAGCTGTATGTTGGGACCCTGCACTGGAAGTTCGTCGCTCGGCTGGCGATGGAGACTCGCCGAGCTCCTCGCTCTCACGCCTGGGAGGCGGCGTACCAGCGATTGTAAGACCGTTGGATTTTGCTGGTGGGGGAGTGGTGACGGGACTGCGAATTTCAACAGAAGAAACAGGTAAATCGCGATGGCGGTGCTCAACTGACTTCTTGGTTGACGTACGAGACCCATTGTTGGTATGTTGAGGCGATTGAGGCGAATGTTCCCAATCGATGCGAGATTGAGACAAGGACCGAGAGTGAGTACGCCGTGATTCGGCGCTACTCTCTTCGTCTTCTTCCTGAATGGCAGGTATTTGGCTCTCCATGGCTTCCTTTTTATCCTTCATGGCACGCTTGCGCTCGTAAGAAACAATAGCAGCATCCCAATCCTGTTCGACAGAGGGGAATCGCTCCGGGGCAGTTGAGGTAGGCTTTTGGAGAACGCGAACGGAGCCGCGCTGGTCAAGGCCATCAGCGCGAGCTTTTCCATAGTCAACCCAGACATCAGCAACGGTCAAATCAGGGTAAAGATCGATATCCTCCTTCGTATCGTCGAGGATTTTCTTGATCGAAAGCGGTCTATGGCCAAGGTAATTAGCAATTGGAGCTTGACAGACAAGATAAGTCTCTCATCCAAGTGTATGAACACTCACTCCAGCTCTGGATGAAGCTTTCCCCAATGTTCTTGGATCATTCCCGCGAGCCCACCGAGCGAAACCTCTTCTGGATGTTCGAGGACAAGCAAAAAGACACCGGGCTTCTTCAATGTTGTTGAGACACCAGATCCCTGGCTGGAGTCGTCGTTTGTAGACTTTCGTGCGCCGAGGAGGGTTCTACCCCAGCTGGAGCTGGAGCTCGAGCTCAGCTGCTCCCGCGGGAAGACTTTGACTGTAAGTCGGAGAAATACCATTGTGTCAGATGGTAAAATATTCAGTAGATATCCATACAGCTGATGGGTTCAATTGGAGATTGCGTAGGGAAGGGTGTAGAGGTGAGGGTAGTTGCCAGTAAAAACCGGTAGAGGTGGTGGGGGACGGTAATTAATCGTAGGGAGCAAATGAAGAATGAAGAGTTTATCAGACACGCATGACTTCACAAAAAGACAAGGTGCCAAACACCAGACGGAATGGTGCAGGGTGAGGAGGAGGGAGAGAAAAAAAGTTAGGGAAATCAGAACGCGGAAGAAACTGGCGCGAAGCAGTCACGTATGGCCGCGATCCACTTATCTGCCGGCTCTACAAGACACATCTGAATTCAACTGAAAAGCATAAGAATATACGAATTCGTTCTTGCTAGTTGATTGCATAGTGCATGTGGACCGATATTCGATATTTACCAGTTCCTATATAGTTCAATAGAATGCGGATACCCCAGGGTTATATAAAACATTTGTAGAGAGTATGTAGATGAGGTTCATGGTTAATGTATTTTTATATATGATTCAAAAGATATTTTTGGACACAAATCTATTCCTGAGGCACAAAATACCTCCGGAAGCGATCAATGTGTGTTAGATCCAGCTCAACAACGACTGCATGGCAGCTCATCAACAAGCTCGGGAACCTGTATGTCCAGAAATTGAGATATCCTTCGGGCAAGCCGCCGATGTTTTCCTTAAGATGATCAGGCATATCATTGTAGTGATTGCGCTTGTTGCGAAGAGCTCTCAAGAGATCCAGCATCCGTGCCCCAGTGTACTTGCGCTGCTTGCCGAGATTGTCTTTGAAGTCTCGCGGCAATGAGCGCAGGAAATCCATTTCAGGACCCATTACCCGCTCAGCCACGGATTCCAGGCAAAGCAAAGCTTCTGATGGGGGGTCGCGAGGCTCAAATTCGAAGTGGTCAGATACATCGCAGAGGAATGTGAGACGGTCTGATGGGGGCCAGAAGAACGGGTGCATCAATACAGCGCTTGCGTCAGGACTAGAGATTGAAGTCAGTAAGTTGAATGTGTTTCTATAAAGAAAGATACGTACCGTTGGCGAGGGTCTAGAGCCAGCATGGAGCGGATGAGATCATCCGCCTCGAAAGCATAATCGCCTAGGCGGTTTAGTTCCTCCAAATCGAAATGGCCCTTGACGATGTTTGCCTCGCGCATAAACTTGCCATTCTTGTCGAAGGGGTGGCTGCCACGAGTCAAGACGTAGTAGAACACACAACCCAGTGAGAAGATGTCGATGGCCCGAGTGGCGCGACGGTTGGTCTGTGGGTCCACCACAGCGGGCTCTGAGGACTCAGTGTGCTGGGATGCGAGAGACATAGGGCCATCATCATCCACAAGGAGCTCAGGGGCTCGCCAGCCGGATGTTCCAGCGGCGTGGGCAGTGGTTGCCCGGAAAGAGCTTTGGTTGTCTTCAAGTTTTTTGCACAGCCCAAAATCCGAGATAAGGAGTCGCAATGACCGCGAAACAGTGCGCCCACGTGGCATAGCCACCAGAATGTTCTGCGGCTTCAGATCACGGTGGACGATCTTCAAAGAGTGCAAATAACGGACACCTTGAGTGATTTGCCGTAGTACATCAGGCAAATCTAAGCCGGCCTGGACTAGTTCTGGGTAGCTAGCAGGACGTTCAATCACATCCTGAAGAGATGCTGGACAAAGCTCGAGGCCGATATACAGGAATCCGGTGGCCTGCTCACGGCAGAAGTATCGGATCACGTTATGATGGTCGTCACTTTCCTGCAACAGACCCACTTCATGGGATGCAATGTCATAAAATTCCATCAACATACGCTTGACCGCGACGTCTCGTCCATCAAAGGAACCGCGGTAAACCACGGTTCCATGGCTGCCATGTCCCAGCACAACATTGGTGAAAACCTGAAGCCGGCCGACGCGAACGACGCCGTCCGTCTCGATAATCTCATTTGAGATCGTCCGGACCATTTGGACATCGGGCTCAAGCCGAGACTGGGGCGCTACATTATTGACTTGCTCCACGGCCTGGTCGGCTCCCTCAGGGCTATCGCCATCGCCCTCGGGCTTCTTGCGACGGCGATGTGACTTTCCTCCTCGAGATCCACGAGCGCGAGGCTTTTTCTTTGGCTTTCCAGGTTCATCGGCGTCCTCCTCACCAGGCGCGCGCGACGGCTCACAAATCTGCACCCGCGGCTTGGTGTCCGAGGCGTAGTCTCGAGAAGCACGCGGGGTTGCTCCACCCTCCGGTGATGAATGATCCAGATCTAAATCCACTGTAACGTTAGGAACTTGTTGGGTTGGCGTAGATGACCGCTTGATATCCGGAGCACCGCCGACAATAGGGGTGGAAGGGGCGGACAGAGAAGGTTTATCGCTCGAGTTGATGATGTTCTTGATGTCCAATTTCTGCTTGGCCAAATCACGAAGGTGATGCGAGTTGAAGTAGATGAAGGTGCAGATGAACAGTAAAACCAACGTCACGACAATATCCAAAGCATTGTCCCAGCTCTTGCGAATGATCGCGCTATTTCGCAACGCGGGAGGCAAAGCCAGCTCTGAAGGACTGCGGAGGATATCTCGTGGCGTATCATTGGAAAGTTCGGAGGTAGATGACCCAGAGAGTCTTGGAATGTGTGGACGGACGATACGAGGGCCGGAGAGAGAGTGAACACCGGCCAACGCATTCCGCTGCTGGCGCGCAGTCAGACTCATGAGTGCCTGCCCCCGCCGGAAGAAGTCTTTCTCATAGCATTGGGCCATTGGGGCGCGGCCGGTGGCCAGGGGATAGGTTTCCTCGGAGAAGGCATACCAGCCCCCTGCCTCAGTACAATCGATGAATACACGCATGTCTCTGTCATCATCAAGGGAGCCGTAATCTGGATCCGGTGGCTGAAGGGGTTGTGAGAGCAAGACTAGCGGGGTCGAGGCATCTGGTGCATCTTTGTGGGCAGGACGAACTACGTCAAAGACTCGTGCCACAGGAGATGGGAAGCGCTGGGTATAGCGAGGCCGATCCATGCGCGAGTGGTCGAATCCCAGCACAACACCGTCGTGCATACTATAAATGTGGCTTTGATCCATTGTGCGGTAGTATTGGCTCTGTAGGTCCATATCCCGGTTATTCGGTGCCCATTCGGAGTATTTCAAGGTACAGATTGGATCTCCCGTCTCAGTGTTTTGGATGGCGACGGCATATTCAACTCGACCGAGAACCAAAGTGCCAGATGTCGACTCGCACTCATCAGAGTCTGGATCTTCTCCGTTCACCTTGCGACATTCAGGTCCAGCGGGAATTGGGCCACGGGAACTAAACACTCGCAGAATGCTACCAGTCCGGGCGTCAATGGTGTACAGTGTAGTTTCTTTGCGGGCAGTATAAGTCACAGCAGGGTCTGTGCCGGAATAGGGGGTTTCGTCGACAAGCTGCTTCACAGTTAATCCAAGCTTTTGCAAGCCGGCGTCTGGTGCGGGGCTGTAGATATAAAGGCTGCCATCTTGGCTCGGTTCGACGATCCATAAGAAGTCGTCTTCGGGTTCTGTATTGTCAAAGCTGGAACGATTCGCTCGGTGGTAAGTGCTTTCGACCACAGGACTGCTCGGGACCTCTAGGGCCCAGCGAGCAGTTCCGGTCTTGCGATCACGGGCGTGAATGGTTCCGTCGACGGTCGCCAGCAGCACAAAATCCTCAACCTCCCAGTCCTGCAAGGACCGCGCGTGAAGCTGCGAAGCCAAGCCCGCAGGGGTACTGCTGGCTTGGACAGGAGGGGCTCGAACGGCACGGCCGGAGCCTGCCAGAGCCAGAGTAGCAAGGGCGCTCGCATCGTTGGGTTTCACGATGGGTGGTGCGGCCACATGGGCTGCATGGTGTTTTAATGACTCTTGTGCCAAGGGCACAGAGACACGAGAGACAGAGTCATGGGCTTCTGATTGCTGCAGCGGAGCGACCAGAGCTGGGAGAAGGAGGAGTGCGACACTGGCGGGGAGTGTCGTACGGGCGCCCGGCAGCCGCCACCGCATCGTGGAGCTGTCAGCACAAAGATTTCAGGGTAGGCGGAGGATCGAGGGAGCGAAGGAGGTAGTGGGAGTGTCATGGGCCGCTGAAACGAAGAAACGTTTAACGGGTCGAATGACAGTGTGGAGCGAGTTAAGAATCCGGGCGGATCATCCCCCAACCCACAAATGTTCGAAATGTACGGTAAAAAAAAATCACTTATAATCTAATAATGCACCATGAAGAGATGGTGAGAATGTGCCAGAATGTTGAAGTGAGAAAGGAAGAGATTGAAGAGCAGGCAGATAGATTGTGTGTAATACAAGTGTATATTACTGTTACAAGTTTCTTTCACTAACTCAGTGTGAAGTATGGTACTTTTGTCCACGCACGCCTTGGTATACTCCATACAACATACAGCCTAGAACAATAAGAACATTCGAGAGTGTTTTGATCATATCCCTTTAAGGGACATTGGTATATACCGTGGATCCGGTGTATGCAGATTTACATGTCATGGCTATATTTCTGCACCATATTCCGTATACATAGTCATCATTTTTAATCATTCTCCCTTCCACTGTACTCCGTACACCGTACGGAGTACACCATTTCAAGTCTTTCATATCTTTGAACCCCCAGCCTCTCGGGGTGGGTCAACCCGTCAGGGGGTACCAATCAAGGGCGAAACCACACTACTTTGTAGTATGCACGTAAGGTATCAAGAAATAGTTTCATTATCGCCGAGTATTTTTTTCAAGAAATATGTAGATCAAATCAGCACATCCAACGCCACAACCCCATCCTCGTGCAGTACACGCCGGAAGTGCCAGTGAAAGGGGAGAAAGGGAAAAAAAAAAACACACACAAGAAAAATCAAGATAGATACAGGTGTAGAAGGATGTGGAGAGAGAAAAGGATTATAGAACAGAAGGGGAAAAAAAGGGATCACGTATGATCCCAAGAAAGATAAGTAAATATTAAAAACGGAAGACTTTAACCACCACGGATCATCCAGGTCACAGCAAGAGCCCACCCGCTGACGAAGATGACGGTCAAGATGCCTGCACCTGCACGGTCACCAGTACCGATGGTATTCAATACGGGAACTTTGTTGTCCGAGGAATTGGTGCCGGCGTTCGGGTTACTCTTGGAGGTTCCACCCGATTCTGCCGTCACTGGCCCCTTGTTCAGGAAGGGGATCAGATTGGCAGAGAGGACACCCAGTACAGCCATCTGTTGCTCCAGACCTTTGGATCCGTCCCAATCGGCCTGCTTGTACCATCGAATACCACATAGATCCCCGTCATCACCACCTGAGCATTGCTTTGCAGCGGCCTGGGCAGAGGTTTTCAGCTGAGGGAAAATCAGGTCGTAGGTACCGGGGACAATCGTAGTCAACACTCCAAGCCAGTTGGAGAAATAGGCCTTGAAGGTGATCTGGTTACGATCGCAGTTGCCGAGGGGTTCGCAGGTGATATCCGATAGAATCTGGCCGCCGGCTCCATTAAATCCAGTGGTCGGATAGAACTGCTGAGAGGTCTTGATGAGGCCCTCAATACCCTCCTTCCATTTCGGTTCGGTGCCTTTGGTCTAGTCCTAAGTTAGTATCGACTCTCGTTGCGCAGGACATGGGGACATACGTAGTTGTGCATGTAGGCAGCGCCACTAATGTAGGTGGCATAGTTGTAGGTCCATTGGAAATCGCCATGATCCGTGCACTGTGTCCCGCAGGTGGTAGTGTCGGCGATGTTCCAGTTCTTCTGCTTGAGCAAGGGAGTGGTCGCACTCCAATCCCAAATGCGCTCGGCCCAGTCGGCATACGTCTTATTTCCGGTGTAGAGAGCGAGGCGGGCCGAAAGTTGGAACAATCCTCCGTTCGAAATCGCGTTCTTCGTCAGGTAACCGTCCTGATACGGCCAAATCTGCCAGCGCATACCACCGTGGCAGCTGCTCGTATCCCAGCGGGGGTACTGGGTGTTGAAGACACCTTGTGCAAGGGATACCCAGGAGGGTTCGCCTTCTCGTTCGGGGTAGTTGAATTCCGCGGCCGTGATAGCAGCGAGACCCCAAAAGACTTGATCGTCGTTTCCCAGGTACTGACTGTAGTTGCTGGGGAAGAAATTGTCGTCGCCCTTCTGGAAATACATTCCGTCCTGAATGGCGGTGTTGAACTGGCTGTCGCCGGTCACGAACCAGTACAGGATAAGGGTCATAAACATGGAACCGCCCTCCCACCAAGTGCCATCGAGTTTACCGGGGATGTTCTTGGATTCGCGAGCGTCGTAGTATTTCATCATTCTGGTGGCGACTGTTTTAGCCGCACTTTTAAGGGAGTCTGAAAGAAGCACTGTGTTAGCCAACGAATGTGATCGAGGGGTGAAAACATACTCTCATCATCAATGTTCAATTCGATAGCGAGAGCACCCTGGACGGCGAATGCGCCGCCCAGTAGAGTGGCCAGCCACTTGGACAAAATCATGAGTAGAATCTCAAACGAGCGTAAAGGCCAGCGGCATATGGGAGTTGGGTAGAGTTGAAGAGAGAGAATGTAAGGAAGAAAAGACGGGGGCTCGGGGTACCCGGTAACAGTACCGGAGGCAGTTCCTGGTACGTCTCCGTCTAAGAATGTTGCACTATTTGAACATATTAATAACCTTACTATTTATTCCAGTTCCCCTTTTACAGTGCCATTATTGGATTACTAGGTTGGTGGGTTTGGTAGATTTGCTGGTCTACCCCTAAAAAACCAAAGCGATGACGGTTAGACTCAGTCCCCTGGCGGCAAATCCGGTCCTGCATTTGGACAATGAAACATTGAGCTTAACGCTGAGACATCCCTGGATATTGCGCCTACTTTGTTGTCAAGGTACAGAGTACCTTAATGTTATTGTTATCGTACATAGTATAAACTGTCCAGGCAATGCCGATCTGGGCTATCGCCCACTTTTATGACCCACGGGATAGGAATGTGATGTCAAATCCAAGAGCATATGATGTATGGAGTATACCTGATACCTCCATATCTACTTGGATATGAAGAGATTACTATAAGACATAATGAAAGTATGTATACTCCGTACTCCGTACTTCATACCTATAGAATAGATCTATGCTGCTGCCTTGGCTAACGCCTTGGCTATGTACCAAGCTTTCACACTCACCTGGGCGTCAGAGTCTTCCGCTTTGAGGGTTGGTGCCTCATTATTCAGGTCCCCGGAGTCCCAGGTCTTTTCGGTTTGATATTCCCACACACATTCCTTGATATGCTCAGGGTTATCATTAGAATAGGGCATAATTCATGAGAATCCCCAAGTTTAAGTCCTACTAAGAAAATGATAGAGATGAAGTCTTGGCATCTGATCCTTGTGCCTGAGAATCTAGGCCCCAGAAAATATTGAAGACGTAAACTAGTTCAATATGTGCACCTGGAACATTCACGAGGAACTACTGCAATGACCTCGGGGGCTATGAGCCATGCCTGGGGCGATGCGACAGGGCGCGACCCATTATGCGCGATACATCTGCCTGGCAGACTACACAAATGGATAGATGAATATACCATGTACTTAGTTGAACTTCTATTGCACATTTTTAGTCCCTTTGTAGAAAGAGTACAGAGATGAATTCATCCATGTCATCACAATCGTGTCCATTACATCCGGGTGCGTTGGCGGGGAGCCGAACGGATGATGTTGTCCACCCGCAGGAGAAGCTAAAGAGAGTCAGCATGTATTCCTAATTGAGTACCAAGAATAGGAAAGAGTCAATCACATACCTCGGCTGCCTCTGAGGCAGACGACACCACCGCCTTCTTCAGTTTATAAGCCTCCACCACACCAAGCTCACGCATATCCGCAATACCGCCACCGGGCGTCAACAGGTCAAGACCAGAGCTGGTCATACCGTTGTTGATAGCCGAGCGCAGGCGAGTCACCAGATCGCTGGAGTCCAGACCGGCGTTATCAGCCAGAATGGTAGGGAGCTGCTTCAAAGCGTGAGAGAAGGAGTCAACGGCAAGTTGCTTCTTGCCGGTGGTGTTCTGAGCCGCCTGTTCCACGGCCTTGGACATCACCATCTCGGCGCAACCACCGCCAAGTGTGACGCGGGGATCCTTGACAGTCTGCGAGAGAACGGCAAGAGCATCATGGAGTGAGCGCTCGGCCTCATCGAGAAGCTGCTCAGTGGCACCGCGCAGCACAATGGTGCAGGCCTGACCAGCGGCCACACCGGAGAACTTGATCAGGGTGTCCTCGCCAATGATCACTTCCTCAATCAGATCACACCCACCCAGTTTGACCTGGTCAGGGTGATCGAAGGTGGAAGCAATTTCACCACCGGTAACAAGAGCCAGGCGCTCAATGCCGTCGAAATCGGCGTGCTCAATGGACATGATACCGGCCTCTGTGAACAGCTGCTCGGGCCAGTTGTAGATGAGCTGACGGTTAACGAAGCAGTTAATACCGTGAGCCTTGATACGCTCAACCTTTTGGCGCATCTTCTCGCGCTCTGCCTTCTCCAATTCAGCGAGCTTGCCGGTCGACTCGACCTTGACTCGTGCACCGAAAATCTTGACCTTATCTGTGTCCATTGCTGTGTTGGCAACAAGGATCTTGGCGTTCTCCAACCGCTTGGGCTGGTTGACACCGACCTTCTTGTCCATAATGAAACCCTCATCGAGGTATGAATCGCTCAGCTTTCCACCGGCCTTCTTGATAATCTGAATGTGAGAAAGATCGGTGGATCCCTTGAGACGTAGAACGGCGTCGCAAGCCAGCTTGGCGAATTGGTCCCGGTCTTGCGACAAGACCTTCGAGCTGAGTGTTGTGCGGGCAATGGCGTGCAAGTCCTTGCGGAAAGCCTCAGGGTCTTGGCTGCGGTCGACCGCCGTAGCCTCGAGAGCGGCCAGGGCAGCCTTGCTGGCTATCCGGTAACCCTCAATAATAGTCTGGGGGTGAATCTTCTTGGCAACAAGCTGTTCGGCTTCGCGCAGCAACTCGGCAGCCAAAACGGTGACCGATGTGGTTCCATCACCAACCTCATCGTCCTGAACCTTGGAGATGTTGACCAGAACCTTCGCAGCAGCGTTATCCAAGGCGATGGACTTAAGAATTGTAGCACCGTCGTTCGTCACCAGGATACTTCCTGTGGATCTGGGAGGACAGCAATGTCAGTATTGCCGGGGTCATATCAGCATATAGAATTATCGATAACTCCCCCACGTACGCAGATTGTAGGATCTTATCCATTCCCTTGGGACCAAGAGTACTCTTCACAAGATCTCCGACGGCAATAGCACCGACAAAAGCGGATAGACGGGCATTCTCGCCCTTCTCTTCAATGACATCGTCACCAAAGATCTGTGTGGGATTGCCGAAGGATGCCTAGGAGGGGCAGAGGTGAGCCAGTGCACATATTTTCCACACTCTGGTGGGTCAAGTTGGGAATATCATACCATGATGACCAGCTGAATAAGGCAATCGACCAAAGATCAAATGTCTTGCTGGAAAGGTTGAATCAACTTCTCCTGTCAACAGTGGGGTGGGAAAGGAGAAAAGTTGCGGCACGATTGGCCCGAGCTTGTGATTGGCTGCATTCCATCACCGCCCGCGATGTCTCTAGAGGTTTCCTTTCTGTCGTGACGATCCCTTTCGCTGGAATTGACTTTGTTACTTACAATATCGACAATGGCTGACTCCGGCGAACTTGCTCAGGCCCCTGCGAACAAGCGGCCTCACTCTGATGTGGAGGCCGAGAACAGTGAGTCAAGTGCACCATGGACACCGTCTAGACCGCTCCCCCGAATGGCACGTAATAGATATTAACCCTATGCGATTGCTAGGTGATGACTCTTCCGACGATGATTTCGGCCCTGCACTGCCCTCAGAAGTCGCCCCCAAGAAGAAGCGGCGCAAGCTACCTTTCGAGAAAGTCTACGTCAACGCGCTCCCAGTCTCCGCGCGGTACTCCAAGTCTCTCATGCACAAGGACCAATTATCATTTGTGACCGTCGCACCCTATACGGACTTTGTGATCACTTGCTCCGTCGATGGATTTGTTAAGTTCTGGAAGAAGATGGCGGAAGGCATCGAATTCGTGAAGGAGTTCCTTGCTCACCCAGGCGAGATTCGGGGTGTAACTGTCAGCGCCGACGGCCGTAGTTTTGCGACAGTGGGAATGGACAAGACGGTGAAGATCTTTGACGTTATTACATTTGGTAGGCCCAGAATGATTGACTCTGTCGGCTGAGTAACTTGCTGACATCAGTAGATCTCTTGTCGATGTATACACTGGACTTCGTGCCTCGATGTGTCTGCTGGGTACACCCGCGCGGGGCCTCGCTACCTCTGCTAGCGGTGACGGATGAGTCAAGTAACACGATTCAAGTATTTGACGGACGTGGTGAAAATCCCCAGCCCTTGCACACTTTGAAGTCGATCCATCGCAGCCCCGTGGTCTCACTAGCATTCAACAACGCCTTCGACTGCGTCGTCTCTGCCGATGAATCAGGAATGATCGAATACTGGAGAGCCGGAGACGGCTCTTTCGAGAAACCTGACAACGTCTTCGACCTCAAATCCTCAACCAACCTTTTCGCATTTAAGAAGGCCAAATCTGTCCCGACATCCATCACAATCTCCCCGTCAGGCGAACACTTCGCCACAGTTTCCTTCCCAGACCGCCAAATCCGAGTATTCGACTTTGCAACCGGGAAACTTTACCGCACATACGACGAATCAATAACCACCATCACGGAGATGCAGCAAGCCGGGACAGCCCCTTACGAACTTGACGAAGTAGAGTTCGGACGCCGCATGGGTGTGGAGCGCGAAATCGAGAACGAAGCAACCCGCAGTAAAGTCAACGTTTGCTTCGATGAATCTGGCCACTTCCTCCTCTACGGCTCTCTCTACGGCGTGAAATGCATCAACACATACACAAACCGGGTAGTCCGGGTTTATGGCCGCGAAGATCCATTCCGATCCCTCAACCTCGCACTGTACCAAGGACAACCGCAACGCAAAGGCGTCGTGACCGTCTCAATGGCGGCCAGTAGCAACCCGCTTCTCCAGGAAGCCGAAGAACGTGACCCAATTCTCTTCAGCACTGGCTTCGGCAAGGTGCGCTTCTACATGTTCACGAACGAAACAGAGATCTCCAAGTCCACCCGCGACGTCCAAAATGAGAAGCCAACCCAGGCAACGGCCGGTACTGGTACAGCAGTGACCAAAGCCGCTGAGACTGGCACTGCTGCAATCCTGCACACAACGTTTGGCGACATCCACCTGCGTTTGTATCCGTCGGCTGCGCCACGGGCTGTAGAGAACTTCGTCACGCATGCTCGAAATGGTTATTACAATAACACGATCTTCCACCGGGTGATCCGCAAATTCATGATCCAAGGTGGTGACCCACAGGGCGACGGGACGGGTGGAGAGTCTATCTGGGGTGGGGAATTCGCAGACGAGTTCTCCGTTCTCAAACACGATAAGCCGTATACGCTCTCCATGGCCAACGCCGGCCCTAATACAAATGCTAGCCAGTTCTTCATTACCACGGAGAAGACACCGTGGCTGGATAATAAGCATACTGTGTTTGGACGTGCGGTGCAAGGCTTGGATATCGTGCACAAGATTGAAAATGTGCGGACGCATAAGGAAAAACCGGAGGTTGATATTAAGATTGTCAGTATCAGCATCTCGTGAAATATCATTCTCGAGTGGAATCTAGATGTATTACAATATATGTGTATAAAGAATCATGAAATGCGCGCACGCGTTGTACTATGTACTCTGTCACTTGATCAGGCAGTTCGAGGGGGAACAAAAGAAAGAAATTTTGACGAATTTGAGCGTAAAGGAACGTCGACGCAGTCATCAGCAGCAATCATTCTGCCGTATTTAGGGCCATAAACCCGATAGAACAAGGAAAGAGAAGAGAAAGAGAGAAAGAGATCAAAACCAACAATAAGAAAAACACAGCGCACAGCGTGAAGCCCATTATCCGTACCAAACACCAAGAAATGCAACCATAGCCAGGTAGTATGGTATAGAAGTAGCGCATTGTAATAAAAAACTAAAAAATAATCAGAGACGTAAGAAACCCGAAGATCCAAAAGAATCCAACAGCCCTAAACCTGCCGAATCTCCACATCCCCAGAGTCCTGTTCGATCTTCGTCAATCGTGTCCGAGCCCCGGGGACGGGAGTACTGGTCTTCGCCATCGTAGAGCGTGAGCTACTGGCGAGAGAGTCGGCAGCAAGACCGCCCACAGGCAGCGGCGCCGGACCCGAGCCCCAGGCGGCATCGCGTGGAGCAGGCGGGACGCTCAGCATGCCGCTGCTACCGCCACCGTAAAGATGCGGTCGTCTCGCCTCGTGGCGGCGCTTGAGCCATACGCCGAGTACGGCGATGAGGGTGAATCCGACGACCAGAACTATGAGCATAATGATCCAGCGGTAGTGGGAACTCCACCTTTACGTAGGATTCTAGTCAGCGATCTAGTTGCTAGTGAAGTTGGGATCCCGATCTGCGCTACAGTCTTGGGATCAAACGTACCATGACTCCTTCTCCTCCGTGGCGGCGGGGGTTTTGTTCGTGTTTCCGCTGGAGCCGGATTCCGATTTCGAGGTATCAGATGTAGAGGCTGGGTCGGGGGAGGTCTTGGTAGTTGTGGTTTCGGTATTAGCGTTGGTGTCGGTGTCGGATGTATCCTTGCCACCAGAGTTGCAGTAGTTATTGTACCAGGTTGAGAGAGTGGTTTGGTCGGCGGCGCTGCAGGCAGAGCAGATGCTGCCGGAGGATTTAAGGCCGGTGAGCAGGGCTGACTGGCAGAAGCATGAGGTCCAGGTTGAGGCTTCGCCTGCTTCGCATGAAGTCTGCGCGACTGTCAGGGTGTTGCAGGACAGGCCGCATTGCGGGAATTTACTGGAGGCCGATGTGGGGAGGATGCTGTCGGCGGCTAGGGCTGAGATTGCGAGGGCGATAAGAGTGAGAAATGAGAAGCGCGTAGTGAGTGACATGGTGAAGGTAGCGAATGTAGGGCCCTGAGGCTCAGTTTGATGTCTTGGAATAGAATCTCTCCATACTAAAAGAGAGAGCAAAAGACCAGACAAGCGACGTGAGAGTTTTGGGTCTAGTCAGGGCCGACTGTTGCCGGACACCGTTTGGTTTTTGGTTTTCTTTTTTTCCTGCTTTTTTTAATTGGTCACATAAGATAATCGGAGACTATTTAGGATTAAATAGTCTGCTATTAATATTGGTTTTAATCTCTTTTTTAATTACCTTATAATCTTTAGTAGGATTTGGTGAGTCGCATCGCAAGCGTCTTTTTTAATCTCCGCAAACGGAACAGCCCTCCATTCTCTGACTCTCTCGCGGATCGTCAAATTCTTAGGCCTTGAGGTCATCGAACATTGGCTGAATGCAGTAAAGGATTGACCAAGTCCCACGTTTGAAGGCTATTTTTAATCTTTGGATCTCTGATCATGTAAGGAGCTCCTCCGTATGGATATTGTACTGACTAGATCACATCGATATAGGATGTACGGAGTACTAGGCTCTAATGTATTTTCTTATACACTTGAGTAACTCCCCTTTATCAACTCCAAACAAGGACCCACGATCGGCGGCCGCGAGAGTTGGGTCGAAATGGATCTGTTTCAATCTCTTCTCAAGTGGAGATGCTAAGATTGTATAGGTACCCTGATATGGAGTACAATATAGGTGATGAATTTGGATGTGGGAGATGGAATACACTGCGACGTTGTATCATACCAAGCCTCCTTTTTACCGTGTAAATTGAGTACTCCGTACATACGGTAAATTCCCTCTCGCTTACTCTGGACCTTGGCATATTTTCATGTTATATGATCACTTGCAAATATTCAATCGGCTACCAATAAACTCGGGTCTCAATCATTTACTATTTACCATAGAGACCTCGGGGACACAGTTGACAGGTAAAAAGGTCAAAGCCTGGACATGTGGAAGTACAGAAGTGCAATGTGATTACTTTCAAAGAGGGAAAAGAGATTTCAATTTTAGGACATTCTACCCGAGTATTGACGGGTTCTCGTGTCATAGGCAAATACGAAAAAAAAATAAGCAATGGAGATCAGTGTTATAGCCCGAGGGGAAAGCCCGAGATGATTGGATAACTCCACCTACTCCTCTCCGCATTCCCTCCCTTATCCAACACCGTGATGTCAACAATGCCCTCCCGTCAGCTCCTTTCAACCCTAATAACATCTCTCAGCAATACCCGCTGGACCCTAACTCGGACCCTCCGAAGCGACAATCCCCTCGACCTAAACGGCGAGCTCCGCGGGACCGCAACTTTCACCGCACAACCCCCCACCACAACCCCCGATCGCGACTGGCTATACTGTGAAGAAGGCGAAATACCTAGCAATGTCGGTGTAGGTGCCTTACAGCCAGGCCTACGGTGGACAAAGAAATACATATGGCGCCTAGGCAGCGATAGTGGACGCGTGAGCGTCTGGTTCGTGAAAGTCGCGCCGGGCCCGGAAGAAGCAGACTACCTATTCCACGATTTCGACTTTGATTCGGGTTCCGATTCACTGCTAGAGGCCGAATCTGGGTCTGCGCAGAAGGACCCGGGGGAATTTGTCGCGCCGCCAATGCCGCCCGCGGTCTCGACTAGCAATGAGACTACTGTGCTCAATGCTAGGGGTAATCACCTCTGTATCAATGATATGTATCGCACGGCATATGCGTTCCGCATTGCGCCAGATACCGGGGAGGTGCTGAGCTGGGCCAGTCGTCATGTTGTGCGTGGGCCGAAGAAGGGCCAGGAGATTGTCAATCGATATGAGAAGGGGGTGTAAGATGGGATTTTAAAGGATCCTACAATTGCGATGCTTCTCATGCAATGCCACCACCCGGTCCTGTTAGACACCTTACGAAACGTAGAATTGTGTACTAGAATCATAATCATGATCATGCATGCTCATTTATTCCCATTTATATCTCGATGTGGCTCCGTTCTCCCTTTCGTCCCATCCGATTATTCCGCTGCTCACAGTGTGTAAAGGAAATCCGGTCTCTTGTCACCCAACAGCTCGATCTGGCTCTGGTCCAAGCCTTGGATCCACTGGTCTCGCTCCCCCGTCTGCGCTTGCTGTTCTCACGGCGCAGCAGGATGTACTGCAACACGGATCCACCAAACTGGAACAGCACCAGGTAGCCGAGTACTACACTGTGACCGGGGTAGAATTTCGGCTTATCAGCGTCGCGGTAGATATTAGAAGAGACAATGCCGTTCAGATTTCCCCAGCCGATAATAAATCCGAGGGAGACACCTCGTTTGTATACGCCTAGACAGCAATTGAGTTAGTCTTTGATTTCGTCATGTATATATTAGAAAAGCAGAATCCAGGGTGGCGTTTACCTTCGGTGTTGTTACTGGTCCACGAAATCGTGTTTGCAATAGCTGGGTAGATTCCCATGGCTCCAAGGAAGGTTCCTGCATAGCGGGCGCCGGCAGACTCACAGCCTAGTAGCATAGAGAAACCTACTATACCGAGGATCGAAACAGACATATTGCAGAGACCACGCTGTCTTGTACGATCTGCGATAAAGCCAACTGTCACTGTCATGACGGCGGCGGCGGCATATGGCGGTACGCTTAGCAACTGTGCGCGAATCGAGCTGTAGCCTATAGAAGCACCCAGTCAGTAAATAGCCCAGAAATCCCGAATGCGACGCCAAAGGTCAATATTTACCCTAGAAAGAAACAGGTTAGCTTTGAAATCTCCAATCTAGCAATCTGGCAACTCACTAGTTGACTGATGATAGTAGGCACGAAGAGCGAAAATGCATAAAGTGACCCATCAGCCCCCATATATATCATAGCCCCAGTATAGGTTTTCCAATCCTTAAGACTGGACCAGAAGTAATCCATCTTGAACTCCTCATGCTCAGCACTAGACTGCTGATCCATTGCGAGTCGTCTGAGAACGCGCTTGCGATCGATTTCCGACAAGAACCGCGCCTGATCAGGGAAGTCATAGACACACCAGAACGAGGCAACACCAATAATAACTGTGAGTAGACCTTCTAGAATGAAAATCCAAGCCCAGCCCTTCATACCGCCCACGCCGTGCATCTTAGCAATCGCTGCAGCTAGTAGGCCGCCGAAGGAACCCGCGAGCGCAGCCGCGGAGAAGAAGATGGCCATACGTACTCCAAATTCGGAGCGCTTATACCAGCAAGAGAGGAAATAACCCACACCGGGGAACAGACCGGCTTCAGATAGACCTAAGAACCAACGGACGGCCATTAGGCCGTGGTAGTTCTTGACGAAACCCATACAGATCATGCAAATTCCCTATGATCAATTAGATGAATATCATTCAAGAGGAAAGGAATGTGTTCCATACCCATGCCATCATAATACATGGGATAAAGATACTCGGCCGCAACTTCTTGAGCAGGACATTGGTCAAAGGCTCGAAGACTGAGTATGAGACGAAGAATATAGTGAGTGTGGCATTGTATTGGGCACTGGTCATGTTCAGATCTTTTTGAAGACCGACAATCTTCGCGTTACCGATATTTGTCCTGGAACAAGATGAGATTAGTTTGTGATATTTCATCGAAAGCGTGTGCGCGAACAGTTGCTCCTTTACTTACCGATCAAGGAATGAAACGAGATAAAGTAGACTGAGCCACGGCACGAGACGCATATCGAGTTGCCATAGCAGCTTGCGATCCTATAGATTTGTGGCATGATTAATTTTTCGTCACTGCCAATGGGTTTGAAACCAGACAAAGTCAGACACAACTCACGATTTCCGCCCTTTCTTCGGCACTCTTCCCTGCATCGGGATCCTCGAACCCAGCCGCAGCAAGGGGATCCTTGAGATCGAGAACTTTCTCAGGGTCTTCCGACTGGAAGACAGTTGGTTTTTCGAAGGATTCAGAAGCCATAATGCAAGATCAAGCAGATCAGCAGAACGAATTCTCCAAAATGTGCGACTACGTTTTGCCGACCTGCGAGTTCTTATATAGAGCGGGAGAAAACCCAAGCTGGAAAAATACAAGCCACTCAGCACTACTGAGGGGCAAACACGCTACGCTGGTATCCGGCAGATTCTGCGAGATTTGTCGCTAGGATCCAATGAACGCCATGGTCGCCACATTCTAGCCCGTGTGCAGGGATTGCAACGTTAGCTTGGATCTGATTGTTGGGGCCCCAGTTTGATCGGCACGGATTTCAGTGGTTGAGGATATGATCAACATGGGATACAGTGTGATATCCCATGAAAAGCGAGATCAAACAGGAACAGAAAAGATCTGTTATTGTACTCAATTCGATTCAAGATACTGAGGCTACCCTAAATTTCGGAGGGTGACAAGCCGAGTCTGGGCATCCGGGGAATCAGGGTCAACCCGTAACCCCATACGGGGACTCCATATCCCCGGGCTCCACTACCCCAGGCTTGTCCGTCCCCATCCGTGTGTTTTGCCAAGTCCACAACGGCCCGTTTGAGATTAACTCGAGACCTTCGGCTTTGCTCAATGTGCTCTCGGCCGATAGCAATTTGGTGGTGTCAGACCAGCAGAGTGCTGTAAATCCGAAGCTAGTCGAGATTGTGGCGCTTGATTTGCCCAATCTAGACATCCTGTGGCGGATGACCTGCTCATGCTCCGTATCCCCGAAGGATTTGTGTCGAACATTCAGCCATTCATAGCAATTGGATTTGAAGAGCGGCGATTTTTGCTATGGTAGCACGCTAATCCCCGCAATTTAATGTGCCGAAAGGAACGATTCGAATGACCCGGTATGGGGTGATCAGCACATGTGATCAAGTTGTGGGAGCATCCCAGTAAATTACGACTATGGTCCGGGGGCCAATTGGAATATTATGGCTTAGATAGGCGCCTCGCGGAACAAGCGCTGGATTGAAAATACTAATGGTCAAAACGCCAATGTATATTCAAGTGATCGAACATATCCTGTCTGCGCACGTGAACTCTTGGCAGCAATTTTTCATGAACCCCTTTGGGACCCCTCGCGATGATTTTTCTATTAGTTCTAACTTTGAACTTGGATCCTGATAGCGGTTATACCCAGGAATATTTGCGTTTGAGATAGTCTGAGACGTAAATGTACTTATGATGGAGACCACGAAAATCATGGATGTACCCGAAAAAAAGCGATAACAAAGACGCTTGTGATCTGTTCAATACGCCCGTCTGAGCTTCCTGTGGCGATTTCAAGGTGAGAGCCCACCTCCCATACAAGATTGGACACGAGCGCCGATTGATCCCAATCAAGCGGACAGTATTGGTGTGATACCATACCATCCCTGACTAGAGTCCGTCCTTTCGCTTGATATCACCAGAACGTGATTCCGGCTTCAGGGGGCTACCAAATCCATTGACGCGTCCATGAAGCCACTTGAGAGTGATGGTGCTCATTGCCATCACAACGGCGCTGAGAGTGAAGAGGCCAATACGACCTGACGTGGGCAGTGCTTCAAAGATAGGATATGGATACCTAGATGAGTCAGTCGATGACGCCGGAAGTGCTGGATCATACACAAACCATCCATTTTGAGAGAAGCATTGCTCAATCCAGAACCAGTAGCCAAAGGCGATGGTGCCAGACAAAGCCAGTGCCGGGAGTGCAGTGATTGTCCATGGCGGGGACAGGAGCAGCAGGTCAATCAACATCACCACGGACGGTGTGGCGTGGAAGCTAATGTCTATCATTTTGTTATCAGGGGTATCCTGACCAAAGGTAATTTTAATACACATACCGGCGTGAATGGGGATAAAAATGTCCGGGGGGATCACCAATCGCTCATCAATCTATACGTGGATTAGATAGCCCTCGACTTCAGCATCAAATTACTTACAACGCGAAGACCCCAATACAAGACACTGATGACAACCTCAAGGGGGGCACTGCATACTGATAGGATGTTCTTGATTAGGAACAGTCGCCGGGACGAGGTAATATCGGCTAATAGTGCAACGGCGAATGTGAGTGTTGATAACGACAGGCCAATCACTGTCAGAAATTGGAAATGCCAGCCGTATGCTTCATTGCTGTAAAGTGTAAAGTTTAGCATAGTTCCCAACATCCAAACTAAACGAATGCTTACGCTTGGTTGGGGTTTTCGTGTATGCTTCAAGAATGTCAGCAAAATCTTAAAACTTTGTAAGTATAGCTTAGCCAACCCATACTATTTGAATGACCATAGAAAGCTCGAAAGTCCGACCAACTGGAGAACAACCCGTTAGTGCTGGACCAAAATAACAAGTGAAAGGACCACGGTACATGAACCAAAGCTGACAACCCCCTTGAAGGACTCGACATCCACTGAAGCGGGTGCTTATCGATCAGAGACCTAGCCATATCGGGTAAAGGAGTTACTTTAAAAGGCCCTAATGCGCAACATAGAAAAGTAACAGGTGCTACCAAAGCGCTCGAGAGAACCAATGTGCATCCAAAAAGCTATGACGTGTATCGAGATAGCTCACGTGATATCCGGGGCTGAACGGCTCTCCTCGGGAATTGCCGGCTTCCCGCGGTATGCCGGCCTAGGCTTCACTTGGTATCTCGGATTATAACATAACCCGGCTGATTCATCGTTTCTTATCTCGGCCATGTGCTTCCCCACACTTTTAGTCTGCCAACAACTGTCTTTTTTGCATGACTTTTGCTGTGAAGCTGTGCTTTTTGTCTGCACAGTGTGATCATCTCACTCCCTGTCAGGTCAATTGATTATATCCAACAGAGAAAAATTCTGTTTTACATCTTGTTTCATATCCGAGGTTATCACGATTGACACTATCCTGGTCACTATCTGCTGTTTTGTCCTCCCATTGCTGAAGAGCAGTGGGACTCGAACTGTTTCTGGCACATCTCCCTCCCATACCTCGATGTGCTTGTATACTAGGTGTGGGTGTCTGGTCGATTATCGCTTCGTCGCTACTTGGGGTCAACGAGGATCGAAACGTAGAAAGCGCGCCACTGTCAACTCTGATCTGCTTTCGGCGTGAGAAGTCTCAATTGGACCAATACACTTGAAAAGGCTAAATCTGTATGGCGGGACAATACATAGTGGTCTTTGGCTATCTCGAGCCTCTGTTATCTTGAATTGTCTCGGTCTCCTCTTTCGTGGCATCGATACTCGACCAGACACCCTCTGACGTGAAATGCCTCGACCTAGAAGACCTGGTGCACCAGAACCAAAGCGTCGAAGTCGTAAAGGATGTTGGTATGTTGTCAAGATTCCACCCAAGCTTTGCCAAGGCTAACAATCGCACTAGGCCGTGCAAAGCACGCAAGGTAAAATGGTAAGAAGCACATTCCCTGCATGATACTCGTATAGCTAACAACTATTTCTGCAGTGGCGAGGAGAAACCAGCATGTCTTAATTGCCAGCGACAAGGTGACCCGTGCGACTATAGTGTTCGCCTGAACTGGGGAGGAAGGACGAAACGCATATCAATTGACTCACCGAATTCACAATCCAGTGGGTATGGAGGAGCTGTAGTTGGATTTTCGGACTCATTCGCTGTCAACAATATGAGTCCGATTTCGTTCTCAACTCCAACAAGCAACCCTGCAGATGGATTTCTCAACTCTCTTCCAGGGGATTTGACTTCGCCGCCAGCAGTATCTCCAAGCACACCAGCACAAGTGGGCCTGTTCGATTCCCCCAGTCTCGGTTCAGGCTCTGAAGGGGTGACCTCGCCTGGCCAATTAGAGTCTCAGTTCTCTACACCTTGGGCGGAACAATCCCCTCCTTTGACAACATCAGCATCCTCGGCGCCCTTATTACAATATCAATTTGGACAGAGCTTTGATACCTCATATCTGGGTTCAATGGATCAGATATCTGGTCTCAGATCACTATCTGCCTTTGCATTCCATACAAATCCTGTGTCGCAGCCAATCTCATACCTGCGCCACTCTGGAGATGCTTCCTGTCGCGGCTCGGACTCATCCATATTCCACTCTCGTGATGACGGACATCTTTCTCGGGAGTCATATGATGACCAGGGCATTCATCTTGGTGCTGGGTCTGGGACTGAACAAAACGGATCCTCACACAGCCCGCAGGATACTAGCGGCCTGTCCTCCATGCTTTTCGATTCACACCGAGTGTCGATTACTGAAAGTGATGCAAACTCGTCTCCGAGGCTTCGTGAGACAGCCAGCAACATCGGTTCTGTACATGACTATCACAATGAATTGAAATCAGATCGTCACGCTTTGGGAGAGAGCAATCACGAAGCTGATCAAACGTCGCACGAGTCTTCAATGGCCCAGAGCAAATGGCAAACGTATCTGAATAACGTGACCGACAATTATGGATTGGACTCTGGGCGTCCTGATGAGGATTTGACTTTCAATAATGACCATGCTGCCATAGACATCAACTCAGCGTTGGATTTGATCAGTTCTCGGTGGCGCAACGAGGAACCTGCACAGTCGAAAGCCTCCCAATCTGACCCCAAACTACAGGTTCAGTTCTGCAGTGGTTACTATGCTTCCCCAGTGCCCATCAATGTTCCGAGATACTTGTCTCCGCTTCCGTCATCACTCCTGGAGAACCCCATCAATTTGATGTACTTCCATCATTTTCTGAATCACACTGCTCGAATGCTTGTTCCCCACAACTGCGATAATAACCCATTTATCTCAGTTTTGCCATCAAGTGAGTTATATACTTCTACGTTATGTCATCTCTCAGAAAGCTGACCAAACAGTGGCAATCGGTGATTCCAATCTCCTTAATTTGCTGCTTGCGTACTCCGCTAGTCATCGCGCTCGATATCTAGGTCACCCCGAGCCCGCTAATCGAATTGCTCATTGGGTTAGCGATGTTTTCCCAACCTTGCGTATGGCATTGGAGTCCCCAAATGAAGACATTACTGACGGTCACTTGGCTACGGCTATTATGCTGTTGTCATTAAAAATTGTTTCTCCGGGAACATTTGAAGTGCCGATCACCTGGAAGACCCACCTCAAGCTTGCTCGCGATCTATTCCTTGCACGGAGCGAAAGCATGGCGCAGCCGGGGAACAGAGTTGGGGCGCTCTTCGCTCGCTGGCTGGGCTATCTCGACACTATGGGATCTTTGTCATGCCGCGAAGCCGGTCCTCCACTAACGATATACCACTCCATCTTAACAGCTTGCTCCGCGCCTGACGGCCATGATGAGCTGGGTGTTGACTGCTTCACGGGGTTTACTCCCCGCACTGGAGTGTTTCTGATCCGTCTCGCACAGCTGGTGCAGGAATGTGACAATCAACGCTTCGACGAAATGGGTAACTTCCGGCATGACTGGCATGCATCTGCGGAAATGGTTCTGGAAGGACAATCCTTACTTGATGGTATCGACGATGGGATCACCGAGGGTCCTCATACTATTCCAGAACACCATCAGGGTCTCGAGTCCTCGGACATGATAGCCATTGAAGAAGCCTTCCGGTTCGCCGGTATCCTGCATCTCCATCGGCGTGTTCTTGGGTCTCCGCCTGACTCATCTCCCGTGAAAAATGCTTTGGGCAAACTCATCGACGCCCTTGGGCGCATGCGGCCTGGTGCAGCCACTGAAGTCTGCTCCTTGTTTCCGCTCTTCACGGCTGGTTGTGAATCCAGAGATGCAGTTCAAAAAGAAAAGATCTTAGACCGGTTCTTTGTGTTAGAAAGCTCAGGCATGAAACAGGTACGCGTCTATATTTGTCTGGGATTTGGTTGAAGAATTTTTCTGACAGTATATTCGCTAGATTCAAAATGCACGCCAATTGATGCAACACTGCTGGGATGAAAACCTGCCTTGGATTGCCCTGGCTAGCGGTCAGTTCTTAGGTTAGCGTTAGCGCTTTCTCGACTTGAAACCCCAAACCAGGCGGTCCTGCCAGCCTTTATTTACAGACCCTAGGTACTCACGACGTCTAGCAATGGGCTGAGTCAGGATGGAGCAGTATGTAGTATTGAAAGGCGAGATGTCGCCCGATACTCTTAAAGGTTGGCCCTTTGGTGTGTCAGGTTCGTCCATCTCCATTGTTCATATCCTCTCTCATTCACATTTCCATCTTCCACTTTCCATTACCCATACCTCACACCTCTGCTTGTCGGCAAACTAAATCATGGCTATACAACTAGCATTTGCATTTGCATTACCAGACTAAATTAGAAGTTGGGCGGATCGATTTGTTTTAGCTTATATATATCTGTGTAGCTAATTCCACTATCCCGAGATATCAAACTCATATCAAATGGACCATAGCCTTGTAATTCATGCCAACATCGCAATCTACGACTCCTCAGCGGGGTTGTCGATCCCCCAGCTTCTGCACGCCAAGCCAGTCCAGCCGAGGCCGCGGCTTGGATTGTAGGATGTTTATGGTCAGGGACATAACCGAGACATGATATAAGTTTGGAGTTAGGGACGTTCGTATTTACGACGTTTGTATTTACCTGAACAAAATCTGTCTTCTTCTCACCATCATGGTCTTTGGTCCTGGTCCCATCGAGCTTCCATCTTCTTATGAGAAGGTTGAAACAACCGGCCATGTCGTTGTCTCTCATCACCCCCGGGGCGCCCCGGCAGTCACCCCAGTTGTCATTGTAACCCTGAACCGTCCTACTAAGCGCAATGCATTCACGGGGGAAATGCTTTTGGACTTCGAGAAGCTCTTCCCCATGTTCGATGTCGACGAGCGGGTGAAAGTAATCGTTTTAACTGGCGCAGGACAGACGTTCTGCGCGGGTGCAGACCTTGATATTGGTTTCGGCGGTGGTCGAGTCAAGATGATGGACCATCGTGATAGGTAAACTGACATTCAACTAATAGCTCGCTGTATACTCTCGCTAAGAGACCCAAACTAGTGGCGGCGGGGTTTCACTGGCCATCCATCGATGCCGCAAGCCAACAATTGTAGCAATGCAAGGCTCAGCCGTTGGGGTCGGGATGACCATGACTCTTCCAGCGATTATCCGGTATGTCAACCACATCCAGAAAGCCATACATCTGCTAGAGCCCTGCTGACATGCACTTTTCTTTTCACCTCCCAGGATTGGCTACGAAAAAGGCAAATACGGATTTGTCTTCGGCCGCCGAGGCGTGGTCCTGGAATCATGCGCCTCATACTTCCTTCCTCGTCTCATCGGCCACTCAAACGCCAGCTACCTCGTCAGCACTGGGGGAGTGTTCCCGCCTACATCTAAGCATTTCGGCGACCTGTTCAATGAGATCCTCCCCGATGCATCGCAGGTCCTACCGCGCGCTCTCGAGCTAGCCACTGAGATTGCGGAGAACGTCAGCCCGGCTTCGTCCTACCTCAATAGGGCACTCATGTGGCGCGATACTGGTTCGGCGGAGGCTGCTCATCTCATCGAGTCACAAGTCATCAACCATATGTTTGGAACGGAGTAGGTGAAATCCTTGTAAAGAAGATGATTGCAGACACTTACTATAGGACAGGGATCAGAGGGAGGGTGTCAAGGCGTTCTTTGAAAAGCGAAAGCCGAACTTCAAGGCTGACCTTGATGATAATCCACCGCCAAATATGCCGTGGTGGACAGAGGTTGATACTCGTCGAAGGCCTAAAGCAAAAATGCCTGCGAAGCTGTAAATCTAAAGCCTGACATTGGTAGTTGTAATAGCGAGGCTAGTGGCTTTTGAAAGAGTGGAGAATATGGGATGTTGACGATTGAAGATAGCACTTTCGGATTTCGTTGAGTACACGCAAGAACGATCGAAGGTTGAAAGTCTTGATATATGTCGCGAAAGATAGCTATACATCATTTGCGTTATCGAGGGTCATTCCCAATAAATTGCAATGCCACAGCTACCAAGACCGCTAATGATATTGTAACAAAATAAACACCGGCCCGGACAAAAAAAAAGCACCAGAATTGGTTCTGAACAGAAGCTCCGAGAGATTCAACCATATTGACACAAACAAAAGAGAAATGCACCAATGTCACAAGATAGAAAAGAGAGGGAGGGAGGAAGGGAGAAACTAAGCAATGAAGTTGCGACGCTTGCGGTTGTAAGCCCTCTGGTCCTTAAGCCAGTTTCGATAGCCCGCCACGCTGCCAATCTTCTCGCCATAGTAGTCGGGAACGGGGTTAGAGATCGAGTTGGTTGAGGGATCGACGCGGAACCGGCGAATGCGATCAAAGAACTCCTTCTCTTTCTACATCGGAAATAAAATACGTTAGCACAAACCAGACATAAATCGCCACTCGCTTGTTTTACAATTACTCACCGTGTTGACAGAGGGCTTGTATTTTCTGTAAACAAGTCCCCAAATACCATTTCCGAGAGCCGGTCCAAGAAGCCATCCCACAGCACCGCACGCAGCGGTCGCCAATCCCAGGACAATAAACGGATCGAGGCCCATAACCGTCGCGCCGAGATGTTCAAGGTCCTGGCCGGATAGGACCTGCACACCGACGCTGGTGCTTATGACAGAGCTGACGACTGAGGAGACGAGCGAATACCGGCGGCGGGAAGCGCGGAGCTTGAAGAAGGAGTTCCAATCGAGCTTGACTTGGTTGTTGGTAGGTGCTGAGGTCGAGTTTGCTCGCAGAGCGACAGGTGATGGCGACGCCGCCTTGGCGTGTGGCCGGGAGTCTAGGCTGAGTGTTGTGGCAGCCGGGCGAGCTGCCGTGGAGCTCAGGCGTGTGAGTTGCTTGGATGCCATACGGGGAGTGGTCTGCTGGAGGGGACGGAGGGCGCCGGCGAGCGAGGGCGCGGCGGGGTTTAGTCGGCCAAGAAACATGGCTGTGCGGATGGACATGCTGATGGGATTGGCGTTCATTTTGGTGAGGATTTGGAAATGACTTAATTGCAGACTCCAAATCTTGCAGAGGTGAAGTGAGAACCGGAGCCCTGGAGGTGGAGCCGGATTATGTAAGTGGGTGGGCCCGCCCGGCGCGACTTTCAAGGTTGGAAGGGCGACAACCGACATCATCACGATCTAATACAGGTGCACCTCGGAGTACTTGAATTAGGCTAAGACCCTGGTGATCCAAGAGTACTACATGAGTAATGGAGGATGAAGTGAAAGAGTCGGTTCTTCCAAACCCAATGAGACACAAGTTGAGGTCCTGGTATCTCAAATAAGTATGCTTGAGGTCAAACATCTAGTATTCGGCAGAGATTAGGCACATGGCCGTGACTGTGCTGATGACAGCAAGGGTTTTGCAAATCATGACAGAGGAAAGAGCATGTCCAATACAAGTGTGTAGTAGATAGGCAGGTCCGAAATTTGAGGAAGCCAAATCACGCGAGAGCTAGATTATTTAGCCGCTATACACATTCCTCAAGGATATGTTAGACTCTCTATAGGTATCATAGGCGGTACGGTCCGTGGATATGGGAAGGCTCTTCTATTTTTTCCTACATATCGGCGCACGATGGACCCTGCATCAGAACGTGATCATATCTTTTTAGTTGACTTTCGCGAAAAGTCTGGCTTGACCAGTGTTGGAGGTCGTAGGACAGGTAAGGAATTGGTTTTCTTCGCGCTAAACGGCAAATTGTACGTCAACGTGAGGTGCGAGCTATGTGAGGTATGTGAGGTGAGAGTTCCTGCTCTAATGGGAAAGCAAAAAGTGACACATCGTATCAGAGTGGCCAGGTATAACAGAAATTCTACTGGGGTTTCCGGCAGAGGTGTCGGATAGGGGAGCTCCTCGATCAAGAAGTCCATTATCTCAGATTCCACGCTAGTTGACATTGGAATCACTGATGGAATGGCAGGTGCTTATATGGTATTTTTTTGCAACCGATGCGTCGACCACCTTCGTTGGCAGTGGCAGGAGAAGCTGTCAGTCCAGCCACAGGCCCAGTCTTGAAACGAAAGGATAAGATAGTTTAGTGACAAGAGCAGGAAAGGTATGGAATACTTACAGAGCAGGGGCGAAAGGATGGTGGGGATGAGACGGGGAGAAAATATATACAACGGAAGAACAGCATAAACTTGCATGTTAAACGGTAAATATTCGAGAGTATCGCACGATATCCCCTTCTAGAAGATACATAGTTTATCCTCTCGTATTTTTAGACGTAAGCACCTGGAGCTTACCTAGGTAATATTAAAATTGATAGGACCACTTTCGGTCATTTAGGGTTTCCTTTGAAGTTCTAACGTTAATTTAAGAACCGGGGCAACCTAGGCCTTTATCCTAGCAGTGATGCATGAAGTCTTTCTACCACAGTCGTTAGTAGAATGGCAAGAAAACTAGTAGTGGCGAGGCTGTGGCAAGGGGAATAAGGATCTCGAGGGGTTTAATACATATTCCCATAGTTTCGGTTAAGGTTCTCCCCGGATCGGCCTGGGAGGTTTAGGGGCGCAAAAGATCCCTCATTGGCTTATCGCGTAAGTATAGATCTCTTATAGTAGATGAGGATATAGAATATAGAATATAGAAATCCAGAAATTAGAGAAATAAGAAAATCTAGGTACTCTATACAATCCATGGGTGTATAGTTAGTGTAACATAAAAGAGCCAAGAAAAAAAGTCTGTCGTCATTTGGCAAATTTCTCCCAGATCCCTTTCCCCCGACTTCCGCACCACAACTTACTAGTTGCTTTCTATACAGTCTACAACATGTCAAGAAATATCTCCTATGGCCGTGGAGGGGCAGGTGAGCCCGTTCCCCATCTCCCACCACGCCCCAGCCCACTAATCCACTATACCGTAGGTAACATTACCCGGCAACAAAGCGCGCCCTCACCCAAGGACTTCATTACACCAACAATCAAGCAAGAGGTCTATACAACAGGTCGCGGTGGCTCAGGAAACATGGTACACAATGATCCAGAGCGACCAGAGATTGCACGCGAGAGTCAAGACGTCGAGTCACCGCCCCTGCGCGCCCAACAGTTCCCCCACCACACAGGCCGAGGTATGTTCTGGACATAATATATGGAGCGCATGCGATATTGGACTTGTGCAATGTTGTTAAAGCTACAGCTGAGTTAACGTGTTCATTTTACAGGCGGTGCCGCAAACGCCTACATCCCCACCCCTGAAGAGGAAGAGCGCGAGAAGAAGATTCAGGAGCAGGAGGTGGAGCTCATTCGCGTGCGCACACAATCTAAGGATCGTGTGAGGGAGCTTGAACAGGAGAGGCAGGAGCTGCGGAAGGATTCACCTTCTGCTGCTTGAGCCGATTAATGATTGATAGGGGGTGGGGGGAGTTTGCGATTGATTCGTTCTGATAGGGCCACTGAAGGCTTATTTTTGATCTGGGATTGGCTGCAAGGAATATTTGCTTTATTTCAGCTGCAGTGCCGATCCGGGGAGAGGTGATTGTCCGAGCAGAAACTAACCAGAAATCACTGCGGGCAGTGCTCCTTCGATAAGGGAGTCTGGTCCTTATTTTTTTCCCCCATCGAGGTATCGGTCAGACTTAAGGGTTTGTGGTATTTCCTTTGGTTTTTTCTTTGTACATTTTCTCCAAATGGCATTCCTGGCTTCACATACTCGGGAATTGCTTCATACCTATCTTGGAATACCGGAAAAGGAACGGCGCTTGGGTTAAATCTGGGTGGGCTTGTGTTTTTGTTTAATTTTTTTGTATTGGACAAACGTTTCCATCTATACGGCAATCATCTGTGTTTCCTGGGATCCTTTCCCAAAAAGTGAGAAATGGTGTATTCTCATGGCATTCCATGTTTAATTGCAGAAAATTGAAACTATGCTATGTACAATCAAATGTCTATGCTAATTATATACTTCATGTCTCATTAGATGCATCGCTCACGCCCCAATCAAAAGATGCAGATTCGCTATCAAAAGCCAAGCGAGGGTATCACACTTGCGCCTCAGTCCTCGGAAGGAAACACCCCGTTGCATCAATCGGCCAGCCAATAAGCTCTCGCCACTCAAATTCAAGAAGATCCCCAATCTCCTGCAGGATCCTATTCCCCCAATCACCCATCCACCATGAGCCCCTAAGATGATGCAGAATAACCGTATAATGCGCCAGAACAACGAGCGCAAATGGCCGGCGTGCCTGAAGCAACTCCAAAAACTCCGCCGGAATATGGAGACTCCAACAGAATGCAAATACCTTCGGCTCGCCGCCCTTCATCAGCTGGTCGAGCGCTTGGCTGAGATGTTCAATGGCCTTGTCATACACATCCGTCTCGTGCGTTGCATCCCGCACAGCCTCCATGTTGTTCTGTCGCTGTAGCGACAGACACACCAACCTCGACATATTCGGCATCGTTGGGAGCGAGTCTTTGAACTGGAAAAGCGGGTTAAGCTCATCCCCTGTGATACGTTCCCTCGAGGCCGCCATAATGCTAACTAGCCACCGGGTGAGCTGGAACACCTCGAAGAACTCGTCCAGCACATCGGGCTGCTCTTCATCTGAGTCATTTTCGCTGTCGATTTGGCAAAAACCGAAGGTGAATACGATCATTATGCAACACAGCGCGAAGGTCGCTTGGTTCTCTGCTTCCGGTGCCTCTTCGTCACTCTCGATGCGGAGGCCCGATAGCGCTTGTGCCTGGTACAAGCGTGCCGTGTCAAGATATCGCCAGCGCCGGGAAGATGCGCTTGTTGAAGCGAGATGAAGCGCAGAGAGGGCTAGGATGCCTTGGCGAAGGGCTGGATAGCGGAGGGATAGCTGCGGTATGGTTGTTTGCCAGATTTGTTCGGATTCGGGGTCCCCCGTCATGGATTTGTACGTTGTTGTGCACCAGTGCATCATCAATTCGAGGTCTTTTAGGTGAAGGGTTTCTTCGATATGGGTTGAGAGGCATTTTGGTTGGTGCTCGTGTTGGGTTTGGGGATTTGACTGCGAGGGGGAAGACTCTGTCATGGTAGTAGGAGATGATGGCGAAGTGCCTGTAGAGGAGATGAAAGACCCATGCTTGCTGTCTAGCCGGGTCAGTCGGGGCCGTGGCGGATACTGGCTGAGCATGCTGCGATCCAGGCAATGCACACAGGTCGAGCCCTGCTCCTTATACTGTGGGATTTGCGTCAGCGTTGACATTTGCGAGAGGCAGTAGTACTCAAAAGAGAGAGAAAACGGATATGAGCAATGGAGACTGGACCCTCCAGTCTCACTATCAATTGAGTCGGGGTGGAAGCCCTAAGCAGGGGGTGTCATACTCTAACTCGCCGGTCACTTTGCATACTCATCTGGCGTCGCTTATTTGACCAGGGGGATGCTGATTCACATGATTGCATTGTAGAGGTGTAAGGCTCCAGACCTTGTTTATCGGGGGTTGCAGTTGATTTTGAATCATAACCCAACGCTGACAAGCATCCAGATATCAGCCGGAGAAACCGAGATTTCTTGATATCATAAAAGAAGGCACTTCAGTAGGCCCAAGCGGTGGGGGTTTAATATTTTGATATGTCCATTTTGCCATTTTCAGTGCCCATCTGGGCATTCAAAACACCAAATGAGGTAAGAGTGGCGCTGTGTCCCAAATCGGTAAATGCAGGATGGCTCGTGCTTCAAATGACATAATCTAGCCGATAACCCGCTCCGTTGCCAATTTGTGCCTCTTCATATCCAATGCCTTCCTAACTTCCGGTGTCGTATTCCAACCGGTATTACATGGATTCCATCTCTTCCCAAGCAAAACGACAACCCAGATCTATTGAAATATAACCATTAGAACCACCCCGATGCTAGATTCTCGGAATAGTCTCCTGGACATACATATAAGGCAAGCTAGAACCCCACTAGCATTCCAACAGAAAAGAAAATAAACAGACGGCCCCACCCGGGTTCACGCTAAATCCTGTTCAGGACTAGCATTATGGGGCCGGTCAAGTCTATCCCAAATAAGTTTCACTTAACAAGCGATGCTTTTTCCCGATCGGGGCAGACGCTGTTCAGACCCATGCATGGACCCGTGATCTTTCCATGCCCTAAACTCCTTTTCGATTAGCATCTCGTGTTCGCTCTCCTAAGCCTATCTTGTTGGTATTTACACAAGCTACCATTGGTTATCGCGTCTCACTTCCAGTACCCATAAGCTCGGACAATTTCCCCCACAACTCGGCATCGTGCCTATAGGGCTTTGGGAGACTTCGGATTCGGCATTGAACGGTCTAGATTATATAAGTCGGTCGATTTTTCTTCCCTTTTACTTGTTATAGTCAATGGAGGGTGTGTTTGGGCGGCTCAGATCCCTCCGAGACATAATCATGAACTCGCCTCCTCTCATCCCCCCTTGAGGTGATAATCACGATACTTCCCTAATTCTCGGTGTACCAGGGCACCGGAGTCTCGGCTCGCACGCAATCTATTTCAGGGCCCTGTTGGACTGACTCGCCATCCGCTCAGCCGCTGTGTATTTTCTTTGTTTGGGTCCTGTTGCTAATCCTTGCGATTTTGACCAGGGTGTTCTGCTTTAGCGTCACTTCCAAGGTTGGTAAATGGAGTGCTTGGTAATCACGCCCCATGGATTCAAAGATGCAGGCAACGCGTGATTTCCTCGGGGATCTATATCGACTTTTAGGGCTGCCCAACTTCCGCATACCGACTTTTGCGAGTGTGGAGTGGATCTACGGACCTCGGGAGTACTTGGGCAGGATTAGTACGAGAGTTCTTGCGCCTCAATACCGATAGATTGTGTAGCCTTCAACAGCCCTCTATTCATGTAATGCCTGCACTTCGCGAGGCGGATACCTTCACTTCATCGATAACCATTATCATTGCTCGGTGGTGTCGATGCTAGGATGCTAAATAGCGTTTTCTCCTCGATATTCTAGATCTGACCGAAGAGACCACGGATGTGATGCCACGTCGAAGGTCATCCCGTGTCAACAATTTTGGGGGAACTGAGCGCAGTCAGCACCGTGGGGAAGCGAAACCAAGCGGTAAAATTATTGAGATAGCGCCTCTCCCTGCGTTTGGTAGGTGGAAGATACCGCCAGCCAACATATTTACTGATCGACAACAAGGTAAAGCTTCTGGTAAAGTAGACATCAAGCTCCATCGCATTATTAGCAACGTCAATCTAGGCCTAAGAGACCAAGGATGTGAGGTGATGGCTGTGTGCGTGGCGGCAATGATAGCTGCATCAGATCATATGTGCTCTGTAGCAAGGGTCCATTTCTAGGTAGTGGGGTCGGCGACTTTGACGGACAGAGCTCCATTCCAGAAGTTGATTGTCTGATCGCCTACGGAATAAGGTAGCTGCGATGTGTGGGACTGCAACGGAGTTCGGAATGACGTCAAAGCCGAACTTCGCCGACCCCTGTGCAGGTGGTGATATGCACTCCCGGGTGGACCTCCGGAGTCTGTAAATCCGATTATTACCACTTGATTATTACCACTTGGTTCCCTGCTAAAATGATATGGATGGCCCTCTGCTTGCCTTTGCGTTGATAGCTGAGCGCAGGCCTCGTACCCCGGTTCGGGGGTTTTAGAGGAGACCGGTGTTGGTGATACTAACGACCCAACTTGATGTATTTGGTGTTGCAGGACAGGACGCAATCCACGGCGCTCGGTGCATCCTGCCGCACAAGTTTGTAATGAGTGCGATTGTTGGTCTCCACTCCGACATTGGGCGAAGGCCTGCGATAGTGACATTTGTGGCGGTCTAGTCAGCAGATACATTTCAGGCATCCTTGGAATACCTCAATGCACGAATGGCGTTTTCGACGGTGCGTATACCCGCGTCATATTAAATCGTGTGTATACGCCGGGCCTCCACCGCTGAGAATGGCAGGTTACCAGGGCATGTTTCTAGTATACTGCACACCATCAAGATTGATATTGCTGTTGTACTACCTTAAACCTTGAATCTCGACGTACGAGGCTTTACCATGTGGCTGATATCTTCTCAGAGTGAGCAACATCGATGCGAGGGATCTTCTGAAAATATTGCATTCCACCAATACAGTCCAGCCCGTTGTCGAGGCCATGGTTCCATGCTGTTTGTCAGAGTAAGCACCCGAGAAAACACATGACGCAGTACAGCCCCATCAGGTTGTGCCATAATAGTTGTTGTCGGTATACGACTGGCCGTGTAACACAACTTGGTTGACTTTCTCGCGATAGCACGATCGACCGAAAAAGGTACCTCAGGAGGAAGTCTTATGACTTGGTTCCAGCACCACGGGGCAACTCAGGTTAAAACTGATGCCGACGATACAATATTCCAGTCCAGATTGTACATAAAAGCCCAGACCCTGCTCCCAATACAGTATATATAGCAATACAAAGTTCTTACAAAAGTCAAGTATTAGCCCCTGCCAAAGCCATTGAGGCAAATTGACTACCCAGCGTATGTCTATTACAGAAAAGTAAGACTGCTCGGCAAAATTTGCCTTACTCGGTTCAACTTCAATCCGATCGGAAATGGTGCCGAGTTGATCGCCTTAGCGACAGGCACATGTAAATCACTGGTAGAATTTCATGCCCAGCGCCATGAGCCGTAGCCGCCACAGAGGACTGCTAAATCATTTAGCCCCATGTAATATCACTATGAAGCGGCACGCCTGCTTCTTTGCGAATTGTCAGGTAGAACATAGCCCGTGGCGTTGTTGACCTCTTCTAGGGATATGCTGAGGTTGAAGAGGAGGTCCAGGTAGTCGCGACGAAGAAACCAGGCGGCAATGCTGTATTGAAGGAGCAAGCTGGCCCCCTCCGCATCGATGCCAGAATTTAAGACTCATTATATGCCCGACGTCCTAGCCTGCTCTGTATTTGGGTGAGTAGGCTGTAGCAAGGTTGGTGTTGGTGTTGCCTGTTGCCAGCTGGTAGGCGTCGACTAGGTGACTGTGCTGCCTCTCTCTTCTTAAAGCGCTTCTTTGCCGAGCGAGGGATGGTCTGGGGCGTTAGGGTAGCTTGCGCCGATATCGTGCACAACGTACTTCAGGGTCTGTGTGTCGCTGTCAAGGAATGAAAGACCGCATCCACCGTGTGAGTGTGATGGGGCCAGATTGTGGCCTGTCTGAGCTGCAATCAGGAAATTGATTGACTTTTAGTACCCATAATCGACTGCCCAGGTTACTGCGACTTAGCGACGAAGTCCTGACGCACTGAGGCTGGCCGGCTGCCGTGGAGAGGGAGGAGCCTACAATCAGGGATGGCCGGACGCCATAACGCGTATCCATTTCAATTTTCCACGAATATCTAGGCAGCGGGGCCTTTAATTTGGAAAACTCTTGCACACCTCATAAAAACTCCAATTTCTTACCATAGCTATGGTCGATGTTGGTGAGGAGATGTGTACACCTGAACTGAGCTCGAGCCGCAGTCAATGGTGTAGGAGAATGGTGTCGACACAAGTAATTTTGGGGTGAGACCGGAGCATAAAACACGGGTCAATCTCCACAACTCTGCTACAGTGATGAAGTGGGGGTGTAGGAAGGGTATAGGACCGTGCCGGGCTTGATTGACCTCGGGGGAACGTGCACGTACAGATGACATATTGTTCGCGACACCGCACTGCCACTTGGTATCACGGCTCAGGGAATTATTGATCGCCTCACTGAAAGATAAGGGTATCATCAATGTCGCAGGTGCTCAATTATGTCTGAAACCAGTGCATCCTCAATTTCAATTGAAATAGGCATTGACATGTCCAAAATTATGGCATCTCATTCCGGGGAAGTCCTGGGCTGTATGGAGTACTCGCTGGCATACTCCAGGCTTCGGAATTACTGAGTGCTACCTTTACATTAACAACCCCCTTGATACGGGGTAGAGATGTTCAAGTCGTTCCCTTTCGCTGTTTTCCAGCCTCCGGTAGTCCAGGAATGCTCCTTGAATTTGGTATTTCATATGTTTTAGGCAAGGGCCTGTTAGTTTCAATGTCTGGACGGATCACAGAGTCTGCAACAGTACAGATGATATTTTAAGAGTGTCCAGGGGGTCACCACACGATCGGGACATGCCATCCTCGTGGGAGCCTGTAAGGGGTGTACATTTTATGAGTACGGAGTACTTCTGGAGATATGGAGTATTGCAAATAATTTGATACCAGAGGTCAAAATGTGTAGTATAGATTAAATCGATCACGGCCCCGAGAATTGCCCGATTCTCACAAATTATATGGAGATTGAAAATTTCATCGAATCAAATGAAAACCGTTTGCGGGTTCTATGAACCCCGAATGCGGACTCGAAGAGCCTCTTTGGATGGTCTAATTCGTTAAGACCCGACGGTTTGGGTCCAGGTCCCTGCAGAGAGTGACACTTGTAATATCTTCATCTTTCTTTCTTTCTTTTTTCCTTTCCTAGAACGTCTATCTGATTTCCTTTTTTTTTTTTCTCTCCGGGTATGTTATCCCCTAGTGATCCGTGGCACCCAGCAAATCTCCCGCACTTTGACAGCGTCATCGTGCGGTTGACCCTAAAAAAAAAAAAAAATTACTATTGGATGCAAGGAAGGTGATGCTAACATAATTCAAAGAACATCCCTCAAGTGAATACTATCGCCACTCCCCGTACCCGAACTCATTCTGCGGTTCGCGAACAAAACTCTCCGACCCTTTCGCTTCGTGCCTCGTTCAACCAGAGACTTCGCGCCTTGGACTGATCTTGGATAATTTTGAGGGAACTACTCGTTCGTCGTGACACTGTACTCTGTTCCCAGCCCAGAGTCGATGCCCCAAGTGTGACGTCTGAATATCCCGCGGGGTCGCATGTCGCATAACCCCCCTCTCTCCTCGAACAACCAGGTAGTCAAGATCTGTCAATAGATCTATAAAAATCAGGACCCGTCATTTCATCTATCCCAAAAGGCATCCTCGGTTCCTTCCAACCCGGTACCATGTACGCTGTCGAGGATAGACATCATCCCGTCCCACCTCCGCTCTCAATGGATCGCATCTCTGCTCCGTCCGTCCAGTACCCGTCGGGGCCCAACTCGCTACGGCAATCCGACCATTTGGCACCAGTGACGAACTACCAAGACGGTCGCTCATGGTCATTACAAGTGGTACAGCAGCCGATCCGGGCTCGTATGTGTGGATTTGGTGACAAGGTGGGTGATTTTTCCGCATTGCTGTGTTTCCCACCTAACACACATCCCAGGACCGAAGACCTATCACTCCTCCACCATGTATTCGTCTAATTGTGCGCGACGCGCAAACCGATAAGGAAATCGATATCAAGTATGTCTAATCCGCTGTTCTCCATCCGCCGACTTCCTAACCCTTCGTTAGTGAGATCGATACATCATTCTACGTGCTCACTGTCGATCTGTGGAATGCCGACGGTACCAACGAAGTCAATCTCGTCAAGCATTCCGCCACCTCACCCTCCATCTCTACCGCCATGTCCTCCTCATATCCTCCTCCGCCCCAGAGCGTATCTCCAACCTACCCCGGTTACAACCAGAACCAGTACCCCGTGGGCTACCCCTCACAGATGAACAACTACTACGGTGGTCAGCAGGTGGCCTACCAAAATCAATACGGTCAGCCAGTGACGTACCCACAATACTACGCCGGTGGTCAAATGCCACCGTCTATGTCGCCCGCTACGCAACCCGTCTCTGGTGGACCGGGGGCATGTTCACTCGCAATCTGATCGGAAGCCTTAGCGCCAGTGCTTTCCGGTTGACGGACCCAGACAACAAAATAGGGGTGTGGTTTATCCTGCAAGATTTGAGTGTACGGACAGAAGGTACTTTCCGGTAAGTCGAATCGGAGAATGGAACTCACTGAAATCAATCGCTAAAAGAAATCTAGCCTGAAAATGAGCTTCGTTGACGTGGGCACCTCGTCTACGGAAACCCCCAACGGCACCCCAGTCATCAATCACGGGACTGCACCCGTCCTGGCGTCGGTTTTCTCCGAACCCTTTCAGGTCTTCTCTGCTAAGAAGTTCCCTGGTGTTATTGAAAGCACCCAGCTTAGCAAATGCTTTGCGCTACAGGGTATCAAGATCCCCATTCGCAAGGACGGAGTAAAGGGACCTCGCCGAGGTGGAGATGGCGATGACGATGATGAAGGCGACTATTAAAAGAACGATTCTTTAATCTATAGTGCACTACGCGATACTCGGGTGGGGGCGCTGGGCTCAGCGTATTGTCTCATCTTCCCTTCTTTCCTCTCTCCCGCTTACTATGAATCAAGACATGGGGGAAACGGCGCGTGGCTTACGGTGTTCTGGGCAAGACCGGTGTTCTGGGCAAGACTCAGGCTTGCAGGTTTCAATATTGCTACTCGAAACGGTGCAGGGGGGTTTTCTGAATTTTTTTTTCCTGACTTTTCTATTGTTTTGTTGGCCTCTGGCTGTGTCTATTCATATCCTTTGCGGTCGATTGCCGCACGTACATATACTTTTCTTATCGGCGAGTTGAGGTTCGGTTTGAATTGCTGAGTGCCGAGACTGTTTGCTCGGCATAGAGAAAAGTCGTTCGATATCCAAATCCACTCTGGCTTTTCAGTTACATGTCCAAATATGGTATTCTAAGTGAGTCCCGTAGATTGTAGTTTTGTTCTGTCTCAGATGGGCTTGTACAAGGGCATGGTGAATTGTCCATGTACAACATACAATATAGTCGAGGTTCGATATATACTAGCCGGCCAGTGTAAACTACCATATCTCACATCTCAGGCCATCCATCCAACCAATTGCCTATGAAAGGTAGCACCCACATACTTCAGCTCAAGAATCAACTCACCTACCTATCTTCCAGCAAGTCATGGATCCCCAGAAGGACATTCGTAGAAGCATATGGCCCTCCAAGTATAGTACATGCTAGCTCACACCTAACGTGGTACGAATCCATATTCCATACATGCAAACCCACGAAACACAGCCTACAGACGTCACACCGTACCTGACAAAATGCCGACAACGCCGGGTTGTCCAACGACATCAACCTCAACGAACTATCCACGTCGGACAATGTATGACACCGTGGAACGGACTGACCTCACTCCTCTCCTGACCGACTCCAATCACCCAACTGGCTGTGCCCATCCTCACCCCATTTTGAAACAGGGCAACAGATGGGAACTTGCATGGGGAAGCTTCCACGCCATTATTCTGATGTAGTGTGCGATCCGCCACCAATCCACTGGGATATTCGAGATCCAAACAGATGAAGTCGTGGATATGCGCGTTGCTGCGTTCCTGCAGGAGATTTTTATTGCATCGCAGCAACCCCAGGACAATCGCAAGATTCAGACTCTGTCAGGGCTTTCGATATTACCAGATTAGCCGATATAGGCTGTGATGCAATGCAGGGTCCGGTGAGACATGGAATATTCCTGCATGTTCGCCGGTGCAGACAGAGCGTCAGTGGCGTTGGACGGTGTGCAATTGTCTCCTCGGAGACGAGGATTCAATGTACGTTTAGTAAGAGGCAGGTTCATTTATCGGTCCGTCGGGGTCGAGTGGGGTTTCCGGGGAAAGGGAGGCCATGTTTCCATGACGGTGATAGGGCGTGGGGGTTAGAAAAAAGGTTCCCGAGGGTCAAGTAGGAGTTTTAGTAACGAATAACATCAAATGTAGATGTTTGTCTTATGAGATAAAGTGGATATTTGCGGGTTAGACCGAATGTGACCGAGAGACGAGCTTGCATTAGAGTAGTGTGGTGATGTTCCAATTATAAACTGAGACAAGGGCAGAAGATCTTCACCCGAACCCCCCGATTCTTACAAGGTTGATGATATCCAATCCACTTCTACTCATCTTCAATCCACCATGTTATGTATGTATCAGCCACTTGGATTCGCGTAGAGCTTTCTCCCATTCTTGGCAGACGAACTGTTCTCCATGTCTCACATATCTCCGCTTAAGCGACGAAAAATAACATCCTCGGTAGCAACCCAACCTCCCATTGTTGCATAAACCGGGCAGAAGATGATTATATTCGGAAAATGAAGTATACAGTACTTTGACACTGTCTCAAACTCTCACAATCCATCATCCGCCATCCAATGAGACTCTCGCCACTTTAGTCTCCCTAGCGGTCAAATCCGACAGTCATGACGGAGATTCCCTCTGATTCAGTCGCCAGGAATGTGCAACTTCTATTTATATTGCTCTTCTGATCGGTCTATATAAAGAGGTCCAACAACCGCCCATTCTTGTTGCTATTCACATCAAGCATCTATTCCATTACACAAAACAACACCAGCCCTGCAAACCTCCAGCTTTCACCACAATGAAGTTCACAATCACCACCCTAGCCCTCCCCCTCCTGGCTGCCTCCGCGCCAACCAGCCAACCACCGGCCAACCCAAACCCAGCTTTCGGCGTGATGGCCATGCGCTCCGCATCGCCCATCCACTTCGCGCAGCTGAATGCCGCCGGTCAGAAGTTCTACCTTGGCGGAGAAACAGCCTCCTACTGCCCAGAGCAGGTCAAAAACTGCCCACCCGGAAACCAAACCGTCTTCGCTCCCGGCGGCGGCTCTCTGGTAAGTCAAAAGTTACACTATATCCCTCACATCTTACAAAACACAGCCATCGCTAACGATAAACAGGATGTCATGGTTCCAGGTGGTCAGCAGGTCTACATTGACCCCAACGGAGCCCTCAGCTTCACCCAGGCTCACTCGGCCAACATCCCCCAGGGCTCCTCGCGCGGCCCATTCCACTACGCTGCTGATGAGCCCTGGGCCCATTACTCCTTCTCTGGCTGGGGCGCCACTGGCTTCATGGCTTGCCCGACTGATGATAGTCGCTGGCAGGTGTTCGCAGCCATTCAGAATGCTACTGTGCCCCACGGCAATGTTGATGAGTGTCTTGGGTTCTCGGCTGTCGCTTTGACTTACGATGGGGAAATTCCTACTTGGCAGTATATCTAGATTAATGATGTGGCCGATGTTCTTTTCTAGCTCGTTTTGAATTCTTGTTTATGTTGCTTTCCTCGATATGCAATGTATCATAATCACGCTCCTTGTTTCTCTAGATACAGGTTCTTTGAATTTAATAAACTGACAATCTCTTTTTTATATCGGGTTGTAGCGTTGTAAGATAAGCATTTGAAATGTGGGATGTACGTACCTTGCTGCCTGCAGTAACGGGCCGAGAAGCTTCAGGAACACCCGTATGGTTTCAACCCTGTAAGTCTATGCTCAGATTATACATTGACCTCGGGAGTTCAAATCAATATGTCATCAGTGGCTGCAGGGATTGTGGAAGGAGGGTAGTACTTGTCTCACTTTTAGCTAGCTAAGATAGTACAAAGATATCATAGCAAAAGCATGTTGTATTCCGTGGGACCGCTCATGATGAAGCCCAAATGCTCAAGTATGACTTAATCAACGGGCTCGAACGAGACCAAGGGTTATGATACAGGTGCGATCCATGCATTCATTAGGCCTTGACAAATTGGGAGTTAAATCGTTGATATGTCTGTGCGTGGGCTCTAGGCGATGGGTGGTCCCCCGCCCACGCGGTCCAATGTGGGCTAGGTGAGGTGGGCAGAGACGAGAAGAAGAGAAGAGGAAGAGAGAAAGATGGACTTGGGCTGGGGGTTTTATACCCCGGGGCAACACGCACCTTCCCAGAATGGCCTCAAATGCACCTTCCCTAACTATAATGCGGTACTGTCATATCCATGAATGTTATTGCTCATTCCGAATCTAAATTACATAGGGTTCTTGTCGGAAGCACAGCGGTATTTAGTCTTGTTGGGGATATATAAATACCACAAAACCATTCAATCGATACGCCAAAAATCATATTCATGAGAGTGCAAGTAACATAAAGTTCGTCCACTTGTAACCTATGCCCCAGGCACTAGGCAGGACAGGATTCATCAAACAATCCACACACGGGAAACCATAATCTAACTTCCATGCATCTATATTGCAAGCTCTAGTCCAACCCAAAAAGACGTCCTAGAGTCCCTGCGATTCGCTTATATATCCAGGCCATGTACCATGGTATGCAGTAAGGCAGCCTTGTGGGTCTCTGCCATTGAGTAGATAAGTCTATAGACTTATGATGATGTGAACCGAACCCACGGAGGGTTCACTATGGGGGTTGGGGCACCCATGACTCCCCAGGTTTGAGGGTACACACATAGTGCTATTGCCAACGCGTGTTGGACATCGTGCTCGTCTTGGATGCATGCAACATCAGACGGCAAAGACCTATATCAGACTAGCTGTCTCTCAAAAGCAGGTTTGGGGCAGGTTGATGTCAAGTGCGACTAGATCTAGTTCCGCCAGATCTTAATCGCCTTGTCTTTGCCTCCACTAGCAATCTTTTGTCCATCGGGACTCCAGTCGACGGCAAACACCTCGTCCTTGTGTCCCGGGAGGTCCATCTTGAGCTTGCCGGTGCGCAAGTCCCAGATCTTGAGAGTAGTATCCTTGGACGAGGACACTAGCATGCGCGAATCTGCCGAGAAACAGCACTGGTAGACTGCACCCACGTGGCCGCGGAAGGTGGTAATGAACCTGGGACGATGTTAGCTATAAATCACAGCAGTCAGATATTGGGAAACACTCACTTTCCATCACGACCGTTCCACAGTTTGACGTGATTATCAAACCCGGCTGAGGCAATATAGGCCATGTCAGGCGAGAACGTGACATGGTTCACCTCCTTTTGATGGCCCAGCATCCGTGCGACAGGCTTGCTAGAAGTAGACGGCTCCCACAGATACATTGTGAAATCGTCACTGGCAGATACCAACCGCTCGACAATAGTGTTGTTCACTGTTGCCGCCTCCTCAAACTTCTTGCGCGCAGCGGCGACCTTCTCAGCCTCTGTCACAGGGACCTTGCCAGTATGGTCGTGGTAGGCGGTGCGAAGAGCAAAGTCTGTTGAAAGCGCGAGGTGGTTGACACGGTGAGCATGCGCCGCCAGAGTCTGGAGCAGGGTACCGTCTTTCGGATTCCATATCTTGATGGTCTTGTCGTGGGATGCAGTATAGATCTTGCCAGTACCACCCCATCGCACACAAGTAACCGAGGACTTGTGGCCGGTGAGCACATGGTCAGTCACTCTCGAGACGACATCCCATACGCGGACTGTTGAGTCCTTGGAGGCGGATGCCAGGCGCGGCCGCCCAGACTCCTGCACGTGGTATGGCTCCCAGGCCAGGTTCGTGATCCACTTTGCGTGGCCCTTGAGCCCTGCACCTAGCGCCGTGCCCTGCTTTGCATCCCAGAACCTCACGGTATTGTCCATGCTGCCGGTTGCGATCATGGCCCCATTCGGCGAGTATGCGACTGCCAGCACCCAGCTGGTGTGGCCCTTGAGCGTATGTTTCGGGGTTCCAGTGTCACAGTCCCAAACGCGAGCAGTTGCGTCTCCACTTCCGGATACCATAGTAGAAGATGAGACTGGGGAGAAGGATGTTGCTAGAATTGCTTCACCGTGGCCCGCGATGGAGGCCGCGCATCGTGAAACGGCTCTCACTCGGAAAACTGCCTGCGGTGTGTAGAAGAGGGACACCGTATCTTCGGTGGTCTTGATACCGGGCTGGAGTAGTGAGTGGTACACATCGCGGAGAATGTCAATTGTCTGTTCCTCTTTTTCGGAATGGTAGGCGAATCGGTATGGTACTCGTCCATCCTCCTCCTATACAAAAATCGCCGTCAATACAACATTCAATTGTCAATTAGTCACAATGAGCGAATCTTACATTTCCTTGTAATGTGTTTAGCAGAGTCTCAAGGTTCTTCACGTTGGCATCGGCGACTGGGACCGAGACCGCAGGCCCGGTGGGCTGCCCGGTTGCTTGGTCGAAGAATTGAACTCGAACACTCCCCAAGTCGGACGGAATACTCTCAATTTCCTGCTGCTCACGGGCCTTATCGGCCTGAACGAGCTTTTGGCGCTTGCTGGGGGGAGGATAGAGGGTCGCCATTGTTATTGATTTTGTGGTCGATGGGGGAAAAGAGAAATTTTGACAAGCAAAATTATCTCGATGCTTATCTATCTTATCGGCCCTATCGATTTATCCATCTACACCATCTCGACCATGAGAGTTGGGTCTCGCAATGTCGGTTTATTCATTGTATTCATTGGATTCACTGGATTCTTTTTCGCCATCAGCTTCCAGAGGCACAAGTAAGCACCCAACAGCGAGGCCGACCACAACTGCCACCAGTGTCGCAGCACAAGACATTATCTGCGCTGTCAGTGAATCGCGGGGCGTCTCATCCACCGTTGGCCTCGCATTTGTCAATCTTGCGACCGCTGAAGCAGTGCTTTGTCAGATATGTGACAGCCAGACTTACGTCAAGACAATCATCAAGATTGGTGTTTTTGAACCTAGCGAGATTTTGTTCATGAACACTGCCAAAGAGTCGAAGCTCCGCTACATCATCCAAGAGAATTTGCCAGATCCTATCTTCACTTTTCTGGATCGCAGATGGTGGTCTGAAAAGACAGGTCATGACTATGTAGACCGGCTGGCTTTCCCGGAGGAAGTTGACTCGCTCAAGGTGACTCTAGGCGGGAACTATTTCGCAGCATGTTGCTTTGCCGCAGTATGAACACAATTACTGTCGCCAAAAGAAAATACTCACATAAGAATTAGGTCCTCAAATATGTTGAGGTAGAACTCCAGCGATCTTTTACCACCCATTCTCTTCGGATACGCTTCGAACCGTCCCAAGGGTCCATGACAATTGACTTGTCAACTATTGTTTCCCTTGAACTCATCCAAAACCTGCAAAATGCGAAATCTAAAGAAAGTCTGTTTGGGCTACTGAATGAGACTTTGACGCCTATGGGAGCCAGACTCCTCCGCGCTAGCATCTTACAGCCTTCAACAGAACGAGTCAAGTTGACAGCCAGGTTCAATGCTGTGGAAGATCTGACCACCAAAGAAGATATGTTTGTGTCTGTGAGGCAAGCACTCAAGGGCTTTATTGATGCAGACAAAGTATTGACCGCGGTAGAGTGTCCGAGTCTAGCCAGTATTGAAAGCTCGTGCTAACGAACTATCAAGATCATCTTGGTTCCCACCAAGCGAACAATCCAATACGTCGAACAGTCTGTCAACAACGTCATCATGCTCAAGACCTATGTTTCTGCGATCAAGAAAATCTTCCAAGCGCTTGGAGCAGCACAAAGCGATTTGCTGCTTACCATACGCGAAGTAGACTCTATATTCCTTTGGTTTCTTTCTCGCTCAAACTAATGCACTTTAGTTGTGTGCTCCTGATGGGTATCGTTCAATTGAAGAGCTGATTGACACAACACTGAATGAGCATGTAGCCTACCAGTCAAAGCCACTTGATCTGAGGAACCAGCGCATTTACTGCGTCAAGGTCAGATCGGTATACTCCTATATCGGATATAGTTCGCTAACGTGAATTAGGCCGGCGTCAACAGTTTGCTTGATGTTGCGAGGCAAACCTATAAAGAGGCTAATGCAGACGCCACAGAGCTGATTGAGAAATTAGCAGGCATGTCGGAAATTATGAGTTTCACAAATGGTTCTGACTTATCTCAGAGAATTGCGACATGGTCTTGGACTTGAAGTACGACACAGCACGGCAATACTACATCTGTATTCCTGCCACAGAACCAGGTCCACTACCAGATATTTTCATCAACGTGTACCGCAAGCGAAACCGCATCGAGTGCCAGACATTGGATTTGGTCAAACTCAACCAGAAGGTCACCGATGCCCACAGTGAGGTGATCAATATGAGCGACCAAACAATCCAGGACCTGCTCCGAGACGTGTGCACCGAAGTATCCGGACTTTTCCGAGTCAGTGAAGCAATTGCAATGCTAGACATGCTTGGGGCATTCGCTCAGCTAGCAACGAATCACGAGTACATCAGACCAGAGCTGACCGACACTCTCGCCATCAAAGCGGGACGTCATCCGATCAGAGAAAAGATTCATAGCAGCAAGTTCATCCCAAATGACGCATATGCAACGCCGCAAACAAGATTCCAGATCATCACAGGCTGCAACATGAGCGGCAAGTCGACCTACATCCGCTCACTAGCCCTGGTGACAGTCATGGCACAGATAGGATGTTTCGTCCCAGCTCAGTACGCCTCCTTCCCAATCTCTCACCAGCTCTTCGCCCGCGTCGCCACATCAGACGATCTAGACGCGAACGTCTCGACCTTCGCAGCAGAGATGCGGGAAATGGCATTCATCCTTCGTAATATCCAGCCACGCAGTATGGTCATCATCGATGAGCTAGGCCGCGGCACTAGCACAACCGACGGGCTCGCTATCGCCATCGCGCTAGCAGAAGCACTCATCTCTAGTAAAGCCCTAGTCTGGTTTGTCACGCATTTCCACGACCTGGCGCAGATTCTCGCCGAGCGCAGCGGTGTGATCAATCTTCACTTAGCAGCAGACATCGCCCCTGATGCATCCAAGATGACCATGCAATACCGTATTGCAGAGGGTCCTGTTCCCGATCGCCGGTATGGACTTGTCCTCGCCAAGCTCGCTGACCTTCCATCTGGCGTCTTGGATAAGGCGCGGTCTGTCTCAGAGGCAATGGATCATCTGGCCAAGCGTAGGAACAGCTCATCGCGTGCTGTTGCTATTGCCCAGAAGCGGAAGTTGCTTTTGTCTCTACGTGAGCAGCTACTGATTACCCGCGATGGTACGATGGATAACGATGTCCTCCGGGCTTTGTTGATCAAACTGCAGGATGACTTTGTGCTGCGCATGACTGCCATTAACAGAGAAATGGAGTCATTCCCCGGTGATGAAAGTCAGACAGAGGCTCGTACTGAACGTCTTTCTCGTACACCTGAAACCCAAGCGTTGAACTCGAGTGAGCAATACGAAGGAATGGAAAACAAACGCGTGCCCGAGACCATCGTGATCGAATCTGATTTGGATTCTGGGTCTGAGCATGTCACCGACAATGATAGTGTAGTGTTGGTCGGAATGACTTGAAGTTAACGAGGATGGTGAGTGGGCTGACCTTTCTATTGTCCCCTTTCCTGTAGATCATATTTATGTACTCTTATGGTGGCAGGTTGATGAGTTGACGATCTTCGAGAGTCACATCATTCCCTAATATAGGTTATCAGACACATGAAATAAAAGAAATATGAATTACCTCTATACAATACAATATATCTGCATTCGCTAGTAGGTACAACAACAAAGAACAATAAATTCACCCCAACACATGATATAGGTTTTGATAGCGCTCCCCGCCATGCCGTATTCAATCAAACATAGGCCAAAAGCAAGGGCCAATGGACATAAGAAACGTAAATCCGTCGAAATGTGACAATGAATTAACCAAAGTGGAACAGCGTTTGCTTTCCCTTGTTCTTCTTCCCTTTCTTACCATTACTAGGTTCGTCATTACTAGGTTCAGCCGGAGACGCAGTTCCAGAACTCGGCGCTGAGCCCCATGCGTTCGGGGTAGGGCCGCGGTTATCATTCCAACGGACGGTGCCACGAGTCTTGCCAGCCATGAGGACGTTGGGCTTTGCCGCTGCTGGAAGAGCGGGGAATGAATCAGCGCCGTGGGGAGCGGGTGCGGCGGGTGTGCGACTGGAAGATGGTGCTGAAGGTGATGGGCGGCTGATCGGGCTAGGCATCGAAGGACGGGAGAAAGACGGCGGCGGGGCTGCTGCTGCCCAAGGAGTAGCGGGAGAAGCTTTTCCACGGCGAGACGATGGGCCAGCTGCGGCAGAGAGGGGAGGGAAGGGGTTCGAGGGGGCATTTGGGAGGGCCCCACTTCTGCCGACGGCAGAGCGGGAGGATTTAGCAGTTGATGACTTCAGGCGCAGGACGCGTTGGCCGCCAGTGTTGACTGCGCCTGTTGACATTCCAGGTAAGAGACCACCGGCTGGAAGAGCTGGGTAATCCTCGTTGATGGCACGCCAGTCATTCCAGGATTGTAGGAGGCCGGAGCGCTTGGACTCATCCTCGTATATCTCAGCGAGCTCCTTGATGAGCTTTCCTAGCTCGGTGCTAGATGTGTCGAATAATGAGAAGAAGGCATCAATTAGCTCGGTTGCTGAGATGGAAGAGGCGCGGTAGCTTGATACTCTGCTGCGGAATTCGGCGAGTTTGGTAGCATCATTGCGGAGAAGATTTGAAGCACGTTCGACCACAGCCTGGTGGCGCATTCGGCGGGTCTGTTCTTGTGCAGTAGCTGGTCCAGAGTTGGCAGAAATGTTCAGGCCTTCGAAGGCTGCAGTAGGGAGAGGCTGAGGGCGTGACGCGGAGCCAGACTGCACTGGAGTGGCAGCGGCGGATCGCTCTGGAGCACGCACGGGTTGGACGTCCTCTCGGGTCAGCTGGCCGCCAAAGTTTCGGGTCGAGACAGACTGAGAACTCTGTATAGCCATCTGTCGCTGGTATGCAACTTCTGCGCGGGTCATTGGCTGTGCACTGGAGATTGGCAATGGCTCAGCGTTGGGGTCACGTCCTCGGCCAGCACCGCGACGCTGGCGTTGCTGTTGGTAAGGAGTGCGCATATTATCAAATTCGGCCAGATCAACCATTCTCGCGTCTCGCCGAATGTCCTTTGAAAGGCCATCGGGATGTGCCTCGATTTGATGAGCCTTCAAGTCCATTTGCGACTCGAAGACGACAAACTTTTTTTCTAAACACTCTTTATCCAGGCAAGCAAAATGGTCCTTATGGAAGTGATTCTCCAGTGCGTTGTAGTCAATATAGTATTGTTGTTGACGGTGGGAGGAGCGTCGGTCACAGATGTGACACCGTTCGTGTTTATCGCGGCAGTGGGCGTAAAGCTCATCGTCGCCATAGAACCGTTGACGACAGAAACCACACTCAGGGTGTCCCTTGAAGCCACTCTGGTCAATGGCTCCAGGCTTGTCATCGCCGGACCTTTCGTGCTTGCGCAATTCCGCCGGGGTGAATAATTCATGCTCATGAGTGAAGACCTTCTTGTTACGAGTACAGAGGTCACTAGTAACAGGCTACAGTCAGCGGCTGATCCAAAAATTGCGCAGGTTATGATATCAACATACCACATAACTTTGCTGTGCTTGCTCTTTACATGGCGGTGCAAATCTGGCCACCCCAAACAGGCCACATCACAGTCCTCGTCCGGACAATTGTATCGCAGCAACAGCACTGTGTCTCCAAAAATCTCATCATTTTCATATTCAATGCCAAGGTTTTCGTCTATCCGAGCAAAGTCCTTCTTGTCGAACTCCTCATATCGCCGCACTGGATCATCTGTGAAGATCACGAAGTTCGATTCAGTCTATACAAGTCAGCAGGTGGAAACAGTATTACAGCAAAAAGCAACGCAGCTTGTGGAGACATTGTCGCAAGATGATCGTACCCTGCAATGAGCACAAGCCTTGTTCTTGTACAATGCGCGCAAGCGAAGCGCACAAATATGACACGTTCTATGGTTACAGGGGGCGACCGAGGTATGTTCGACGGCAGAAGCGCAGATAAAGCAGACTTCCCCATCATCTGCATCGTCCGTGGCCGCTTCTACCGGTTTCTTTGTTGCTGGCGTTGTGGCTTTTGAGGGCTGAGTATTGTGATTATTGGTCTGATCAGTATTGCGAGTTTGTCGACCTGCATCGCTGCCACCACGACCGCCACCACGGGTGCGAGGCTTGGGCCGTTTTTCTCGATCGCCGGTATTGTGTTGCGAATCTCCACGGCCGGGGGGAGCTGCCCCTCCGCGGCCGCGGCGACGCCCGCCACGACCCTGGCTGGACAAATCTGGGGTTGGGGCCTGGTTATCGGCCATTGCGGAGACTGGAAGAAATATCACAACGCAAGCTATGGCTCGGTGTCGATGACAGGTGTGCTGGAGCTGCAAAGCTCTGGAGTTTGTGAATTGTGGTGGGGGAGAGGTTCTGGGAAAAAAAGTGAGATGCGGCTGACTGATCCCGCCGGTATTGGATGAGGATGTGAGGTCTTCAACCGATCTCGTCCAAGATTTGTGTCTTTGATTACAAGAAAATCTCAGTTGACGGATTTATTGATCCTGGACCGTCTATAAAAAAAAAAGATTGGTGTTTGCCAACTCCCTTGCACAAGATGCTGGTAAGCATACATATTGTTATTGGGCAGATTCATCGGCTTGTTAGCACTGGTGTATAAGGTCAAAACACGATGAGCTAGGAGCCTTGGAATAAGAGACTTTTTTTGGCTGGTAACAGAATGGCCATTGGCTACAATATATCTAAATATAGCCCATATTAGGCTCGACAAACCAAGGAGCACCACTTAGACAGAAGTTGCGCAGATAGCACGTCGATATCCATGACGTCTGATAGTGCACTTGACCTCGAAGCACAAATATCATTTGGAAGTTTTCAGTTGGGCAAGCCCCCTTACCACCAGTCAGATGGGTACATTCCAATCTGTATACAGTTAGCTAGGCCAATCCAAGACCATGACAAGGGCAAGGTTGGTCCAGGCATAAAAATCGCACCTTTCTTTTCCATCCCCTTGAACTTGTAGTACAGTTCTTGCCCTTTTCACCTTGAGCACTTCGTCCAGCGAGCATTTCCTTTATCCTGCGTCTTTCCAACACGTACCACCCTAAGATCCCGACATTTCGTGCTGCATATTTACTCCTTGGCTTGTGAGTAATCAGACCGAGTATCAAATACACGTCGATGAGTCCTCATCCACTAACGATCTCTAGATTAACTCCCAGGGCGTCATTTACTCGCGTCATAGCAGATAGAACCATACGTGGAGAATTCGTATGTTTCGATGAATCATGTGGAAGTCGCCGCTTTCTCGTTCATTGCATCGCCCCATCAAGTCGTTCATGAATTTGAGCGGCATATTCTGGACGACAGTACATAGGAGAGGATCGGTGATACAAAATACTAGTCTGCCTCCATTTCCTTTTACTGCTGTGCTCTATACTCAGGAGAACTGAAGAATTGAAGTAGTCCACATGTGCGTCCAGGATGGCCTGTTCAGGTATACCTCCGGCCGATGGCTGATCAATGAGGAGCACCAACTCAAGAAGCGTTACGTGAAATTCAATATCAACAATATTTGCTCCCAAGTCGCCTCTCTCTTTGGCCCTGGAACAGAGTGTGTGAAATCTCGAGGGAAACTTCAACAAGGCTTTCTTTCTCACAATGAATGACGGCAATGAGGTTATAGTGAAAATCCCTTGTCCAAATGCTGGGGCGCCGTTACTAACCACGGCGTCCGAAGTAGTTACGTTGAAGTTTCGTATGTTCTCCAAATTCCATCTCCCAAGATGCTCGTATTCTGATTGTCTAGTCAGATCCAAGTGATCGACTGTGGGAACCCTTCACATCCTGGCAGCTCTTATCAAATGGCTCTATGGTTCCATTAAGAAACTGCCTAGTACGGCTTTCTCACGACTGGAAAGATTGAGGGCTTTTAGCATGCTGTCCATTCGAGTTTACGGAAGACTATCTTCAAAGGCACAACGAGCAGGTCCAGCTTTACAAAGACGCAGTATATATGTGGGATACCGCGAGGGGCCAACTCCACACGGATGACAGCGGCTGAATCCCAGTTGAACAATGGGAATATACAAGTGATGAACAAATATCTCTTTGATATGTATGTGGAGACTATGAGCGAAGAGTTGTCACCGGAAGCAGCGTCAAAACGGTGACCTTTTCCTCCACAATAATCGTAGGAAAGAAATATTCAGCGAAATCCTCCTTTAATTAGATGCAATACCTATCGCTATATTTTATTCTCTAACCATAAATCAATCATAGATTAAAAAATGCTCACTTCCGCTAATAACGTTTGATAATTGCAATACCTTGCATGGGTCTATAGCTTAAAATTTGGAAGAGGCCATCCAACATTGCAGAAGTATTCCAGTCTGACTCGCGTTTCTTCACAGAGAATAGCACCGCCAGGGTAATAAGAGAGTACAGTCGCGGGCGTCATGAGGGAACTGAGTCGAAGATTAAAATTCAATAGTCGGTCGTTCAATTTAGGGAGTTGGGGGACGAGAAGAGAAGCAGATGAGTGGGGGAGACCAAGAAGGACACGAGACATCTTATAAGCGCTTGAATTGTCTAGACGAATAGACACGGAACAGGTTCTAGCTGCAGAGAGGAGCCATTTTCGGCGTTGATTTTATATCTCCTCATATTCGATTTGTAAAATCACGTATGGAGGACTATACCTCCTGCTGGAGAGCACAGGCTAGTCAAATTCAAAAGAAACAAAAAAATGGGGAATGGAAGTTGCTCAAAAATTCACGCCAGAATCCCCATGCATCGCAAAAAAAGAACCGTGAAAGACCAAGGAGAATCGTTAAGAAACAGGTCTTGGTTTGGAGCCTGCTCTTCCATAATAATCGAAGCCAACCTGTCAGCCCCGAACTACTCATCAGGATTGTACAAATTCTGATTGAGAATTTTAGTCATGGTAAACATGTGGACTCGATCTTGCTTGAAGACACCACGCATAGCGTCGTCGCAGAGGATTTGGCGGCGATCACTGGGGTCCTGAAGCTCATTCTCACGAATGTATTGCCAAACCTTTTTAACTGTCTGTGGTCGCGAGAGCTATGTGAAGGTTAGCAGAGAAGGCCTAGGGACCATGAGTCGGGAGAGTGCTCACTGTAACTTCTCCCAGAAGTGCGGACAAAGGTTCGGAAAGGTTCATGGGTTTCTGTGACCGTGTTAAAAATGACAAGAGGCTTGGGAAGGATAATATAGCAAGGCATACGTGGAACCCAGTATTTCTGTTGACCTCCTTTTTTGGTTCTTCGCCCGAGTCAATATCTGAATCATCTTCTGCCTTGACCCTTTTCGAGGTCTTGGCTTTGCTCTTCTTCTTCACGGGAGCTGCACGCCGAGTGTTGCCCCCACGGGTAGGTCGCGCGCGCGAATTCTCTTCGGCTTGCAGTTTAGCCGCAAACGCCGCATCAGCATCAGTATCGGTATCGGGCTTTTGTTTCTTGGCAGGCGGCGATGCGCTCGCGGGCTCGGAAGTGGCATCGCTGGAGGCCTGGCGCTTCACAGGAGACGAGGATGGAGGCGGGGACGGTACCGCAGCTGAAGCTGTATCACCATCGCGCTGACCATTGCTTGGGGCTTCTTCATCGGGCGATCCGCCAACACCGACATAACGATCGAATCGTTCCATAATCAGCTGCTTGATCGTAGACTATGCGAATGTCAGTCACAGTCATTCGCCAGTCATCCTGTATAGCTCCAAGTTGATTTTGCGCCTTGGATAGTCGGAACTTGACTGACCTTCATCGGAGTGAGATCATAGCCGACGACATCCTGAAGACCTTTGCGAATCCGCTTCTCGGAGATGGTGGTGAGATCGCTTTTGGCCAGAATGTCGTCAATTATGTCGATATATTTGTCGCGCACGTCAGCGGTTACTATTGCGCAAGATGCCGATTAGTTATGAGGCTTTTCGGGACCCTTTTTGGGGAAGCGGCAGTTGGCACCGGGGCAGCACCGAGGTAGCTTACACGACATCTTGTTGCTAGTATATCACGGAGATTGACTGCTTATGTTCAGATGGACGAGCTGAGTTGAGATTCGCAGTTCGCAATTGAGGATATTGCGGGGTTCGTAGAGAAGTTTGGTGGTCGAAAGAGAGCTCGTAGTTGTCAGGTGGGCTATACTCAAGTCGCACTGGCGCTTAAGACCGGCGGGGCATTGGAAGCAGAAATGTCAGGCGAAATAAGTGCAGAGACCGGAGTACTATAAATGAGATGATAACCGAAGATATTATCAGGCAAATAGCTTGGTATGCAGTCTGAAAGAAATGTGTGTCCAAACTCAGAGCCTCTAGAAACGTCTTGATGATTGACGGGCCCGACCTGAAGCTGGGGAAATCGTGACTAATCAGATGCATCCCGGTCACGTGGCACTTTGAGCCTGAGGCAAAGATACCTAAACATGTGCTGACTCAGTGCTGAGTCAGTCCACACAAAGAACCCGCTTGGCCGCCGCGATTTGTTTCTGCCCGAAAATCTATCAGTGGATTGCACCGATCTATCTTTGCTCCGAAGCCTCTAGACGCCTTCGGTATATCCATCATGGCGCCCAGTTTCGATACCCTGTCCGAGCAGGATCTCCATGAGGAAGAAGAGGAGGAGATTGATTTCTCCGGTAAGTCCAAGATTTCTCGTGGTCTGTGTGCCCCTCTCTCTAACATATTAATCCACAGATCTCAAGGAGCAATATGAAGTAAAGGTCGAGGAGGGACTGGACACATTTATCGTCATCGACGGCCTTCCCGTTGTGCCCGAAGATAGCCGGCAAAAACTCGTCAAGTTCTTATTGAGAAAACTCAACTCTGTCGGCAGCACCTCCGAAGATGCGGTTTTCATGCCCGTTAACGACAAGAAGATGACCGAAGGGTGCGTATTTGGATATCCAATGAGGCATGGAAGAATCATGGAAGATCTCTAACTTTCGCTGGGCCATGTAGGTTCGCCTTTGTGGAATATCAAACCCCCGAAATGGCAGTTGCTGCTGTCAAGCAGTTGCACGGCGTCCCTCTTGATAAAAAGCACATTATGGCTGTCAACAAGTTGATGGATATTGAACGTTATGGTCGTGAAGGTCGGGTGGATGAAGAATACAAGGCACCCACCCCGGAACCTTTCAAGCAGAAGGAGCACCTGCGCTCGTGGATGGGAGATAGCAGCGCCCGTGATCAATTCGCCCTTTACCGTGGCGACAAGGTTGGCGTATTCTGGAACAACAAGACAAACCCACCGGAGAACATCGTGGATCGCGCTCACTGGACACAACTTTTCGTTCAATGGTCCCCCAAGGGTACATTCCTTGCCTCCGTTCACCCCCAGGGTGTCCAGCTTTGGGGCGGTGAGTCCTTCTCCAAGCAAAAGCAGTTCCCTCACCCCTTCGTGCAGTTGATCGAGTTCTCTCCGCTTGAGGGCTACTTGACAACATGGTCAGCACGGCCCATCCAGGTCGAGGAAGGCCAGCCACTTTTGACCTACGAGGAGGACGGTAAGAACATCATTGTCTGGGATATCGAGACTGGCAAGCCTCTCCGTTCGTTTGTGTCGCACGATTTGGCTGCCCCTACCGATATCGAGGGCGATGTTGCACCTAAGAAGAAGGTGCAATGGCCTGCCTTCAAGTGGTCCGCGGATGAGAAGTACGTTGCTCGCATGCTCCAGGGCCAATCTCTCTCTATCTATGAACTTCCCAACATGAATCTTCTTGGTCGCACTTCCGTGAAGATTGAGGGTGCTATGGACTTCGAGTGGTCACCTGCTACCGTCGCTCGCGAGGGTGTCAAGCAGTACGAGCAACTGCTCTGCTTCTGGACTCCAGAAATCGGCAGCAACCCCGCCCGTGTCGGTATGATGAGCGTTCCTTCGAAGGAGATTGTCCGAACCCGCAACCTCTTCAACGTTTCCGATGTCAAGCTGCACTGGCAATCACAGGGTGCCTACGTCTGCGTCAAGGTCGACCGTCACTCTAAGTCGAAGAAGTCTCTGGCCACTAACTTAGAGATCTTCCGCGTCCGCGAGAAGGGTGTGCCTGTTGAGGTTGTTGACAGTCTTAAGGATACCGTGATTAACTTTGCCTGGGAGCCCAATGGATCCCGATTCGTCGTTATCGCCAACGGCGAGGCACCAACCGGTGCCGCCGTCCTCCCTAAGACTTCTGTCTCATTCTTTGCACCTGAGAAGAAGGGCTACACTGCCGGCAACTTCAAGCTGGTGCGCACTATTGAGAAGAAAACCAGCAACGGCATCTACTGGTCGCCTAAGGGTCGATTCGTTGTTGTTGCCACCGTCCACTCCCAGACCAACTTCGATATGGACTTCTGGGATATGGACTTCGAGGGCGAGAAGAACGAGGCTGAGAAGGATCTCGCAGCCAACCTTCAGTTGATGAAGACCGTGGAGCACTACGGTGTCACCGATGTTGACTGGGACTCTACCGGTCGTTATGTTGTCAGCAGTGCCAGTGTGTGGACTCACTCGGTAAGACTCAATCAGGTTCTATTCTCAATTATGATTCATAATATTGACTGCATTATAGATGGAGAACGGCTGGAACATGCACACTTTCTCCGGCACTACCCTCTCCGAGAACCCCACCGAAAAGTTCAAGCAATTCCTTTGGCGCCCACGCCCTGCCACTCTTCTCAGCAAGGAGGAGCAGAAGCAAGTGCGCAAGAACCTCCGCGAGTACTCAAAGGAGTTCGACGAGGAAGACAAGTACGCTGTCGACATCGCCAACACCGCCGTTGTCGAGACCCGCAAGCGTGTACTCAGCGAGTGGCTCGCCTGGCTCCGTCGGGAGAAGGAGCTCCTGGCCGAAGAGAAGGAGGCTTTCAGCCTTCCCGAGGACGCAGATACACCCCCGGCCGCTGCCGACGCGCGCCCCGTCGTCGAAGACCAGGGCGACTCCGTGGTCGAGGAGATTGTGGAGGAGATTATCGAGGAGACCGAGGAGGTCATTGGCTGATGAATCTGTCTGTTCTATTTTCGCAAATAATGTGTTTCCTTTTGTTCCTCTTTTCCCCCTGTTTGTCTGCTGGCGTTTCGCGCTTGTGCCTGAACCCAGCCTTCTGTCCCCTTGTGTTTCTTTTAGGTCCCCTGGGCAAGCCCAGTGAGGATCGGGACATTCCAAAAATCAATAGATCGAGCGGTACGCCTCCCGACCAAATGTGCAATGTGGATAAGCATGAGAGATGGCTACGAAACCAGTTCCTAGCAAAGTTCAACTTTGTATCTCTTATTTAAATCATTTAAAGTAAACTATCTCAAGCGTAAAGCACCCTTCCAACGCCCACCGTTCCCAATGCTACCAGCATCATCCCCAATGTCGAATTCAGCTCGAACTTGATAGCACATCCTGTATGCCGATGAGGCGTAGGCCGACGATTCCCGATGGTAGTGGATGGCGCGGCATTTGGCGACGGCGATGGCTGAGGCATAGACGTGGAAGAAGACTCGGAAGTCGTGGAAGAAGACGTTGATGAGGATGACTCAACAACGGGCGCCTTCTTTGGCAAAACATTCTTCCTGAAATAGGAATCATGCAAGCCCACGACATTTCCAGGAGGTGTATACTCGCAGACAACATACCACCCTTGAGCTCGCGGCTCGCCTCGCGCAACCTTCAGCCCTTCCAAGCCGTCTCGTTCCGTTTCATCGCCGCTGAAACGGGGTGCCATTAACACCCCTTCAATGATATCCTCTCGTACTTCGATCTCGTCATCTCTTTTGGCTTTATCGTCCTTCTTATACCCACAGTTGACAGCAGCACATCCGACTTGAGTAGTCGACTTCCAAACCAACTGAGTGAAATGCCCCGTCTCCTCGGTGAAGCCTGTCGGCTTGACGAAGTTATACATATCGCGTTCCTCTCCCCATGCGATGACAGCAGCAGAAGCATTACTGTATCCGAATGCGAGGTTCTCGCCGTAGCTACTTTTCTGCACGCGCGATATTAGCATCATCATCTCATGGTATTCGGGTTATTGATACACACCGAATGTTTCCAGATACAGGCTTCTGCCCACTCCCGCGAGTACTCAGCCAAGGTGTCGTTCCATTCTAGTGGACTGGCCTCGTGATTGGCACGGTACTCGTTCGTGACTTTCAACATATCGTCTTTGAACTTGTCGAGGGAGGTGTACGATGGTGATAGCGGGGCGGTTTGTGTTGGCGCGGGCAATTTCACCGTGGTCCAGACGGTTACTACGTCGGCATTTACGCTGAGTAGTTGCATGGTGAGGAGTATAAAGATGGCCAGCCATCGTGTAGTTTTCGTGTGGTTGTTTTGGTCCATTTTGAAAGATTGGAGTTCTTCTGGTTGACTTGAAGCCGGAGACGGGTGCTCGTAGTTGTAGTTTGCTATTGCATGATGTGAGATGGCCTTTTGGTATACTCGTTGGATCAATAGTGGAAGCGCCAGGCTCCGATCCGGTTCAGGCGGCGGCCCGAAGTTGTGACGACGTCCCTTGGATAGAAGTGCCTGGTGATGCAACCTTGTAATAGTCGTGTATTGCCTATTGCCCTAGGCATTCATGGACATCTATTGTGTATATTGTATTCTCTTAGAAGCGGGCACAAGCGGGCACAATGCAGGTATCTAGAAAATCGGTCTGACAATCTCCTTCACAGATGTCGATCGACGTACTCAAACACCTGAGAGATGAAGAAAGTTCCTGAACCGGCAATGAAGGCAAAAGTCAAAGTCATTTCGAAAGTCTAATGTTTTGAAATGCAACCAGATCGGAGAGACTTTTTCTTCACGTCCGTTTCAGACGCTGCGGTGATGTTCCAGTAGCCGCCGGTGTTGACGTCAGACACTTAGGGCTAGGCACAGGGGTTGCATCAAATTGATATTTGATATCTGACATTTGATAGTTGATATTATTTTTCTATTATTTTTGCTGTAGACTATCGAGTTTCGTCTCATTTCACTTTCTTTTGTCTTAACTGAAACAAAACAAGAAAGAAAAAAATGACTGGAGGGACAGTATTCACCGTCTCTGGAAAAAGCAAATATCAACACTTGTTCCTCAGGAGCTATTGGTGTGTTTATAAAAGCCTGCTCTCGTTATGAGAACAGTTTGTGATGACAGACATGTCCGCATTTTAGGTGCCTATGCGCCAACTCGCTATGCAATTCCCGGGGGTATCGGTATCTATTTACATCACAGTGCAACCAATTCCATACATAGCTCGTTCCACGTCCCGCTTGACAAGGTACCAGTCAGCCCGGCGCTCAGCAAATTCATAGACCTCCTCCACACGCCAAATCCCATGGAATCGATCCGCGTCAGCGATGACAGTCGCCAGTTCCTTAGCATGGCCAGGATCGATCAGGTAAATCTGCACGAGCTCACGGAATGCCGTGAAATAGAGAAGCAGCTCGTTGTTTCGTAATGTTTGGATATACTTGAAATAGTGATTCATGTCGCTACGAATCAAGTCAGCTTAGCATTTTGCACGGCTGGGTTTGAGATACATACCTGATCAGCTTAAGTGATCCCTCCACGCTGATACGCTGTCGCTTGAGGTGTTTACATAGAGCGGTAAATAGGCGGAGCCCGACTTCTTGATTGAACACATCTAGTGTGCTCTTATCCGTGCTCCCGACTAGCATCTGCGTGTGCGATGAAACCACGTCGACAACGGCGACGGCGACTTCGCTGACGCCTACGTCCATGGTCTGTCGGTGTGGATCTGAGGAAACGCCGGGATTGAAATCGGTGGCTAGTTGTCGTGTTGCCAGAATGTAGTCCACCTCTTCCATGAGAACGTCGATTCCCTTATTGAGACCAGCTGCGACACGTTCGTCGAGCATCTGTTCGAATTTCTTCTTTTCTTTATTGGCAGGGTCCACAAAATCGTTTCTATCAGTTAATCTCAAGCCGATCAACTCCTGCTCGTAAAATACATCCATCATCTGCAGAATCAAATCGCCAACATTGACCAGCTCCAAAAATGTGACGAGGGGCTCAACCCCGGATTGGTCACGTTCGCCTTGTTCGCGGGGTCGGTAGTTGGATAGATGACTGACAGCCTTATCGAATCCAACGATCACATGCTGTTGTCCCAGTATACGTAGCAGCGTCACGAAGATTGCTTCGCATTGCTGTTTCGCTGCACGGCCAAATTCACCGCCAAGTCGCACAAACTGGGCGGCTCTCTCCAAGCTGGACTTGGCGGAATGGACTAGACCAAGTGCGATCTCGATACTGAACAATGAGCGGATACCCTCCATCTTCGACTTCATGATGGCAGCTTTTGCTGCCAGCTCGGTGGTCGGGACTTCCTCGATGACTGGGGCAGGTGACGGTATTGTTGAAAATCGATTGGGACTTTTGGAAGGTTGTGACGGATTTGGACTGCTTGTTTCCGTATCTAATTTTGGCTCTTCATTTGGTTTGGCGCTTGAGAAGCTCGGTAGGATGTTTACCGGCATCATGATCACCTTTTTGAAGGAAGTAAGGAAGTCTCGTTTGTCGGCTTGGCGATTAACATTTGACATCAAAAAAGACTCCGTCGAGGCCGCCTGTTCAGAGAGATGCCGATCCCACTCACTCACTGTAGATTCACAGGTTTTCTTAAAAAAATCCAGCTCTTCTGCCAAATACAAATCGAGATGTGGCTCATATATCTTGACGACGACATTATCAAGATACTCGTCAAATTTATCATCGGAGCCTCGTATAGGAAGCAGAGCCTCCGAGAGGTTCATGCATTGAACAAAAGTCGCCGATATTGCACTTAGATATGACTCGATGCTGATACGATGTAGTTCATCGAATATCGCCGTGAGGAAAGGATACAACACATCTTGGCCAACTTTTGTCATGAACTTTGATGTAACGTCCAAGTCCGGGGGAAATGCGCGGTTCATGATGGATATTTCGTCGTTGAAGGCGACGCTGAGACGTGTGAAAAAAGCTTGCGTCTGCTCCATTTTGACCTGGCCGGTTGATCCGTCGATGCAGGAAGCGACGGTTCCTAGCTCGGATTTCCGAGTCATGAGGTGATTGTGATGGATAAAAAGGTCCACGGCAGCTTGCCCGCCATTGAGTGTCCATAAAATATGTGCATATTTCCGCATAGTCCCATCAATGTCTTCTGTCTCGTATCCCTGACGGAACTCCTTCAGCGCAGCAGTCTCAAACATCGATATTGTACGCTCTAAACGATCCACCCGCTCGTCCCATCCTTGCGTCGTATCAGATTTGGAGAACATGAGCAATTGTGCCAGTATCTGGGCCTGGGCCTGGGGATCATTATATTTCGTGAAAACCAAGTTTTCAGAAGATGGTCCAGATCGCGCGATATCCTCATAAAACGGCGCCAGTGCAGCATGAATCTTGCCGTATTCCTGGCGCGCCTCCCCCGTATTGACCTGACCTGTTTCAACACTGTCAGGGCGGGATCATCCAGAAGATCCTGGGACATAGTGGGCTGCGACGCTGTGTTCACTAATTCAATCTTATCAAATCCATCGGATATCTCTTTTAGGTCATTGGAAGGGTCGCCGCTAACGGTGATGTCGGGGACTGGTCCATCGCCCAGCTCGGCCTCCTCTTGCTGCTCGACGACCTCCATGTTGGCAACTGTCCCAAACACAAGCTCAGCATGCTTTCTAGCATCTGCTTCATCCCAACACCCAATTCGTTTCAATTTGTGTACCCATCGAGTGTCATCATACGCCATCTCATGCATGAGCTTGCAGGACCGTGCTGCTCGTATCAAATCAACGGGGCCGACATAATCGAGAATAGAGGATACAATCTCTGTTTTTCCTCTTGTCAGCATGTGTTTCCTTATCACCGCATATTATCTTACGCACCTGCCGGAAGAGCAGCTCTGGAGATGTCTTCCATTGATGCCATGCGCAGCGAGGCCAGCACATCTCTGCGTGGCTGAACTGTAGCCGTGGGTCCTTTCTTTGCACCTGGCATCTTGTGTTGCTGAACTCTTCATCTGAGAGAGTACTCGTAGGAAACTCGGGGTTTGACGCAGCCCCGGACACGCTCCAGACTGTCCCGCGGGGTTGTGGAGGGTGGTCCAGTCTCGATGTCAAGTAGACACACAGCGTCTTCGGGGTGTATTTGGTGTCAAATCCTCACGCGGGCATGGTTGCATACAACCACTTAATTCTCAACCGTAAATCAGGAACCACATTCCAATGCTGCACGATCATCCCGCACAGACAGACAGGGTCCAATACCGCCTCTCCCGGTTGGCAAAATGTACACCGCTCTCTGGTATGCATTCAGTACCTTTGTACGGAGTAGACAAAGCCAGGTCTTCTTTGATTGAAAGAAAAAGAAAGAGTTGGATCATATCTATTTTCTAGTGGTGTAGAAAGCTCAAATAGGGTGACTGGGTGAGCAAAAGGAAGAATTGAAGTCGAATTGGAGATATTCGGAGCAAACTTGACGGCTAAAATATATACATCAGGTTGAGACTTGACGTTAGAATGAAATTCACTAATCGTACCTTTTTGTTTTTGTAGCAACGGGGCACTAAAAGCTACCTGTCTCAATAGGATTCTGATTAATATGGCATTAGTTGCAATACAAGCTGACATAGCTAAATATCGCTGTAGTGATCCCTAACTATGTAGGTATGGAGGCACTGGGAAGATCCCGAGATACCCCGATCTGGACGATAGTAAATGCTGGGGGAAATATAGACTAGTGTGATATAGCTAATAATTAACAATCTGATTTGAAGATCTTCTGACTATATTGGAATATAGTTAGATTGTTCAATGTTGTTCCGGTGATGGGTGTTTTTTCTCGGTCAATCCCGGGATACGCACAACCGGAGAAAAAAAAACGAGAATACTTCAGAAGAAGTAAAACGAGAAGTTACAAATTAAACATCCTAGATCACTGTAATCAATTAGTCGATTTTTATATAGATCAATTCACTATAAGTCAGTAGAATTGTGGTGTTCCGAGAGTCGGTTTTCTAGCGTGGCCGGGAGCCAATCAGAGCAAGGGGGTAATCATCAATGTCAAGTTTCTTCGACTTCGACCTCAACCTCTAGCATCTCTCTCCTGTACCATCCCCCCCTCCTCTCTCCACCCACCTCTCTCGCTTTGGCGATACAGCACCCACTCCCAATCAAATTCAATTGCTTGGGTTAAACTTCGTCATGCTGGGACGTTCGATTTTGCGCGCGTCCAACCGGGCCATCGCCCGCCAGTCCCTCGGGAAGTCCACGGTACGCCCTCACCCCCATTGGTCTTCACGGAAGAGGACAATCGACTCCTCGAACTTGCATTGGATTACAGAATGTCTCCGTTGCTAATATTTAACAGCGTGCCTCTTCCACCTCCGCCGGAGCCGAGGCCGCCAGCTCCCCCTTCTACCTCACACTCACTGCTGCGCTTGCAACTGCCGCCGCCGCCGGTTCCACCGCATGGTACTACCATCTCTATGGCCAGGAGGCCTTCGCCATGACACCCGCTGAGGAGGGGTGAGTGAAATTGCCCAGGAGGATCGCCGTGCTTGTGGCTTCGGCGCAGCCAAGCATTGTGCGATCTGGTTACAGAACAATGGCGGAAGCTAACGGGTGATTTTATCCAGACTCCACGCTACTCAGTACCCTTGGGTCCACGATCGGTTCAACAAGACTTTCGACCACGCTGCGTGAGTACTCTCTCCCCAAAGTCACATTTTTGCTCTCACCGGCAGACATTGTACTGACCCCGTCCCAAGCCTCCGCCGTGGTTTCCAGGTCTACCGCGAAGTTTGCGCCTCCTGCCACTCCCTCACCCGTGTCCCATGGCGCTCAATGGTTGGCGTCATGCACACCGTCGACGAAATGAAGGCTTTCGCTGAGGAGCACGAGTACGACACCGAGCCCAACAACGAGGGCAACATCGAGAAGCGCCCCGGCAAGCTCTCCGATTACATCCCCGCCCCCTACCCTAACGAGGAGGCCGCCCGTGCCGCCAACGGTGGTGCTCTTCCTCCTGATCTCAGCTTGATCACCAAGGGCCGCCACGGTGGTTGCAACTACATCTTCAGTCTGCTCACTGGTTACCCCGATGAGCCTCCTGCTGGTGCTGCCGTCGCCGAGGGCATGAACTTCAACCCTTACTTCCCCGGTACCGGTACGTAACGACAACCTCATAAAATGTGTTTCCTTTTAGCGTTTCTGACTCTTGTGATAGGTATTGCTATGGGCCGTGTCCTCTTCGACGGTGTTGTCGAGTACGAGGATGGTACCCCCGCCACCACCTCCCAGATGGCCAAGGATGTCGTCGAGTTCCTCAACTGGTCCGCCGAGCCCGAGATGGATGAGCGTAAGAAGATGGGTGTCAAGTCCGTTGCCCTCCTGACCGGTCTGTTCGCCATCTCCATCTGGGTCAAGCGCTACAAGTGGGCCCCTCTCAAGACCCGAAAGATCGTGTACAGCCCCCCCGATCGGCCCTCGCCGTTAAATGTTGCAGCAAGGCCTTTGTTTGAGTGGGAAAATGTGAGAGGCTGAAGGGGCCGGTACGACTTGGGGAACCCATACCACATCCCCGGTTTTGAGACAGGTGCCTCAAAAGAGGCCTCTCTGCTTCGACATTTTCTATGTGTCTATCTATTGGTCGCTGTGTCTGTGTTTTGTTAGAACGCTCCCCGAACACCTGTATCTGTATCCTAGATATATTCTTTTTTTCATTTCCTTTCGAAAACTGTGTGCTTCGAGGAGTCATCTGAATTTAATTTCCTTTGTGATTATGACAGATGAGATCATTACATATATGCGAGTCTCTAGATTGCAGCTTATGTCTGTATGTGCATGCCTGTATCATAGAGGATATGGTATGCTCTGCGATGTGCCAATGAGACGAGTGGAGTACAGTGATTTCTATTTATTGTAGTTGTAAAGTCCGCATGCGATAAAACAATTCAAGTGGCTCAGAGACAACTTCAGGCCCGGGTATCATCTAAACCCCGCTCGCCATCCCCAAATATACGAGCGAAGAAACAGTCATAACTAGTCCACATACCCGAGAAAACGGAATTGGCCAGAGCCACTAGCCATGGTGGACTACGACCATCAGGACCGGCGCATATCCTGGATAATGACATGGTCAAAATCAAAGAAGGCGCCCACAGAACTAGGAAGATCGCCTTCCCAATCTTCTGGTGCATAGTTGTGATACGATAAGGCTTGATCTGTGCGAGATATTCCTGATATGAAACAGGCAAATCATGTTCCGCAGCGCCGGTCTTGATCAGCCCAAGGTAGCGGGCAGAGGGCTGAGCGTAATTAGGATCCGGCCGGAAATGCAAGCAGACGGTATACCACCATGACGGCTTTGGACCACTAGGTAGCGGCACGACATCGTCTTTCTGAGATAGCAGTTTCAAGCGGGCATTGTCCGCAGCTGGTGAAAGCAGAGTGCGTGCCTTGAAAGCTGGTGTGCTGGGGTAATCCGGTACGGGGTCGGAGGGGTTGTACGAAGGAGGGAAGGGATGACAATCGATGACACGGTCAAGATATCCACGACCACCGCCCTCCGTGGCGATGATCTTCGCGTAGTCGGCTAGCGTGACTTCGTAAACAACTCCGACTAGAGGTTTGTGCCATTGACGCTTATCACAGGTCGAGGCTACCTCCACCTGCCGTGTTCGAGTTATGAGCACAGCCTTCTCTGACAGATACTCACTGTCCAACAAATCCGTCTCATCGTCTTGAAGTTCAGTCTCGTTGTCTTGGAGTTCGGTCTCGTCGTCTGTTGGAGGAGAGATGTCTCTGTATTGTGTGCCTGCGAAACAGGGCTCTGCATACGGTACTCCCGGTAGATCGAAGGTGAGACGGAGTTCGGGGACTAACACAGAAATCTGCGACAGCGGTTTTATGCCGCGCATTCCGCGGAAAGTCTTGGAAGCTAAGTTTGACCCGTACGCGAGGTAGAGGACTGTCTCATCCCTGGCGACGGTTTCTGACACACCAATCCCGTGTTCCTGCTGCGTGGAAATCTTCTCAGGCAGAGTCTCATCTTGATCGAGGGAAGCGGCGACACATGATGATCGACGGCGGTCAACGTTCGTTCTAGGAATAGGGTCGATCTCTAGTTTGACATCAGGCTTAGCAAAGATAGCGGGAAGAAGGCCTCGAAGTCGGTCTAGCGGCTGGGTTGCGCTAAACCGGCATTGAGAAGCTGGCGCATCTTCGGCTCGTGGCGGTTGTGTCATTTTGTAGATTTATAACGCAATCTAAGGCGTATGAACATGAGGCGACCTTTTGAAGGCTTCTCAGCCGTACCCATCAGCGAACCAAACCTCGGGACCTCATGGCGATTATTAATCGACTACGGATCGCGGATCTTACACGGGCCGATCGGATCTAAATTGAAGCATCATAGCCCATCAACGTATATTAGACATCTGTTGGCCCGATTCAATATGTCCTCAACGAGAATTTTTCCTTTGTACTCCGTGCTCATGACAACGTGGTGTGTTTAAAATACTAAGGCCACTGATACAATATGGAATAAATTATCGTTGAATGAATTGTGCTGGGCGCTTCGCACGATCATCCTGAGAGTTAGGTGAAGTTGCAGATAAGATCTGATCTGAGTATGTAATATGGGGCTACTCCGTGTATGGGGAAGCAAAAGTGCTTTGCATACTTGTAATTTTCGATATGTGACAACAGCCTGAGATAAAAATAGAACACTTTTGTATTCCTCGGAATCCAAGTCAATCTCAACATTTTTAGATAAACTTCAGGGACAGAAAATGCACTACGTTCTTCCAAGGACTACGAATATACTAGTCCTCAAAATATCTATATGTGATGGGACCAGCATAGGCTTACCTAGAGCAAAACTAGCTATCTTGGTCATATCTGCAAATGGACCTTTTGATTATCCATAATTGATTGTCATGACCTAGAGCTAGGTATGTATAAAATAGTAGGTAGGATACGCGAGGCTATAGTCGAGGTATCATGTGATTCATGCCATATGCTGGAACTGGGCTTAGTTCAGCATCCTCATCAGCTAGACAGCTCTGGAGAGTACACTGTCCTTCACACCTCATCTTCGTGTTTTGATCTCAAGTGTATGACGATAGCAATTATGAAGCCTGCTCGGGGCTCGTCTACACCAATTGATCCAGCCAAAGGGAGCAAGGCGACTGCCAATGACAGAGCAACTTCGGGATATGGCCTCACAGACCCAGGTCGCCAAAGGGCAAAAACCCTTCGGTCCCAGCCTTCGGAGTCGAAGATTGTTCGATTGAAGCTCACAAAACCCAGGCCACCCAAAGCCAATCCCCAAGAAGTGGACTGGGATGAAGACCTCCGTCCTACACCCGATGAGAAAGTGGAGAATGAAGGGACCCATGGAGGAACATCCGTTACCGATACAGACCCAAACAGACCGAAGATAGTCGGCAAAAACACAGGAAGTAAGCGAGCAATGCCGTCAAAGCCACAAACAACCTCTGCAAAACGCAGGAAATCGAACAACAGGAGGATCGCTACTAGCAAAGAGGGCGATACCAGAGGACCACAATTGCCACTGGTAACGATTAATTCAAGCACTTTGCCTCCTGAAGCCCCTCTGGGTCATAGTGGGCCTTCTGATATGAGTCCATTGAGCGGCAAAAGCAAGGATTATGCCGCGAAGCGCAATGGAAATGTGCCCAAAGCTTCGCACCAGCCTTCGCCGCCAACAAATGATCACAACAAGCATGGGAATAGGAGTCAAGGGGGTGTGATCGTCGAGACAAGAAGTTGCACATCGGTGACAACTGAGTCATCATCGGAGCTCGAATATCATGGCAAAGGGCCATCCCGTACTTCAAAAGTCAGCATCCTAGAGCATCGGGCACAGTCCAACGGACAAAAAAACAAAGGCAAAGCTTTTCATGTGACTTCCGAATTATCCTTGAGTTCCGACGTCGATACTAAAGGACCGACTAATTCAAAGGTCACCATTCTGGAGTCAAGGGCACTTCCGAAGGGACGAAGCAGCCAGACCAAGCCGCGTCATGACAAGAGTCATCCCAAACATCGTGGTAGAGCAGAGAGTGTTGGCAACAAGCTGATGCTTGCGCTCCACGGAACAGAGCCTTCTCAGAATGAACCAGCCAATGATCCAGCTGTACCTCTCATCATCTCATCTGATCCAGTACAACCCGAGGAATATCCACAAAAGCAGCAGTTCGACCCAATGCCGACCGACACAGCTTTGGAACCTCCGGAACCTCCAAAGCTTGAAAGCGTACTGGACAGAGCGATTCCAGTTGAAGTGTACCAACACGAAACCGATCTGAAAACCGTCAATCCAGCATTGATCACCAGAACACTTCCGTCCAAGGAAGAGCAGATACTACAACGGGGAGATGACGCATCCTTCTGGCAGGCCCTGGGTGATGACAGGATGTCCAGTATAGCGAGCTCTTCCGAATTTGAAATCGGCAGAGGCCTGATGGATGAGGGCCCGTCAATCCTTGATTATCACATGGAAATGGAACATATCCCCGGATTTGCAACGTTGCAACCCATAAGATCTGGACCAACCACCTCTTCGCATGTCACTAACATCTGCGAAAGCCCCGCAAATAGCTCTTTGGGCACTTCAAATGCAGGAAAATTCGATGATCTCACAGTAGGACAGATAGAGGAACGTGGGATCAGCCATACTCCGGAGTCTCGAAAGCCTCTTCTCACCAATGAATCCCCAATAGGACTGAGTTCAGCGTCTCCTCAGGCCCCAAAATCAGCCCCAAAGACTAGCATTGTTGACAGCAACGGTAGTCCTCGACTCATGCCTCAGTCAGCCAAGAGCATGGTTGCGCTCCAGTTTGATCTGGGTGGTGAAAGGCACCACGAAGAAACAACCAGCGACACCGATACCAGTCCAAGTGAATACGATCGAGACTCATGCAGTATTTCCATCGAAACTAAATATGAGGGGGCCATGTGGTCTAAGTTCCAACGAGATATGTTCTTGGAATATGGGATCCAAACGGAGAACCTGGCGAGCTCTCACCCCTGGCCACCGAATTCGTACAAAAAGCAACAGCGCTCGTTTCCTCAGGAGGATACTGCTGATGGGGACAACACCGAGAAAAACTCGACGACTAGTTCAAGTTCTTCACAGCGAACGATCGACGAGAGAGCTTTAGGGGGTGCTCCTTCAACGAATCATGGGCTTGACCAATCGTTCCGAACAGATGTATCGGGGTCAACACAGCCGGTTTCCAAGTCGCACAAATCCTCTACGACGGGCGATCATGACGATATGGAATGGATATCAACCTTGCAAGTGGCCCAAAAAGACGCACACCACCTGCTTCAGGAAACCAATTCGGTTAGTACAAAACTCTTTATGTGAATGGAATCGCGTTAACTGGGATGTAGCATTTGTCCACTCAGCTCGCAGCAGAAAAGGCCACTATCAGCCGAGTCCTCGAAATCTATCGAGAGGGGTGTAGTCGGATCCTTGACGATTTGTTCCAAGCACAAGAAGCACGAATGCAGCTCTATCGGCAGCAAATGCAATCTGTCAAGGAACAACATGCAGATATTTGTCGAGACCTGGTTCGTGGACTACAGGAGCTCGACCGTCGGGTGCAACAAGGGCCAGTCTGACAGGGGGCGAATTCCAAAAGCTACATATATTATTTCGGTGAGACCAAGCTGGTCAAGATTGCATGCAGGTCGGACTCTTTATACCAATTATTATTATATCAAATATGTTTTAATCCACAATTTCTTTATAAATGGGATCGCCGTGATTGGAACTTCAGCGCCGGGCGAAATTCACCGACGATCACGTGGAAATTGTTATACTCTGAGCTTTTTGACTCATTCAAGGGCTGTTTTTTATTATTTTTCGATTTTGTTTAGGAATTGTTACTCTTCTTACTACCTACACATACTCGATTACTCCCAATTGTCCTTGAAAATCTGCCCTCCCATCTTCCCTTTTGCCCCTCTGCCTCCGATGTCGGTCAGTTAAACCCCTCCTCTTAAATTTCACACTCTGACGTCGCCAATTGCACAGTTCTTCATTGATAACCCTAATGTGGGTAACCACAATCATTTGGAAGACTCCCGCAGTAAGTTTGGTCTTTTGTTTTAGAAAAAAAAAACAATTCGTCTCTAAACAGCTTTAGTTCTCGGCTACAACCCTCTCACCCCGCCCAATCTCCTCCAACATGAGATCGCATTGACCGAGACCTCACGAAAGACCGTACTTGATGGACGCAATGAAGCCGTCGCAATTGTCCATGGCACAGATGAGCGCCAGCGTATGATGGTAGTGATTGGACCCTGCTCCATCCACGACCCGGAAATGGCCCTCGAATACTGCGATCGCCTAATGAAGATGAAAGCGAAGTACGCCGACGATCTGCTCATTGTGATGCGCTCGTACCTCGAGAAGCCACGCACAACCGTCGGCTGGAAGGGCCTGATCAACGACCCCGATATCGACAACAGCTTCAAGATCAACAAGGGTCTCCGCGTATCACGCCAGCTGTTCGTCGACCTGACCAACAAGGGCATGCCCATCGCCAGCGAGATGCTCGACACAATCTCCCCCAGTTCTTGGCTGACTGTTTGTCCGTTGGTGCCGTTGGTGCTCGTACCACCGAGTCCCAGGTCCACCGTGAGCTTTCCTCCGGTCTGTCTTTCCCCGTTGGATTCAAGAATGGCACCGACGGTTCGCTCGATGTCGCAGTCGATGCTATTGGCTCCGTCAAGCACCCCCACCACTTCCTGTCCGTCACAAAGCCCGGTGTTGTCTCCATTGTTGGAACCGTTGGTAACCCTGATTGCTTTGTTATCCTTCGCGGAGGCAAGAAGGGTCCCAACTACGATGCTGCCAGCATCGCCGATGCCAAGGCCAAGCTTAGTGCCAAGGGCATGCGTCCCCGTCTTATGGTTGACTGCAGCCACGGTAACTCTGAGAAGAACCACAAGAACCAGCCCAAGGTCGCTGCTGTGCTTGCTGAGCAACTCGCTGCTGGTGAGGAAGCTATTATGGGTGTTATGATTGAGAGTAACATCAATGAGGGTGAGTGGTTTGAAGATTTGATGTGTAATAAGCTGTTTATACTGACTCGTGCTAGGCAACCAGAAGGTCCCCGCAGAGGGCAAGGCCGGTCTCAAGTACGGTGTCAGTATCACAGATGCTTGCATCAACTGGGAGGACACCGAGTCAGTATTGGAGACCCTGGCTCAGGGTGTTCGCGCTCGTCGCGAGAAATCGGAAGCGAAATAAGCTGTGTTCGGATATTCAAGTTAAATTACAACGGGGCATGTATCAAGCGTATCAAAGTGGATCAAAAGTTCAATGATTTTATTTCAGCCTTGAAGCTCAACGTGTTCCAACTTAGGGCAATTTTGCTACAGCGAAGATCACACTTACATCGTACAAGAATACTTGGCCGTGTGAGGTCTTTTCAATGGTTTAGATAATCCGTTTAGATGTATTCAAGATACTTTTTTTTCCCCTTCCTATAACAACATAGGTAGATGGCCGAAAGAAGGTGGGAAGGGCTTTGTGATAAAACGGCCTTTTCATGTCCATATAACCTTTGATGCTCATAGGGTTTCGGCATTTATAGTGGGGATATGGGGCCAACCTTGATTAGCCCTATGCCGTCATAAGGGTCCACGGCTATATACTTTGAAGTCGATTGAGCCTAAAAGGCTTATATATCTTGGCTGGATGATCTTCGCGGGAAATACAAAAAGATGGATCATATTTGCTATGGAGATATCTTGAAAATCTTGGTTATGCATACAATGAAGTTTCTTCCTGACCACCAGCGTAGATTCAAGTCAGTTCCCATCAGAGGAATTTCGATTAGAGAAGTTCACATCAGTCAGGCCCCTCATCCTGATCTCTCGAGGCATGCTTGCTGGAAGCTCATCGAGCCCAGCGAACGGCCAAGGGAACCAGTAAGCAACGTTGTCTTCCCACATCGCATGCTTCAACATGAAACCAGTTGTGCAGTCAGAATATCGAGAAAACAGATTGTACCCCCTCCTGAGACAGAACAGAAGCATTGCTTCCCGCTTAACCAAGTAGGGGTAGTGAACATGGACCTGTATGCCCAGAGCACTGAGCTCATCCTCATTATACTCATGCAGTCCTTCGTAGGAAAAAGTTCGAAGAGAAGGATGGGAGCCATACTCTTTGTGTCTCATAAAGCGTTCTAACGCCCCAAGTGCTGTCATTTCAAACGCCATCAGCTCTGAGTTTTGCCAGAGATCGGACGTTATGTGAAGGGCTTCGAGAGTCAATGGCAGTACATCGCGAAGCTCGTAGGCCGTTGTACCCCAACCGATGAGAAAATTGAGTGGCAAAGATGCCGTTTTCAACTGGGAAAACCTCTTCAACATGCCACGAAAGGGCTTACCATCTTCACCTGACACACGCAGACGGAAGTTTGTTAGACAACATGGGAGAAGCTCCACGCTGATAGAAAGATGCTTGATCGTTTGGCTCGAAGTTTCCAAAGAATGAAGGAAGCACCCAGGCCGCTTGAGGAACTCGATTGTTGCCCGGCATTTATAAGCCATGCCCACGTGCAAGGACTCCAGATACGGCAACCGAGACAGCAGTATGGCGATGTTCTCGGGTAAGACAGGCGTCTTGGCAATAACCAGACTGCGCAGGTTTGAGAATCCCAAGGATGTTCTCGGAATCCGCCCCGAAAAGACACAAATTCCCTCCACACTATGAAGCCATATTTCGAGAATTCTTAAGGAAGGAAGGTAGAACCAGGGGATGAATTGGTAGGCCTTCCTAGGATCGATACTTTCGCGGAACTCTGTGAGAGGCAAATTGCTTCCATAGTCGGCCATCTCTAATTTTGAGAACTGAGTTAAAATGCCAGGAGGTGCGTTGCCGAAGAGAGAATGATGCAACACTTCCCCGGGGAAGCCCCCTTCAAGGATGAATGAAAAGTCCAGTCGAAGGCTGCGAAGATTGTGAAGTTGTGAGATCAGCATTGTGGCATAGACATAAGCATCTCCATCATTGATTCGTTGAATCAGTTTGGTATCGAGGTTTGCCGGGAATCTTGCGTCTCGAACTACCTTCCGAGCCCATCTTAAAGTGGGCCTAAACTCTAGCATTGTCTTGGTCCAGTCAAGCTTCCCTTGAGGGATGGAAATGTTTCTGTTGGATTCCACGTTCCACCATACGAAACTGATATTCCAGATGTAGCAAGCCAACTCTGGTCGATCGTAGATAGTCCGGAGAAGACACAGGATTTTGTGGACTTGCGGATGCTGCCAGTCCCAGTGAATTGATCGATAGAGAAAAGGCTCAGTTGAGGCACGAGCGTCGTGGGAAACTTGCGACAGGCTGTTCAAATCATCTTTTGGCAGACACTCCAGTATCTGGAACCAGCAGTCTCGAGGAAGGTTGGCGAGGGGGGTTGAAGCCATTATCGTCGATTTTGTACAAGAAAGCTAGGCAAGGGTGGTTAGGATAGTCAATCAACCCATGGATTTCAACTTACTGCGGTAAACGACGTGGAGTTTGCAAAGAAAATGACCTCAGGACACCGAGAGGTGAACAGAGTGGAAGAAAGGACAGAATGGATGGAAAAGAGGGAACGGAGAATGGAAGGCAGATGAAAAGTGAACGAAGCGAGGGAGAGAAGAGGAAGATGACAAGAGACCAGAGACAAGAGACGAAAGAGGAAGGAAGCCAAAAGTCAGGATGGACGCCCTGGACATCTGAGAGTACTTTGTTCACATCATTATATTAATACAAAGGAATCTTGAAATCTATGATACAAGCTGCAAAAGATGATCGCCGAACCGATGGGTGATGTATATCGTGAACACCAGCAGCACAGGGCTTGACCCCATCCACTCCAGAATATCGACCAGCACCATAACCCACGAACTCATTCAATTCCTCGAACTTCCTTTTCCTCGAAAGACCAAGATTTCTCTGAAAAAGACCAAGATCCTCCACCCCCCCATCGGAACTAACACCAAAAGACCGAGTGGGAGCATCACCAGTATCAACATCCAAGATTGTACCTTTGCCATCCTTCCCAAAAGCCCAAACCCTGACTCCACCCTCAGAAGACTGCAAAGCAAGCTCAACGGTCCCCTTGACAGATCCGATCTCCTTGCCATAGATTTTAAACGGCCACATCATAGCCGTGGGCCGATAAGAGACAGACAAAACGAACTCCCACTCCCCGTTCTGATTTTGCACTAGACTCTCACGCTGCTTGCGGGTCCGCTCTGAGTCAACGTACCAGGCCGGTGCCAGATCGCTGTCGCCCATTACCCCATCGGCTTGGCGTTCACGCTCTTTGCGGATCATGTTGAATACGTCCAAGGGAATCGAGTACAACACGAGGCGGTCATCGTAGGCCGCGACAACACGAAGACCCCATCGGAGGTCGGAGCCTGCGGTGAAGGTTGTCGGAATTGGGAGATCTTTTGGAGGCGGGATTGTGTTGGAGAGTGATGGGGATGGCGGTGGTGTCTTGATCTGTCGGTTTTGGGTGTTTGAGAAAGGTGGCGGAACGCACACGAATGCACGCGTGAGGCTTGTTGGCCCGCCGATAGGAGCATCGGTGCCAATGCATAATAAGCTCGTGCGTGGCTCGATGAACATGATATGAAAGCCATCGTTGATGGGAACGGCACGATAGTGGTGGCAGTGTGTTGCGCGGATGAGACTGCGGGATGGGGCATGGGGAATACGGCGGCGATTGAAAGACTGAATATCTGCAAGGAAATGGAATTGATTGTGTTTTGGTGATGATGCCGAGAAGGATGAAGATGAAGGGGAGGGTGAAGGTGGGCATTTGCATTCATGGACACCCGGTCCGGATAGTGAGGAAATGAGACGTAGCTCGCTGGGTGTTTCTGGACTACTTGGGAGGAAATGAAGGATCTCGGAGGGTTGAGGGACGGTAAAGTATCTGCGTTGTTCATTGCGCTTTGTTTCGTTCACGCTGTGGATTTCGATGCCCGCAGCACAGCCGAAGGCGACGACTGACTGACCGGGACAGAGAGCAACTGTTCGGGGTGGGTTGTCTACTGTGCAGACATTGTAGAAGAAGTGGCGGGATAAGGTGGCCGTTTTGCCATTAGAAAGAGGTCCCTTGGTCGCTGAAACTTTGGCCCAAGCCATATCCAAGTTGCAGATCATGCCAACGCGGTTAGAAAGCAGTGCAGCGATGGTAAAATGGGGCTTGCTGGTGTCTATGACAGCCGAGAGAACATCGAACGGACATGAGATTCGCGAGACTAGCGACAAGTCCACATTGCTGAAGTCTTTGGCCGATGTTGGCATTGATTTCCGACCCAAAAGAGCATAAAGATAAATCATGCAGCCAGTTGTCACGAGCAAGTAGTTGCTGCAGCTGCTAGTGCTGAAAGTTGAAACTGGCCCTTTGCCTTCTATCTGCAAAAATGGCTGGAGTCGAATGCGGGATTTTCTTCCTGTAGAACCAGATAGACCTGAAAAGTCTACCACAGCAGTAGTCAGAAAGCCCGGCTTCTCGACATTCAACTTTCGCCCCGAAAGGAGACATTCTGTCGCAAAGCGGCGGCTCATTCTCCAGACCTCGCTCTCATCTAATCGGGAGATGCGTGGCGTTTTGCGGTCTTGCAGCCATGCATCCCACCACCCTGCCCTTTTCAGCATATCTTCAAGCAACTTGTGGCTCAGGCTAGTCCGCATCCACAGTGAGCATGTCCGCCGGGCGTTGTCGAAGTCCCGCGGTGTCAACATGGAGAAAATCTCTAGTAGGATCTCTGCTGGTGCAATATTTGCAGCGGAAGGGGACGAGCTGCCCGTGGAACTGCATTTTGAGAGATGTCGACGCTGGGATATGTATCCTGCCCCAGACTTCTTCGAAACTGGGGGTATTGAGCTTGTTGAGCTTTGTTTCGTATAAATGATGGATGCATTTATGGGCATCTGACAGACATATTCTTGGCTCGAAGACCGCAGCGTAGGCATGATGATAGACCTCTAGCACAGGCGATGACCCAATATTCACTACTAGATCTCAATCAATTCCAGAACATTGCTTGGAAACCAGATGTTGGATGGAATTGTATGAACGTGTCGACGGCAATTCGATTGATTGGCACCCAGAACAAAAGTGCTTCGACACCTGAGCATAAACCAAGTAGCACGATTCACAATAGTACTTGAATGATGCGAAGAGCCGGAGAAAAATTATCTCTCCACACCTAAGTCTATACAGCACTCAACGTCCCGATGCACCGTCTAGAACATGTAAGCCCACTGATCTGCAATCTCTCGAGCCCGAACATCCAGTCATTTTGTTTCAAGAAAGGTCACTCACTTTGAAGAAAAAGTTAATCCACCACGATACCAAGGTTGAAAGTGTGTGCTAAGTGCAAGGTTGTATCGGCTTCACGTCTGAAAGCGGTGCGGGATCTCTGATACGATAAAAATGAAACCCGAGAGATTCGAGGGCGAGGCAAGGGCTGAATTGTTTAATTAAATACTGCACCTCACCACTTTCAGAATCAATAAAATTTGCCATCTCTATCACAACGACCGGTAGAAAGGAGTGTAGGGCACCGATACACCACGCGGAAATCAGTGGAGCACGTCAAGAGACCCATTTCGGCCCATTTAGGTAGGTGCTTAGTATAAGGTCAATGCACCAGGGCATTCTCCATGGAACACACCTGCCCGTGGACTTGCAGGGTTTTAGGGTTTGATGATTCATGGATTCGACGATCGAGCTTAACTTTGTGCGACTCTTGTTTCCACTTGGATCCATGGTTCAATCCCATTCAAGGTACCGTAGCAGCCCAGTTACAACAGCAACCTTTAGAACTTGATATCAATCGGCACTGACATTCCTGAGGATCTCGGAAAGAGAATTAAGGAATGCTCCCCGATGCAGCCCATGGCTTGGCACTCGAACCTCACCGCTTACATGCATAATGTCTCGAATCGTGTGATGATGACAATGAGACAACACCAAGATCCTTGAACGAATATTTAGTTCAACATATCCCACATTCCTCAACGCCCAAGGATGGTTTGTTTTGTCTCTGTTCTTTTTTTTTTGTACTGTTTCATCTCCTCACCGCAAGAGACAACTGTACCATCCCCCACTGCTCAGGAATGTGGCCCGACCATGTGGACCCTAGGGATTCCAGAAGACGGTGATTCCGTATGTGTTCGAGGTATGTCTGCGCTGTTAGATTGAGCCCATTAACAGATTTAATGATCACTTGCAAAGGAGCCTTATTGGACAGATGCTATATTGATTACAATTGTGATGTGAACCCCTAGCAGAATGATGCCACAGGTCGCCTCGTCGAAGGCAATCCGTTCGACACACTTTTTTTCCTCCCGAACAATCGTATCTAATTGCATTCAGATAATATTTCTGGATTCGCTAGGAAGGAACCTTGGGCGTTCAGCTCTTCCGCTGTTCCCTCGGTCAGACCACTGACTTCGTGCCCAGACACTGCCACGTTTCCCGCGGGCTTACTTTGGAACTGAGGAATGTGAGAAGCGAGTAAACCTAAGCGAACTTGATGTCTTCACCTAGGAATTCTAGATACGAGATGTGTCTCGGTGGGGGCCTGTGTTGTGCGTCCGAAAGGCAGCCGCTAACGCCTGGCGGGTAGATAAACCACGCTATTAGAAACGAAATCCAGAAATCTTATCAGTATCATACAAACTCTATATTCGACCTTGACATTGGACACTGAGACACAGAAATGAAAGAATTGGAAAAAAAAAACAGGTAACAAAATACAACTACTGCGCGGGAGGGGAATAGCGAGGGACAGGCGAGACGAGCCCGACAAAAGGAGAGCAACATGCCATGGATATCAAAAACATGAAAACATATCAAAACAAGACAAGTGAGATGCAAACGAGGTATCGAGGTCATAAAACATGATGGGTCAAAGACATACGCAGAAAAAAAGAATGTATAGACAAATGGCACAGTGTAGGCATGCGAACCTAAACGTTCGATGTCTGATGAGCCTCGAAGGCGGATGCACCATTTCCATTCCCTCGGGCGGCTGTGCGACCAGGAAGCCAGGCAGCATGCAACGGGACAATCAAGCTCGGGTTGACATACTTTTTCAGCCGCAGCTCGAGATCTTGTCCGCCAATGCGTATCGGAAGGCTATCGCGATCTAGGCCTGATGGCGGTGAGAGGGTCGATGAAGGCGAAGGGGAAATGTCGCCACCTCCCGGCTGGTCTCGATTGATACTTTTGAGAGCAATAAATTTCATCAAGGGCTCGTATGTACGACCAAACCAGTATGAGAACCAAACGGTGAAGCCTAGAAGTGGAACCAGGAGCAGCGACCGGGTGATGGCTCGGCGCAGAGCCAGAACGCCAATCATGGCCAGCTGGTGAACTACCAGCCCCACGAATACGCGGTTGCAAATCATCGGCCATGCACGGCCTGTGGAATGTTGTTGATGATCCATGGCATACAGCAGTTGGTATTTGTAGATAAATTTGCCGACTGTGAAGTAAATCAGGCCGAATAGGCAGATCAGCCACGAGCTTGGGAACACACTGTAAACCACGCAGATAACCAATATCAAGATGGTTTGGGGGATCGAAAAGCCGTAGCTGAACTTGGGAGGAGTTGATAGCTCCGCGTATTCCCGTGGCGTGCGGGCCGAGAGGAAGTGGAAGGGGTATAATGCGACACTTCCGAATTCGAGGAGTCGGAAGGGGAAAAGACCTAGACCCTGAAGAATCAACAGGTTGATGTAGAATGGAGCCAGGCCTTCGAGCGACTTGGCCAGTGCGAAGGCAATCGTTGTAGAATCTTTGAATGCATCCCGAAGATTCTCCCAGAACCCATAGAAACCACTCGCCGTTCCAAACACAGTGAACAGGAGGAACAAGTTGAAGAACGAGAAGAAGAAATTCTTCGAGATAATGGAAAGCTCAACATCACCACGTGACACCATTCCTTGGTTATTCGAGAGCCCTGCAAAGATGATCAGCGATTTGAGCAACTACATGAAGGGGGATGCTCAATGGAAAACTTACACTCATACACATAAGGCACAGCTACCGTCAATAGCGAGAATGCGAGAGTAGGCAAACCTGTCTGAACCAAGGACTTCATGATTGGATGCTCTTGTAAGAACTCTGCCAGCTGGGGGACAATCTTATGAAGGGTCTCCAACTCCAGCAATGAGGCAATAGGAACCAAGAGCACAGACCAAAATACGGTGAGGAATCCAATGACGATGGTAATGGACCACGACTGAAACATTCGTCGAGTACGAGACAGGTATGTGTTTTTCCAAATGACATCTGCCGGTGCCGGCGCAAGTCGAGCGAACATTTGCATTGGGTGTGGATCAAGGATTGCTTGAACAAGCATTTGAGACGCAGCGATTGACTCCATCGTCACGAAAGCAATCTCGGTAGTAAGGTATTCTTTCTCTCGGGCATTTTGGATATGTTCATCAATCCTCCGGAGTTTCTCCTCATAGTAATCGATTGCATCGATCATCCGGAAGCGAAGCTTGAATGAACCGTACCAGATGCGGACTTTGGGTCTTTCATTTGCATAACCCGAGACATGCTCATTCTCGTGTCCGGATAGAAGCCCGGACCGTTCATCGTCGGCGTCACGGGGTGGTCGGTTGGTCAGTGGCAATGTATCTCCATCCGTCTTAGGCCGCTTGTATCCCAGATGCTTTGTCCATGCTCTTTCGAGCTCACGGATGACTTTCATTCTCTCATCAATCAATTCGTCCAACTCGCGCCACTTCCGGCACACCGTGATACTCTCAACTTTGCCGACGCGCAGACCTTCCACAAATTCTTTGATCTGATCTTCGGTCCCCAAGTCTTGTGGGATACCAGACAAACGAATAGTGCGATCAGTGGTGCTGGTCTGATTCCCGAGATATGTTTGCCGAGTGCGGATGATTACTTTTGTCTCATCAAGAAGCATATAGATGGCCAAGCCACTGAAGACATATGCAAACAACACATAAATCCACAGATATGTGGGGTCTGTGACTGGCTTTTCCTTTTCAACTCCACCAATTGGAGCCATGGTCTTATTTTCGGGGACGTGATCCCAGCCAGGAACTCCATATTGGCCGGTGTATTTGTAGTGCATAGGAAGAATGATCGCAACAGCGAAGATAAAGACAGCTAAAAGAAATCTGATCGCGAATTTGAAGAAAGATAAAAACTACCCAGAGACTTAGGTTAGCAAGGGTCCATTGTCTGGCAGAGACGCCAAAGCATTCGAACATACCACATATGCATCCAGGCCTGCAGACTGCAACACTTCCTCTTCTGTAATCCGATGGAGAACGGGTATCCAACCGAAAAGAGTATCCGGAAGCTCAGGTAACCGAGAAGCAGCATTTCTTTGACGGCGTCGCGCAGCATACAACTCGGTCCATTTTGGTCGTAAGATCTAGAAGTGAACTAGTCAGCAGTGAACAAAACCCGAACCTGACAGTGACAGAGACACGTACACAGAATGTCAAAAAGGCACTGAGACCCAGCGCAGAGCTAATCACAAACTGCGTGTACAGATCGCGCTGCTCTCTCAGTTGATCTTCCCATCGCCTCTTGCTTCCGCCGTCGGGGCTGTCGGCAAGCAAGGTCAACACAGCAGAGGTCGCTGATGCCGTAAGAGACATGACTCTGTTTTATAAAATGTCTCCGCGCTCCAGGTTTCCGCGGGGGCTTCGGCGAGGGGCTTTCGGAGCTAGTGGTTCGTTAAGGGCATGCGGCAGTACCCCGTTGATCACCGAAATGATTGACGTCAGGAAGATGAGACAGTCAAGCGTTGGGGACGATTCGATTGCTATGTCTGTACTGCAAGTATTTGCTCGAATCCTTAGATTTGGCTTTCGAGAGGGGAATGTGAACAGTCGGTGAGTTTCCCCCTTTGTTTTTTTTGGCTTTCCATCAAGCCATCAATGACGGCTTCGCTCGGCGGCTACAGTTAGAT